AAGAAGGATAAACCTCAATCTCCACCACCAAAAGAGAAACAACGTAGAAAAAAGAAAGATAATGATGAGGACTATAAAGAAAGCGAAGAAGATAAGTCTTCAACGGATGAGAATGCAGGAGAAGAGGAATCCGAAGAACCAAAAAAGAAAAAAGAAAACGATTGCAAAAAGCTAAAGAATCAAACAAAGAAAAGAGCAAAGAAAAGAAGAAGAGAAAGAAGAAGGACAAATCTGAAACAGAAGCACCAAAAGCAGATGCTGAAAATGAAGGAGAATCACCTCTTGTTCATGATGAAGATGAAGAAAATGAGCCTTCTGAAAAAGCATCAAAATCTAGAAAGATGGATGAGGATGATGAGTTTAATATTGTTCTTAAGGAGGTGAAATCAGCCTCTCGACGATCTACTCAGACAGAACAACTCGACAGCCTGGGACAACAACAAGCAAAGGAACTTATTGCACGAATTGATGCTGCCTATGAGGACGATGCTGAATCATTTTTCAGAAAGAAGCCTGCACTTCACAAACTTCAACTTCTTCCCGAACTGACTGAAGCTTGTAAAAAGATATACTTGCAAGGATTTTTAATTCAGGAAGGAATATTGAAATCTTTAGAGAGATGGCTTGTTCCTGAAAAAAAGGATTTACCTCCTCCTAATATTAACATTCAAACAGGAGTATTGAATATTTTGAACGACTTGCCAGTATCCAAGTCCATTGAAGACGATGAAAAAGTTTGTATCACCAAGAATCATTTGAAATCATGCAGAATTGCTAAGGCAGTGAAGCAAATTGCCAATAATTCTAATACACCAGCCAATAATAGAAAAATTGCAAAAAAGATTGTAGAGAAATGGAGTAGATTAGTTTATCAATTACCCTCTGATTATGCAGAAGTGTACAAACATCGTCGACCTATTTCTATGGACGATCAAATCGCAGATGAACAATCTCCAATTACTCCAAGATATGCCTCTGCTTCGAAAAGTACTGAGACGCAACCTCCAAGAAAAAAGAAGCTTGCGAACACTAATTCCATTCGTGCAAGCATCCCTAAGAAAGAAAGTTTTGATTTTGTCAGACTTCCACCATCAAAAATAGAGAAGAAAAAGCCAATAGTTGAAAACGAAACTCACAAGAGACTTTTGAGTGTTGGCAGTTCGAGAAGAAAATAAAAGATTCCCAACAACATCAATTCCAATACACAAAAAATATTCAGGTACGTCGTGATGGTGTTTTTGCGCTTGTATGATGATTCGAATCGGGCTCTGTTGCCTTCTGATTCATCGTGAATTGAATTTATTATGATATTAATATTACAATAGTAATGATCTCAGACGTGCAATTAGGTGTTTTTGCTAATTTTATGGGTGTGATGATCATGGTTCTATTGGTCATCTACCACTATGTTACAGCGTCCAGAGAGGTAGGTACCATTCAAACTCAAATGTTACTCAAATAATACGATTAATCCAATTTGTTGATTCGATCAGGATTAAACTCTCTGATGAACAAATTGCTAGCCTTTCTTCTTCTTTTCAACCACACATACCCCTCATTCCGAAATCAACCCGATTTTTGCTAGCCTTCTCATTCCCACAATCACCACAACAGCCACTCAACAATAAAATCCCTTCTTAATTTCACCCCTATGCCATACTATTGTATTTGGATTGTTTTATTGCAAGCCACAAAAAGAGAGATAGCTCGCATCAGCAACTGGCGGTTTGCTCAACAATCTACGACGAATAACTGGTCCATTAAAAAAAAACAATTCCATGAGCACATCTTCCGTTCATTGTTCATTACAGTAAAATGAAAAAGAAGGAATTTAAGGGACTCGACCTCATTTCCTATGATGTCGATATGAACGTGAATGATTTAACGAAAATAGCAAATAGAATTTTGGAATCAAAAGGAGGAAATACATTATTAAAGAAAAGCAGCCCTTCAATTTTGGGCCAAATTGACACATCGGATGTGGTCGATCAAGACATGTACAATGAGATCATGAAACAAAATAGAAGTTTGCAAGTTTCAAAAAACGTGTCGGAAACAAACCTTTCTCAACAAACTCGAACCATGCTACCTTTGTTCAAAGCCAATACTCGAACCTCAGATAAAAAAGGACAACAAGTGGAATCTCTTTTAAGAGATAATGTGGTTGCCAAAATACCGATCAACAAGCAATTCAAGGAATCCAATTTTGTGGAGCAACCCCCTGAAGTTTTAGAAAAATGTTTGAGAGAAGAGTATGCAGCAAGATATTTGGAAAAGTTGAACATTTCAGTGACACAAAAAAACTTGAAAATTGTCAACAACATTTTACCAATAAGTCAATGTGTGGCTCACAAACACAGAACACCCAACAACGAATTATACTTGTCATTCACTCCACAGCCACATTTAATTGCTAGAAAAAGTGGTACTACTTCCTCATTCAATGGATTAACACCAACAAGAATGGCAGATAAAACTGAATTTGAATATCGAGTGATGGAAATCATGGACAAGGAAATGTCAAATCTTAATTTTCAGTCCATAACAAACAATGAACCTAAGAAGAATATCGAATCCCTTCCAGTTAAATCGGAAGAGAATACCCAGCCTAAATCAGGTCTTGTGAACAAGGAAGGAAAACTTACAGTACCAAAGTTTGAGGAATATAAGAAATACATTTATCCTTACAATCTAATAAGAGAAAAATTTATGTTGGATGGAGAAAAAGAAGAGATGGAACAATCTATATTTGAGAGACATCAATATAATACAATGATGATTGAAAAAAGCAGAATGGCAAGAATGCAATCTTTTCTAATTAAGGATTCACGTCGACCTCTCAGTCGACCAAATGAAAGAACGAAGGACTTGGTTGAAGACAAGGGAAGAAGTAAGTGTTTGTAAATATTTCTTTCAATAATCACTCACCTCAAATTTTATTAGGTAGGTCAGTTCTTGGAAACCCCAACAACAGTCAAGTATTGGATGATTTTCATTTCAATGAGCAATTCAAATGTAAGTTAGTACAAAAAGGAAAATTTATTGTTAACTCAACAAAGTTGATGAAAAAGAGTTGGAAAAGACACCTCATTTATCATCCTTTGAAATTGTTGAGCTGCAAAATAGTTTTTTTGAAGAATTTCCATTCCATAGATGGAATTGGATTTCAGAGAATCAGAAGAGATCCATTGCAAAGGACATTACGGATATAAAACTCAGTAAGTATTCAACAGACATTTGTTACTTTAAAAGAACGTTCTCTCAGCAACATTCATTAAGGTTTTCATTGAGTTCTGTTATTGGACCTTCTTACATGAATTCTCGAAAGAGAAGGTGGATCGGTAGGTTGGAGTCATTCATTTCAGTTGAATAATCGTTGTTGTTCAAGAAATGACTTGGAAAAGCGATTTCTGTCTGCCTACGAAGATTTAATTGAAGATTTCAAAAAGTTCAGGAGTAGCAAGATGAAAGTGACCACCAATCATCCAATAATTTTGTTGTGCATTCGAGTGACAACAGAGAGTACACTTCGAATCTGCTACCAAACTTTTTGTAAAACCAAATATTTCTCTACACTCTGCTACAAGATGTCATCGTTAGTTTCATATTTATTTGATCCTGACTCCGATGTACTGAGTAAGCTTCCTCCTATTGAATGTAAGTAAGAGATTTGTCTTCAAATAACAACTGACGTTTTGTTCATCATCTTCAGCAAACATCAAAGAAAGAAAGATTATTGAAAAACTTTCTCGAATTTCAAGGAAAGACGAACTGGTTTCCACGAAACGAAAAGCAAATTCTGTCTCTCCTGTGATGACAAATGTACTATTGACATCACCGTTGCGAGACAAAAATTTAGAGTTCTCGGACAACCTATCCAAACGAATCATCAAATCAGTGGTTTCTGTGCTGAGCGAAGACTTGAGAATGAAATTGATGAATATCTACATGAAGAAATCAAAATAAATAATCATCGTAAATGCCCTATTATTTGATTATTTAATTTACTTTGAAAGATGTTCGTATTTATATCCAAAGACGTCTGCACGGCCAATAATTTCACCACCGCGATATACAATATATCCTGCAATTAAAGCACCAACAAACACTGCAAACTCACCAACAGTGATTTCACCTGGCTGAGAAAGTCGTTGTTGGAAATAAGAAAATTCTCTCTTGAATTGGGTGATCTTGTGTGGAAGAGCAGCAGCGGTGATCTTGAAGTATCTACTTCTTGCTTCCTGTTGTGCTTTTACTACTTCTTCAAAGTTAAGAGAACTCAATTCCTTCACGTGTTGTTCTCCGGCCAAATTATTCATGGAGGCAGCAAAAGAATTTTCCCATGAAAGGGCCTTCTTTTCGGTTGCCTTGCCGATTTTCGTAGCGATACGAGAGAAACGTTTCAAAATACTTCTCTTGCCCATTTTTTTTGCGTCTATTACAAAGCTTGTTGATGAAGCGCGCTTCGAATGGGATGGTCATAATGGCCCAAAACCTAAGGCTCGTTTAGAATTAGAATGATTGTTAATGAAAAACCCTGTTGGTCTTTAATTCAGCTTTTTAAGCCCTTTAATCTACACGGGTACAAAATTTAAGCGTTGATTTGTGGGTATTCAACGGATGGTTCAAGTTGTTGTGAAGCCTTTTCCTCTTCAAGAGTTTCCCAAATTTCAATTTGGGCCATGACTTCATCAGAAGCACAATAGAAGATCAATCCGCATTCATCACAAACTGAGAAAGTATTTTCCTTCATAACCCAGAATTGCATATCGGTGGTATGATAGTCAATATCGTTGGCTTTCCAACAATCTCCCAAACAACCAACAACACGTTCTGGCTCTCCTCTAGAAGCAACTATGATTGGATTGAAAAGGCTAGAACCCACTCCTGATTCAATATCAACAACTTCAGGCTGTTGTAGGATTAAATACAATCGTCATCATGAAAATAATTATAATTTTAGTAAAAACCGTGATGATGACAATTTGTATTACTTACAAGGTGATCATCAAAAAGAGTTGGATCCAACAATTCAGCACGTTCAGATCCCACAGCTCTTTCAAAGACTGTTGGTAAATTCAACCAGTAATTTTCCAATTCTGGATCCTCTTGTGATGGTTGTGGTGTTGGTTCCATTCTTACTTTGATAGCCTCCTTATCATATTGTCTTTTGGCGACTTTATCCTCAGTAAAGAGGGAAAGAGCAGTGTGGTATGGCTTTTGGTTATATTTGAATTGTGTGAGAGTCTTGCTGAATACTCTTCTCAACATTTTTAGTGCTTTTTTTGTTGCAGCTTGTGTTCTTCATTTTTGCCAAAATGGGGTTTGTTGACTGTTACAACAGCATTTCAGCGCCACCGAATTATTAGAGGAACGTAAGGGAAGGTCGATCTCTTTTAAAGACAGCCACCAGCTTTGTGCCGTTTAGCGGGCAGGCTCTCATTTAAACGCATTGAATCGAACGAGCAAAGAGAGGTTTGGTGTTACATTGAATAAATTTTGCTTTGAACTTCATCAAGAGGGAACTGAAAGAACGTTCATAATGATCTAAGGCATTCCACAAAGTGACAATCATCATGAATTAATCATTTGACTTCTTGTTCTTTCATCATCCCTTAAATATTTGGCTCGATTCAACATTCTTATGGTCCACTCTCCAACTCATTTCCAAAAAATGAATCAATTTCGGGTGACCTTTTCCGATGATGAGGAAGAAGCAAACCACCACCATCAATCTCACCAATTAGCACATGAAGAAGACGATGATGAAGAATTATTTTTGGGAAGAGAGACAAATAAAAGAGGATTCTATGCCGAGGATTTAGAGGAAGAAGTACAAGCTGATCCGTTATTCCAAGCAAAAAAACACGAATTGGAACAAAAGAGAAAATATAGGAGATTATCAACTGCATTTATTGCTTCGATTCTTGTTGTAGCTACTCTGTCAGTGATCTTGGGGTTTTCTATTTATTTTAATGTCGCATTCTATTTTGGAGAGAAGAAAACACAATCGGAATGCCTTTTTGTTTTTAATGAAACCTTTCCGATCGACCCTAAAACATTCAGAGATTCTCGTCACAATAATTTAATGAGATTTTTTGAAGCTTTTACTCTTCCTCTTTCGGAAAGCGAGGAAGATTATATAATTCATATACCAAATGTTGAAAGATATAGATCAGAAATTTAGTAAGTAATTTTCATACACACGGAGTGCTAATTGAAAAATTAGTTTTCTGTCTGGAATTTTTCATTCCTCCGCCTTTCTTGCCGAATCTCATTTATTCCTGTCGACAAAAAAGAAATTGTCAATTTTGTGTATGAATTATGGTAATAATGACTCGGTTACATTAAATGAGGGCTCATACGTAGATAGTATTGTATTTGAGAGCCAGACATGCCTGCAGAGTATAAAAGGCCAAAATATCACGAAAATATTCAGCGTGACCTTAGATGCCAACAAATCCTTCCCAAGAATGGAAAATATTTCATGGATCCAAGACAATAATATCATCAATACTATTTATATGCTCGATCATGAAGTGAAACAGCTAGAACACATTCTTTATCGCTCTACTGCTCTCTTGTTGGAGAATATTTTTTCTACCAGCGCATCAGTCATCTCTCGAATGGAAATTCCTTTTAATGAAGAGGCACACATATTCAGTGAAGAATATTTCAAGAGATTGGATTCATGTATATCAATTTATGCAAGGAATGGATGGACGCAATTTAAGGTGTTGGAGTCATCCGTTCAAGTTAATGGAGTTGATAAGAAGACGCTGTCTATGGAATCATCCTACTCGTATCTAAATAAGAAATATTCAACAGCTGACACCATTTCACTAAATTATAACAATACATTATTTGACGAGCTAACGAGTATCATCAATAGTAATTTGAAGGAAATAGAAAAATATAAGATTGAGGAAGGAAGGGAAGCTACTTTTTTGACAGATTTGATAAAAAAGAATACGCTGAAGAGCCTTCTTCACATGAACATAGTGAGGAAAACAAATTCATCACAATCTGATCATGAATTCTTTTCTGAATTACTAGCAGAAAAGTTGGATCGATTATTTATTTCAGAAATTATGATACAAAATGTAGAAGGATTACCTGTAAACAAGCTGACTCTTAATATTGGTTTGATTTTCGACCTTACTCTAAAATTTCCTTTTGGCGACGAACTCACAAATCACAACAATTTACTCTCGGTTCACACAGATCATGTATTGAAAAATATTGGCTCTAAACTTTTGAAAAAGGCTATGTTTGTTGTCGAAAATGATCGACTTTATTCTATCAAGAACAAATAATTTTCCACTTTTACTTTTAATTATTGAATTCCTTATTTTGACGCACTTTTTGGGTTGCTTGCGCTTCTTGTTTTTTTCTTTTTCTTTCGATTCGCAAAATCTTCTCGGGCCTTATAACATTTGTACGCTAACTTGATAATGTCAGCAGACATTTGGATTTTTCGTTCAGCGTCCTCTTTCTCCTTTGCATTGGTACTCCTGTCGAACTCTTCTTGAATTTGTTTGTCTTGAGTTTCAAGAGCATATTTTTCTTCAAGTTTCTTTAGCTTGTCGATCTGTTCCTCTCGCATTGCTTCCCAGTGAATTATTTTGGATCTTAATTCTTCAGACTCTTTCTCATACTTTTCTCTCCAATATTCTCCTTTTCTCTTTAACTCATCTGTCTTTTTCTCGAGGAAATTTTTAATTTGAGAGAAAACATTCTTTTCTACCTCCAGTTCAATGTTCTTTTTGAGTGACGTCTCCTCTAATTTCAATAATGCACTACTTTCTCTTCTTCTTCTAGACTCAAATGCTGCCTCTTCTGTGGCACGTGTCTTGGAGTCCTCATCTGCAGTTAACTTTTTCAGTTTTCTTAATTTGTTGAGTAGAGTATTAACCTTGGTACTTCTGTCATCCACTTCAGTTTTCTTCAGCTCTTTCTCTTTGATAACCTCATTCTTTAATTTGTTGACTTGTTCAAGCGTTTTTCCCTCAATTTCAGTAATATGTTGCAGATATTGTTTCTTTTCTTTTTCTTCTGCAACCTTTTTCATGAAAGATTCATAGGGTACATCTGGTCTAATACTTTGCGGTGTTGAGGAATGCTCACTGTCCTCTTCATTTTCCTCAGTGGTGGCAACAGCAGAATAATTGAGGCCTTTGTATTTAGGGGTTGTTGATTTTGCAACAGGAGGAATCAAACCTGCTTGAATCTCTCGAAGTAATGTGACAAAAATCGTTTGTATTTCATGACGTTCTGATTGAATTTTTTTCCAATTTTCTAATTCGTTGGGAGTTTCTTTTAGGTTTCTACACAGCTTGCGAGTGTTGTCTTTCAACTTCATTTGAATGGATTCCAACTCCTCTTTGATTTGATTAATTTCCTCAATGGATCGTGACATTGTATTATCTTGCTTGTGCGCTCTGAGAAAGTATGACAATTCCTCATATCTCTTTCCTAGAACTTTTTGGTCTTCTAAAATATTTGCCACCGCATTTGTTTCTTGATCTAAAGCATCTTCCTCTCCGTCTTCCTTGTCATCTTGATCATCATTTCCCATAAATTCTTTAATATCTCCGGAAAGCAAATCCAATAATTGAAGCTTCTCGAGAGTATCCTCAATAATGGCGCTCGCTCTCAAAGCAAATATTGGGGGAATTGTATAATCCGTTGCATTTTTTGATTTCCAATGTCTGTTGTTTGTTCTGTTTTGCTGTCGTGAAACGTGTTTTGCGGGTGAAGTTGGTGTTGATAGCATTTTCTTCGTTTGTTCGGAATCAAAAGTTTGTATGTTGTTTTGGTGCTTTTCGATTCTTTTCCGAATCAGAATACCTCTATTTTTTTGAATTTGTAAATCAAGGCGGGAAGCCAACTCTACAAAATAGTTTTAATTGTAAATATAATCATATGAAAACACAGTTAGTTGTTGAAAATGACTTTCTTTTTCATGGCAGCGAATTCCTCTTCATCGATGAGACCTCGTTGCAAGAGAGAGGCAAGTCTTTCAATTTCGTCAATGGCAGCACTGGATTTAAGTGGAACAGTGTTGGCAGTTGAAATTCTGGTCTTTTCAAAATCGTTCATATCTCTGTCAGTCACTTGGTTGATGTCCTTATATCCTTTTTGTTGTACAAAATTGTGCATTTTCGTTGTGGCTTGTTGAATTTGTTCATCTGCATCATCATTATCCTGATAGGAAGATGTCGAGGAGGAAGATGGTTGGTATCCAACTTTTCCTGCTGTTGGTCTTGATGGAGTGGTTGGAGGCTTACTTGAAGGAATAGTTGGTGGAACAGGTTTTGATGGAGGAACACTTGGAGGGTTTGGTTTTGAGGTGGATGATGGTGAATAACCTCCTCCGTACGAGTTGCTGCTTGTACTGCTTTCATTGTTGCCACTATTGAGATTACTGGAGCTACCAAATCGAGAGGCTGGTTTTGGAGGAGCGTTTGGGCTATTTCCTCCAGGAACACTTAACGAAGGGAGTGATGAAGGAGGAGGAACCATTGGCTTGCAACTAAGAGCCTTATTCGATGAAGGCAACACCGGTCTTGCATTATTTGAAGATGGTGAAGAATAGCTTGATGATGATGATGTTGTTGTTGGTGGTGGTGATTGATCCGAACTTGGTGGAGAAACCGAAGAAGGCTTTGATCCAGGCACTGGAGGAGGCACACCACGAGAAGGTACTTGTGGAGGTTGTTGTTGTGGTTGAGAAGTACTTGAAACTCCATTTCTTGAGCCAGGTACTGGAGTACCACGGGATGATGGAACAGGTGGAGGCACACCACGAGAAAGTACTTGTGGAGGTTGCGAGGAGCTATTGTATCTTGGAGAACGATCGACCTCGTTATTATTATTTTGGCTATTATTATCATCATCATCAAAGGAAGGAGGTTTTCGGCTCGGAATGGATGGTGGAGGTGGAGTTGATTTGAGTGAACCACCTGGCACTGGAGGTTTAAATCCACCACTGGTCATGATCGTTGAATTATTAGAGGAGGTTGTTGTACTTGGAACCACTACTGGAGGTTTACCAAAGGAAGGCTTTGAAGATGGCACACTTGGAGAAGAACCACTCATTCCACCACCACCTCCTGATGCTTTACTCAATTGCTTTCTCCTGATTTCATCCATCATTGGATTACCAGTTGGAACAAAACCACCCATACCACCACTACCACCACCACCAGAGGAACCACCACCATAACTACTACCACCACTCATTCCACCACCACCTTTTGGTGTTTCAATCAATGCACCATCTCGAATATTCTTCTGACTCTCTGGAACCTTTTTCAACTTTTTACCCTTTTCGATATCAGAGAGAAGATTGGCACGACCTGCTGAGGAAGGAGGTTTCACAGCCACGACGTTGGTTGGTGGAGGAGGAGGGGATACACCAACAGGAGGAGGAGGGACTGGCATGTTGTTATTATTCTTGTTTGATCTGTTTTGATATTTTTTTAATGATTGGCCAAATGACAGATGCCAGACATCACCCATCGGTGCTTGAATGGGAATCATCGCAGTCAAACGGTGAGATTGTTTGAAATTGAGAGCCGATCACTTTTGGCACAATTTGAAAATTATTATGAGAGAAAGTTTCAACTGGTGTACAGTAGTGAGATGAGATTTTGGAATGACCTGATCAAACGTCTCAACATCAGAAATGTTAATAAGCAATTTACCTTCAAACCTCCTTAAAGTAACCTCTTTGCAAATCCCTGTAATTAGTTACACCAAATGGTGCATCAATTACACATTACTCAAACATGATGTCACATTGAAAACATAGAGATTCCTTCCTTCCATGGGTTGTCCACACAATCTGGAGATCAGTTTTTTGGAATGATATGAATATCATAAGGTCCATGGGATGATAATATTGTAGAGGTTGTTGAGTTTGGTAAAAACAATAGCACTTGTGCAAATAACTGATAGGTTCCTGGCTCAAGAGATGCAGTTTGAATGTTGAGAGGAATTTGTTGTTGTTGCATGACAATCACATTGTGTGAAGATGAGTGAGCATCATACCCTTCAAATTGAAAAGTTTTCTTGCTTTGTAAAAGAGTTCTTGATTTCTCAACCTGTGAAAGTGAAATGACAAGTTGTAGAGAAATAGATTTCAATGCATTATTTGACTGAGATCCGTATGACTGATCCTGATGTTGTCTTGTCACTGAGAAATTATATTCAATCATTTCTCCTTGTTTGATGAAATTTGAACTCAGTGAAAAGTGTGATTGTAAACCTGAAATAGCACTTTGAATAATATCATCTTTTGCAGGAGATGGAAGAGCACCTTGCCATTGTTTAGGAGCAAGTATTCTCAAAGATGGATCTTCGAATGCCATTGGATTAAATGGATTATGAGTATCTTTGGTGGATTGTCTTAATTTTGCGAGTGCATCATCTGAAGTGATTGTATTAGTGTTGAATCGAATGAATCCAACTTGTTTCAGTCCTTTTCTTCTTAATTCATTTCTTAACTCTGGAAGAAGCGTGGAATATAAATGTGTGACATTGGTTGCATTTGAAATTCCTGAAATGGATGAAGATTTCACTCTTCGAGTTGTTGGTAGGTTCTCTGATTCATCCTTATTAACAAGATAAGATTCTAATAATCCTATTTTGTCATTATCGTTCGAAGGAATAACAGATTCCTTTTGGGTAGGTTCATTCTGATGTTCACTTCCTGTAATTTCTGACATTCTTTTTTTGAATGATTCTTTTTTTTGTACATCTTGTTCCAATTCTCGATTTCTTCTCCATTCCAATGCCATTAAATCATCATGATCTTCCTGAAATCTATTCTCATCATACAAAGGTCTTTTCGAGTAAATGGATTTATCCGACAACACATTATATTTTTCAATTTGAAGAGTTTCAGGATTAATTTTGTCGAACATTTCTCTTTCACTTCCAATCACTCTTTGAATGTCTGAAGAATGTGATTGATTGGAGAGAGTAGTAGTAGGTCTTTGATTGGAATGATTTAATAATCCACTCATCACAGCAGTTGAAGAAATAATTTTAGGAAATACCTATTTGTGAAATGTTCCAATGAATTCATGTTGTCATTTCAATCATTGTGTCAATTTAATCATTAATAATAAAACAATCATTGTGTCAATCATTAATTCATGAATGAAAACGATTATTAAAAAACAAATAGAGTTCAATGAATCATAAAGAAATGACCATGATTTAAATCACACACACACATTTAAAACACATAAATTATTAGAATCATAAAGTAAGGATGATGATGATTAGTGATTTCATGCACATATTTAAAAAACAAATATGCAGTTAAATATTAAACAACCACCTACAAGATTCATAAATTGTGAAAGGAGTGTACTCTGTGAATGACGATGATGACCATCACTTTCTGAAGACAAGACAACACCTGTCCGATTCGTTGTTTGTTCCGATCGTACCATTGGACCATGGTCCTCTCTTCTTTGTGATTCAAGATGATGATGATCATTCCTCTTCATTGTCTCCTCCTCCTCTTTAAGATCCCTCATCATCATCATTAATGATTTTTAAATTTTTTGAGTGCAAGGCACTCTCAATTAATTGTTTCACTACTGCTGGACACGATCGAAAAGCATTGCACACACACAGTCGCGCGTGTAAGAGAGCATTTCATTTGGAATGGGGATCCTTCTCTTTTTCAATCATACGAATGATTAACACATCAATGCATCATATTGTTGTTGTTGAATGATTACATGCACTGGACTGGACAGGATTCGGGGTTTGTTCATCTCTCTCTCGAAAGGACGCATTCCTTCTTTGATCGATTAAATCACCTAGTACTAGGTGATTAATATTGTTTTATTATTCGACGATAAGTGTTCAACAGTTTGCGATAATATTCAAAAAAAATGTCCAAATCGATCGCCAAGACTTGCTATGATGTAATTGTTACAGGTAGGTGTGTGGGAGCGAGTCCTTTCATCCGATTGAAGAGATTTGATTGAAATATCATCATGATATCACGATTCGGAATGAATTTTTAAATGGAAATTTGAAATCTCAATTCATGTACTGTTATTCATTTCATATAATGACCTCTCTGTACAATTATAATGATGACGATGATAACATGTTGCACATGTTCTCATGAATGGGAATATTTAAACAAATCTCAACAATTACTATTCTCAAAATATTGACTTCTAATGTCAAAACAATTTCAAATATTGAAATAGGTGGAGGTCACAATGGTCTCGTCTGTGCAGCATACATTAAAAAAACAATGCCATCTCTTTCTGTTTGCGTGTTTGAAAGAAGACATGTGACAGGTGGTTGTGCAGTTTCAGAAGAAGTCCATGATGGATATAAATTCTCACGTGCTTCTTATTTGTGTAGTTTGTTTAGAGGACATATTATGGATGAATTAGATTTGAGAAGAAGAATTAAATTAATTCCAAGAAATCCTTCTTCCTTTACTCCAACTTTGAATGAACATGAATTTCTATTTTTGGGAAGTGATGGAGAAATGAACAAACGAGAAATTTCAAAGTTTTCTAAAAAGGATGCTCAAAGATTTGATCAATATGAACAACAATTGCAAAAAGTAGCACAAAGTGTTGAATACTTGTTAGATTGTGGTCCACTTGATTTGGGTTATGATGAAAATGCTGGTGTGAAAGATTTATTATTTTCAGAATCATTTGGAATTTTGAGAAATAAGGAAAATAGAGAAAAAGTGAAGAGATTATTAGATGCTGCACGTGAACTTGGATTAGGAAATACTAGTTCTGCACTTGACATTTTCTTGAGGTGAGTGTTTGAATATTTAAATGATTCAGAAAATGTTTGACGATAAGAACTAATGTTTGATATTCATTGTGTGATCACACAATACAAATACCATACTCACCATACTCTGACACCCTCTCTGATCATGATGATATGAATACTATCATACTCTGCCATTCATGAATGTACCTATCATGATCAATTAATGAACATATGAATGTATCGATCGTAATACAGTCCTGCAAAGAAAGTATTGGATCATTGGTTTGAGAGTGATCTTTTGAAAGCAACACTCTCAACAGATTCCATTATTGGTGAATATTGTTCTCCAACCACTCCTGGATCTTCCTATGTCTTGTTGCATCATGTCATGGGGTATGTTTCATTTTGAGAGAAGAATAATAATCTATATATGATATTCATCACCACCACCACAACATCACACTTTCAATACTATCCATGATGATGATTGTAACTGAACACAATGTCACCACCACAATCCTACTCAATGATGAAAATAATCTCAAAATGAAAATCTCCATGTACAGTGATATTGGTTATGGAAAAGGTATTTGGGCCTATGTTCAAGGTGGTATGGGAGCTGTGACACAAGCTCTTACTGAAATTAATAAGGAACTAGGAGTTGATGTGTATACCAATGCACAAGTCAAACAATTTACTGTGAATTCAAATACTAATCGTTGCACTGGTGTTGTTCTTGAAGATGGAACAGAGATTACTGCCACCAAAGCTGTTGCTAGTAATTGTGATCCTCACACAACATTTAGAAAGGTAAGTAGTAGTAGTGGTAGTGGTGGTCATTGTGATGAACTTTTGACTTCTCTCACTCATGAATATTTATATATACTTCATCTTGCTCTCACTCATGAATATATAATACTTCTCTCTTTCATGAATATATATACAAACAACTCTTTCATGAATATATATATACTTGCATATATACTTATTCTCTCTCAAACACAATACTTTTTCTCTCTTTCATGAATATATATACAAACAAACAGTTAATGGACAAACATGATTTGAATTCTACCTATGGAGAAGAATTTGGAAGAAAAGTGGACAACATTGATTACTCAAGTGCTACTTTCAAAATTAATTTAGCTGTTCATTCACTTCCAAGATTTAAATGTTTCTCAACTCCAAAAGAGTCAAGAAAGAGTAATGGCAGTGGAAAGGAACACTTTGGTACCATTCACTTTGAAACATCTATTGATGAAATTGATCAATCTTATTTGCAAGCCAAATCATCACAACTCTATTCAGATAATCCTGTGATTGAAATGACCATTCCAAGTTCTTTAGATGAAACTCTTGTTAAGAATCACAAGGATCATCACCATGTGATTCAATTATTCACACAATATGCTCCCTATGATTTGAAAGAAGGTTATGTTTGGAATGAACAATTAAAGAGAGAATATGCCAATAAGGTTTATGATAAAATTGAAGCATATGCACCTGGATTTAAGAATTCCATTATTGGAGAAGATTTATTGAGTCCACTGGATTTGGAACAAACATTTGGAATGAAGAAGGGAAATATTTTCCATGGATCCATTCGATTGGATCAATTGTGGATGAATCGTCCATTCAGAGGTTTCTCCAATTATCGTTATTTTGATAAGAATCAAAGAGTGGGATTGAGTAATTTGTATTTGTGTGGAGCTGGTGTTCATCCTGGTGGTGGAGTGATGGGAGCATGTGGTTACAATGCTGCTCATGCATTGATGAGACATTTGAAATCCATGGGATCTTCTCATCAATAAAAAAGGCGCACCATGTGAAATTATGCATATTCGGATTGTCCTTTTGGATGATGATGATATTAAAAGATAGATCTGGAATGGTCATTTAAATTTATATTCTGAATTTTAGTGAGCATTATGATCCTGAATGGATTGAGAGTTATTCAGGATATTATTTTGTTAATATGTGTAAAAATTAACAAAATCATGCTCGAGATGGATATTTAAAGATTTTTGATAATTGCATTCACCAATGTTTCAGTATTTCCTTTTCCTCCTAAATCTGGTGATACAACATTCTTGTCATTCATCACCACATCGACTGCTTTTTCCATTTGATCTGCAATTGAATTCAAGAATGAACATTGAGGATCACGTTCTTGCAAAAATCTTAACAACATGGCACAAGCTCTAATGGTTGCAATAGGATTTGCCACTCCCTTTCCATAAATATCAGGAGCACTACCATGAACAGGTTCAACCAATGCAAAACTGTCACCCATATTAGCAGAACCTGTCACACCTAAACCACCGACAAAAGCTGATGCAGCATCACTCAAAATGTCACCATACAAGTTTGGAGCAACTAGTTATTTGATCACCAAAAATATAATAAAATTATCATTCAAAATAATTAACATCATCATAAAAACATTAATAAAAAATAATTAAAAATTTCAGAGTTCACAAGTGAAAAACATGTATCAACATACATACCCACCACATCGTATTGAGTAGGATCTAAAATCATCTTATAAACCATAGAATCAACTAATTGTTCTTCAACTTTGACTTGTGGATACTTTTTAGCAACTTGTAAACAACTCTCTCTAAACAATCCATCACTCACACTCAACACATTTGATTTGTGAACAATGGTCACTTTTGGAAAATGATTCTTATTTCTTTGAATTGCCAATTTGAAAGCCATTTCTGCAATTCTCTTACTGGATCTCTCTGTAATTAATCGTTCAGCAACAGCAATTTTTTCTCCTGTTTGAGGATCAACAGATAATTTCTCTTTCTTAATGTAAAGACATTCCGTGTTTTCTCTCACAATTAACATGTCAATTCCTTTTTTAGTATCTTGGCATGGACGAATATTAGCATAGAGATCAACAAGTTTTCTCATTGCAACAATTGGAGAGCTATATCCTTCCACTCTGATGCGAAGGTGTGTGTATGTTGGTACAAAATTGTGAAATGACAACACCAAGGGGAGGAGAAGTGAAGAATCGTGACATGATGATGAATTGATTTTCACATATTCGAATCATCATTAACATAAACACACACTTACTTGTGACTTGGAGATTGAACAGATCCAAAGATGGCACCATCACATTTTGTTTTCAATGCTTCTACAGTTTCAGATGGTAAACTCTTTCCACTCTTTTCAAAAGTTTCCCATCCAGCTTGATATTTTGAAATGCATTACAATAAAGGAGTAAAAGATATTTTGAAATTCATAAGGATGAGAGTATAAATGTAAAATAGAATATCCTATTCACTGAACATGTTCATCACAATTCTCAACACACAAACCTTCTAAGGGAATATATTTCAATGAAAAATCTTGTTGTTTTGCTTGAATACTCTTCTCAATGGCTGCATTCATCACTTGAATGGCTGCAGGGACAACTTCTTTTCCAATTCCTTTCAGGAATGATCATCATCCGATAGTATATGTATCGTGTCGATGATATAAAGTTTTAGATCATGAGAGTGATCATCATCATGGCATTCCATTATAAACACAAACAAAATCAATTATCAAGTAAATTCACAATGATGAGGATGAAAATTATTACATGATGTTGATCATCAAAAGAGAAAGAATGGTATTTGAAATCACAACTTACCATCCGCTGGAATGACACCAATCACTTTTTGAACATTTCTCAATTGCTGATGTGATTGTTTAGTGATCAATGAAAAGAGAGAATGGATTGAAGAAGAGGAACAACCAATGATGATAGATTTAAACATGGTGATGATGATGTGACAATTTCAAATGGTAGTGAATGAATTGTGATGAACTATTCTTTTTTGCTCTCTAATATTCACACTCGCTCAATTATTATTGAAATTCTCCACACATCCATGTGGACTTGGTAGTGTTTCCTAAATTGTAATTATAGGTGAAAAGGCATGTTGTTTGAAAGGAGAGTGAATTTTATTGCTCACTCACTCACCGAATTCTAATGATTGTTTTGTTTCTTGTACTAATGTTTCAGGTTGATTCAAAATTGCATTCATATAGATATTTAACCTTATATGATCATTGGAGGTTTTAGCAATGAACACAAATGCTCTCTGCAAATCAATATCTCGTTTCAATTCAGGAGCAGAATGTTCAAACAACAATGTTGATTCGTTCAAGTGTTGTAAAATAAATTCCTTATTCTTTTTGAATGATATGTCAAGTAATAATGCATTTTGAGGCAATAAGGATTTGGCAATTTGTACATTTCTTTTTAGACTCTTGTTTAACACAGTGTAATAAAATGGATTCTTTGAAATTAATTGTAGAGCTTGTTCAACAGTAGTACATTCACGTGCGTGTTTCACATTCAATTCACTACTGCCAAATATCTTAATGAATAGTCTGATCGGTTCAATTGATGTTCTTAAATCTGACATCCACATTTTAAGGAGTCCTAATTGTTCTAATTGCTGACTTTTTGTTAAATAGATCATACCAGTGTTTTTATGCATGATTAAAAGCTTTTCATGATATAATCTACCGATGCAAATATAAGTGTCATTGTTAGCAAAATCTTCATGGTCAATAAAAGTCTGATGATGAGCAAAATCAAGAGAAACATTTGATGCATAATCCCATTCCTCAATTGGATAAATGACATTGCTTGGATGGACAAGTTTGGAATTCCAATTTGGTCTACCATTTGTTGTTGAAAAGAATGTCCTCCACTGCCATGACAGTTTAAAATTCAAACGCAATTCCACTTGTTCAATTTCCTCTTGTGATGGAGGATCTTCATTGAGAGGAGCAATACAAAGTGTATTCAATTCATTCCACAAATCCAACAATTCAATTTTAGATAATTCAACATAAGCCGATTCGAATTGCGAACAAATTAATCGACAATTCAAGCATCGTGATCTTTCATCAAGGAATTTCATAATATTGAAAATAATTTCGGGAAGTAGAAGATGAGAGTAATGTGTGGTCATGATTACAGATGATGAAAAGCCTTTTTGTTCGTTCGTTGGATCCGCAATCATCATTGGACAAGTTGTTGAAGAAAGAGATTCTTTAAATTTCTTGGATGGTATTTCCTCTTGGTCTCCAAATGATTCCATCATGATCATCGTTGTTGTTATTTCATTCACATATCCACGTGCATGATCATTGTTGTTGTGATTGTTCACGAAAGAAGAGCCTTCATCATCATTCATTCCACCATATGAATGTTCTCGTTTCATTTTTGATGGAGTTCATCATGCAGCACCGTGCATTCCTAGTGAAAGTGCTTTAGTTTGCTGATCGGGTGTTCCGATTGAATTTGTCCAACAAGATCATCATGCGTGGCGTATAATAGGAGTCATACAGCCAATCATGAACGCACAATTCTAACATGGCAAGCCAATCATTCTGAACTGTCGAAATTGGCGAAGGAATGCGAAAAAGGACGCGCATTCATTTTCCTCAAATGTCCTATCGATGATGCGATTCCGAATACCCATATCGAACAATTTAATTGAAGCTTGGTTGATCGATGATGAGTGTCCTCTACAGTTTTTCTCGTCCGAGTAGTAGACTAGTAGTCGGTGGTATATATACTTGTAACATTGTGCTCTCATGTTTGCTCATGAGAATAAAATTGTGAGGAAGAATTCTCTCTTTGGAACGTCGTTCATGTGAGCTGTTTATTCCTCTTGTCGGGTAAATTGAATGTGAACGTTTGAATTCGTTGAAATTCTCAACTGTGAATCATAATTTTCATTGAGCCTTTTGTCATCTTTGAACATTATATATTGTTGAATCTCGTCGTTGCCGAGATGAATTATAACATCTCTCAGGTATTTCAAGTTTTCCTTGCATAGATGAATGGCGTTAACAAATTCAATTCCATGTTGCAATTAAAACCCCTTCATCATCATCGAGCTACTCCTTGCTCTCTCTCATCACTCTCTATTTGATGGAGATGCATTATTTCCATCGGGAGAATTTGCATCGGCACTCCTTCACCAGGAAACCCTCTCACCAATTCAACGACTAAGGGCGCATCAATTATGGTCGCTGTCATGCACAAATAACAAACCACCCTACCAAAACACAACACAAACAGCGAGATTCTTCAACCTATAAATTAACGTCTTGCCATTTCGAACCAAACACGTTAAATACCATTCGTGTCAAGTCAACCGAGTTTACAAACACATTGATCATCATCCACAGATCGCTGTCACGCTTGCGCTCTCGCACTCTCTCTTTGCTGCATGTGTTCTTGCAGCGCTGATCAACCACCAACGCAACCACTCCTTGAGATTCTCTCTCCATTTCTTCTTCGGCGCCACTCTGAGAGGGTGCGACAAAAAGTTGAAGCCATAAAAAAATCAACAACTCTCTCTGCAGATCAAGATCAAAGACCTGATCATCATCTGAGCTCTACCACCTCATTACTTTCACGACCCATTAATACTGTTGTTGATTCGATTACCCATATATTCTCATCTTGTAATAAGCTTTTATAGTAATAACATTAATAACAACAATAATAACAATCATTGACTCGCACCCGAAAGACACCTTTGATGATGATGATGAATAATTCCGCCATGTTACAGCCCTCGTTGAGTACAAGCACTCCACCACCACCTCCACCCATGAAGATGATGATGAATGATCATTCCTTTGCTTCTTCTTCTCAACCAGTATATACTGGCTTGTATTCATTCCCATCCATGGTTGCTTCCATGCAATGTGTGGCAACACCTTCACCACCACTTGCTCAATCATCCAACAGTGCAACTCTTTCCAATCGTACTATTGCTGCTTCTGCAACACTTAGTAATGTCAAACAATGTGCCAACTACAAGTGTGGAACCACAAAGACTCCTCTCTGGAGAAAGGTATGTAGTAGTAATATTCATGTGACAAATGATTCAAACTTGGTAATGCGATAACACTTCTCGAACAACACCAACAATACTCAAAATCTGTGATTTTCATGATCCATTCAACTTTTTTATTGATCTTTTTTTGATCGATTCACCAACTCCCACCACTTGCTAATGACACCACTGTCGTCCATCACCTCATACACTCACCCCACTCTCATGCACTCACACAGGGATGGACCATTGAAGAACCTTCCTCAAAGAATGGTTACAAACCAAAGACCGTCTTTTTGTGTAACAAGTGCGGTCTTCACTATAGAAAGGGTCATTATTGCAAAGAGTGTTTAGAAATCTTCAAAGAAAGTGACATGAGAAATGAAAAACAATTTTGGCTCATTTGTTCTCACTGCAATCAATGGATTCACAAGAAGTGTATGAAAGAGACTTGTCAAGATGAAACTAATTATGTGTGTTGTGAATGTAAAGAGAATCCAAATCGTACTCTCACAACCAAACGTAAGAAGAAATCAACCACCACCGTCACTCCAAAACAAGTTTCTAGCGAAGAAGAGGAAGAAGAAATTGTCATTCCAAAGAGAAGAGTTCAACACAAACGTTCCTATGAATCTCCACAAGAAGAGGAAGAAAATGACAAACCATCTGAAACTACTAGTCCTGTTCAAAAAGAAGGATCTACCACTCATTCTCCAACTTCTCCAAATTCAATGCCATTCAAGAAGAGAATTAAAGGAACCATGTCACCACCTACTTCACCACAATCCATGATGCAACCATTGAAGATTAGTAGAATCTATTCAAAGATTGCATCTGAAATTGATGGTTACACTACAGAGACATCCTCTCCAACAACCTCTGAGAATGAAGAAGACTATTCTCTTTCCTTCTCTCCAATTAGAATGCCAAGTGATGGTCCAAGGGTGTTCCTTATCAACCAACCAATGAGTATGAACTCTTCTTCAGCCATTGACATGTTGGCATCCATTTGTGAACAAATGCAATAAGAGGTTCTCTCCAAATCCTTCGACAACAAGAACTCTGTGAAGAGTTTTGAGAGAGTGGCAATTTTCAAGCAGCAGTCACTCTTCTTCACAGAATTCATTCCAATCACCATCACCACCTCCACCTTTGTGCTCTCCAATAATCAAAACATCATTGGACTCCCTTTTTGTCCCTCTCGGAGTCTCTAGTGTCTACGTCATCAACCAAACAACATTGAACACTCTAACTTCTAACTTTGTGAGCACCTTTCCAACTTGCGGATTTGAGATACGCCTAACCACCAACCCACCTATTCAATTTTGATCATCAACATTTGTACAGACAAAATAAACTCAAAAACAAATTTAATGAAACCAATTCGTTGTGGGTCCGTAATCAAATTTGAGCACTGAATGCTGAATTATTAAAAAGGAATTGCATAATATTTAATTTTTTAGTTTATTGTGTTTTGGAGAGAGAAAAGACCAGATCATTTACAATCTACGTCCACGTCTACCACCCTTTCTTCTTGTTGAGTCGTGTGGAATTGGAGTAACATCTTCAATTCTTCCAATCTTGACACCTGCACGAGCCAAAGCTCTCAAAGCAGATTGAGCACCAGGACCTGGAGTCTTTGTGAGGACACCTCCTGTAGCTCTAAGTTTAATGTGGAGAGCATTGATACCCAAATCCTTGCATCTGACAACAACATCTTGAGCAGCAAGCATAGCAGCATATGGGGAAGCTTCATCTCTGTCAGCCTTGACCTTCATACCACCGGTAACTTTAACGATGGTTTCTTGTCCAGACAAGTCAGTAACATGAACAAAAGTGTTGTTGAAAGAAGCATAAAGGTGAGCAACACCGAAAACAAGTTCGTTTTCACCCTTTCTTGGACCGTAGTATGCGGTTTCAATTTTTGCTTTTCTTTCCTTCTTTGGTGGCATGGCTAGTTAACTTTATAATTATGAATAAGAAGCAAGTAGTAGAAATTGTTGGAGGCAAGTCCAGAAAATTTTAGAGAAAGGAGAGACGTGAAGATGATTACGTACTTTTGGCGTATTTTTTTTCAACAAATTTTTTAAAAAAATGAGTCAACCAAAGCAAAAAGTTTACAATACATAAGAGCTGTCTACCTAACTTTATTACTCTTATTTTTCAAATGTTCTTACCATTCCTTGGGGAAACAAACATCATTTCGTCCATGAATATTTCCGTCATTTGTAGGTTTGACGGTGTGGTTGTTCCGTCGTTGAATGTTTGGGTAAATATTGACGACAAGCCACTTGGGGTTGGTGAACAAAATGGTAATTGTGTATCCGAAATACTGGAGGTGAATCCTCGAGGGGTAAATCCACTCGGAAGTGTGTGTTCAGTTAAAACTGACACAGTACTCTCCACTCCTATTGGTGTTGAGGTTGTGTGACAAACAACGCTGGAAGATCTATCCGAGCAAGAGATGTCACCACTTTTTTCCACCAGATTAATTCGCAAATTTTTGAACTTGTCTTTTCTATTGCCTTGTTCCGAGTTACAATTATCCTCTAGCGACGTTTCCCCATTCAGATTTTCCTCAGATTCTAACTTAATATCGCTTGAATTTCGTTTCATTTTCTTTGATGGGTCGTCTGTTAGCTCCAAAACGTCACGAAATGATCTTTTGAGAGGATTTGTTTCGGCAAGCGGTGTTGCAAGGAAAATCTCATTGAATTCTGATGATTTGCAAGAGAATTGGGGATGATCTTTGTAGTAATCATTTCTGTTTTGAGGTGGAATGTTTGTTTCTTGAACGAGTTGATCCCTGTGAATTATTTGTTGTGGTTGACTGGAGTCATCTTTTTTCTCCTCAGCCAGTTCCCTTTTTGTTTTTTGTTTTTTCTCAAATCGCTTCGACAGCGTTGAATTCCAATGATTTTTGATCGCGTTGGCAGTTCTTCCTTCCAAAGCTTTGCTTATTTTTGCCCATTGATTGCCATGCTTTTCATGAAGCTCAATTATTATTTTATCTTCCTCTTCCGTCCATGCTTTTTTGTTGATTCTTGGGTCCAAATGGTTCAAGTATCGCTCTCTGCATTGCTTGCCCACTCTACCTTCCAAATGGGAGGCTATAAAAGACCAACGTTTTGGGCCATGTTTTTTAACCAATTGAAGTAATTTTTCATCCTCTTGCTCACTCCATGAGCCCTTAATAACTCCAGAATCACCTTTGGTACTTTTCTTCTCTGTAGAGTCGAGATCTTCGGAATCATAATCATTGTTTGAATGTTGAGTCAATTTAAGCACATTTGCTGGTCCGGATGACGATGATTCCACACATGGGTTTTTGTTGTTGACAACATTCACAGGATTTGATCCATTCAGCATTGCCAAAAGTCGTTGGTATGTAAGAAAAGAAATTTTAACAACCACATAAGGTTCATCTTTTTGCCCACAAAGGTCTAAGATATGATCTCCTAGAGACGTTGAAGAAAACCCTGTTAGATCCATTTGGTTAAAAAGGTGTGTCGTGCTACTTTGTTGAGGATGAGTGTGGCTCAATGAGGTTTGATGATGATTTACTTCATTGGCACCTCCTCGGGTGGTGGAGTGCGAAGAAACATGAAGGTGTTGAGGAATATTTTGATGACCTGAAATCGAGAGCCTTCGAGAGTTGTTTTGAAGAAGTTGCTGTTGTTGAAAGTTCAAATGATGAGAAGATGATGTTTGGAAATTATTGGTTGGATTAACATCTTGCAGAGATGCCATAAGAGAAGATCCCAACGATTGGTTCTGAATTTGAGTGGTTTGTGGGCATCCCGACTCTGGAATCATAAAGGACAAGTTCTGATTCATCATCATGTTTCAGCGCTTGTAGATGAGATGTTCCAAATGTCTCGGAAGAGGCTTCTAAAATACAGCCGATGACAGAATATGAAATATCTTGATTCACTCACGGGGGAATATGCGGATGGTGTCCACGTGCTGGTTCTAAGGGTATGAAGTGGTTATTGTCGGTTTCTGTTCGGTTGTAGACGTTGTGAGCGTTAATCAATTTTTTCAATGCTGCTGCGAAAGAGATAATTAAAACAGGATTGGAGTTGTAAAAGTGTACTACAGTGAACAATTTTGTGAGGGAATTTTGACAGGTGGTGAAGCTCAAGAATATCACCTGTTTGAGCGAAACGGACGGATCTGGACTTCATTGTGGGAGAAATATGTGTCCACTCTTTGAAGTTCGATCTGCACAACAAAGAAAACAAATGCACTTAATTTAATGCTTCTTGATTTCAATACTCGACAGACTGGAACTCCAAATCCACCAAGAATAAAAGTAAAACCTCAAATTTCAAACAAAATCAATAAAACCAAGCATTGAAACACTCTTGAAAGATTTAAAACTCATTCTTCGTTTGTTGGGTTGTTGTTGTCATTAAACTGGTTGTTTTGATCAATGGGACTCTTCTGAACCCAAAAGAATCTCAGAGTCCCTAATACAAAAGAAACGAATGCGCCTTTTTCGATCGCCCTGAAAAAAATTCCTACATAATTTTCGACTCTGCTTGTTTGCCCTAACAGAGGAATTCACCATCATCATGTACGAAAACGGAGAAGATTCATTCGATGGTTAGTATTCATTGTAATCAGTACAACGATAAATGGAGGAGTGATAATTTTTTAAATCATCATTACTATTTCATATCACAACGAAACAACAATAGAGGATGATTTTATTTTCAACGAATACACTATTGATGATACATTGGACAGTCTTTCTCGTTTAGAAAAGTACTACAACTCTGATTTCTCTCTTCAGAGGTTCGTATGATTAAATATTATAAATGATACATTTGTTCATCATCAAAATAATAACAACAACAACCGTACGATGGTGGATGATATGGAATTTAAATTACAAAAATATATTTAATATCGTTGTGAACTTTTTGTACAATCAAACAACACCAACACTATTTTACATCAACAACAGACTTGTACTTCTCAGAGATGTTCACGACACAGCAGTAGAAGCCGGATACAAGGAGAGCGTTAAACGTTTGCTTCCTCTCCTTCAAAACTTTGTTTCAGACACCGAACCAGTTGTACGACAAGTTTTTGCTGAAAAGCTTTATCCTCTGGCCACATTCTTCTTGGAAAATGGAGGTGAAGATGGATACAATGAACTTATTAATACTTTTATTCCATACACCTTTGAATTGATCATTGATAAGAATACCGAGGTTGGAAATAGTGCTACAGAGGCTTTGGTTAAAATTTCAAAGCTGATAAAACAAAATCACATTGAGCCACAATTATTATCAGTCATTGTGAATTTGGCTCATGACGACAGAGTGGAAGAGTACCGTATTGCAGCAGCAAAATTATTCAATGAGTTGGCTCCTCAATTCGGACCTGATTTAGTTAAAGAGGTTGTGGTACAAGAGATTATTTCTCTTAGCGACGATCCATCACTCTTGGTAAGAAAGACTGTCTCACAATCATTGAATTTGATCTGTCAGCAAATTGGTCCAGAGTTAACGGTTACAAAAATTCTTCCAGTTTATTTGGTTTTGAGTAAGGATGAGATTTGGGGAGTAAGAAAGGCGTGTGCAGAGTCCCTTCCAGAGATTTCAAAATGTGTTGATAGAGAAACTAGACTAAATACATTGGTAGAATTGTTTGATCGATTTGCAGATGATGTAAGCAGATGGGTGAAAATGGAAGCTTACAAACAATTAGGAGCTTTCATCGCAACATTCGAACCTGATACACCAGAGGTTCCATCATCTATTCCAGATTCCCTAATCCAATCATTTAGTGACATGGCATTCCAAAACGATCAAAATGAAACAGATATGGTCGAATATTGCGCATTCAACTTCCCTGCTGTTGCCCAAATTATTGGAAAGACAAAATGGTCTCAGTTGGAGAATGCATATAACCACTTGGTTAAGGATGTACAATGGAAAGTTAGAAGATCTTTGGCATGTTCTTTACATGAGATTGCAAACCTTGTACCTCCCGAAGTGACTGAGACCTGCTTGGCAAACGCTTTAGAACTCTTTTTAAAGGATTTGGATGAAGTGAAAATTGGTGTAATTTCTAATCTTTCTAGCCTTTTCAAGTTCTTCAGTGAGGAAACTAGGCAAAAATATTTGTCAATAATTTGCTCCATTCCTGAACAGACAGACAATTGGAGAATTAAGAGTGAAATTTCTAAACAATTAGGTTTTCTTGCTGAATTGGTTTCACCAGAGACTGTTAAAAATACCATCCTGAACGTGATTTTTGACTTATATACCGATGATTTTGCAATTGTACGAAAGAACTCTATTGTTTCTGTAAGTTTTTTCTTGTGATTGTTTTTCGAATATTTATTTTTCAAAATGATGATTAGTGTGGAAAAGTTATGAAGAGATTATTTGATGAAGAAAGTAAGGAGGGACAAAAAGAATTTACTGCATTCCTTCATGAGTTAGCTTCAGGAGAGTATCACAGGCGATTGATGTAAGTACTTACAAGATCAATCCATGGTTCTGAACACCATTCTTTAGCTTTGTTTTTGCTTGCGAGCATTTGCTTGCTGAAATAGATCATAATTTCTTCATACAAGAATTTGGCCCAGATTTGGAAAAGATATCCAAAGACGTTATACCAAATGTTAGATTAAATTTGGCGAAACTATTTAGAAAATGCATCCAACCGAACGAATCACTAAGAGAAAATCCTGTCTTTATCAATATTAGACAAACTTTGGAGAATGACAAGGACAAGGATGTGCTATATTTCTTGAAGTAAGTAACTTAATGTAATCGATTCTAAAACCAATATTTATTCAATTAATTTTCTTCAGTAATGACTATGTTGAACCACCTAGCGATGACGATTATTAGAATGTATATTTAATTATTTTATTAAAATTCTTTGAAGCATATTCTAATCAAACATGTTTTGAATCACCAAATTTAGAATTCAACTTCTCCTACAATAGAACGCTTCACTTCTTTACCCTCTAAAATATCTAGAACCTCCTTGCCTGAAAGTGTTTCATATTTAACAAGTTCTTTTGCAAGCTTCCTTAATTCAGTTTCATTCTCTTTCAGCATTGCTTTCACTCGTTCGTATGAAGAATTAATTATTTTTTGAATTTCAATGTCTATCAATCTCTTTGTTTCAGGAGAAAATTCAGGTCCCTTTTGATACATTGAGCCTTCTTCTGTGAAATCAATCAAACCCAATTCGCTCATACCAAATCTTGTAACCATTGATCTTGCAATGTTGGTAGCATGCTGTAAATCCGATGTACATCCAGAGGTGACATTGTCCTTTCCATAAATAATTTCTTCTGCAACAACACCACCAAGAGCTTTTTCAATAATTTGAATATACTGTTGTTTTGACATGTGATGAACCTCACGTTCAGGTAAGGAAGCTGTAAATCCGAGAGCGCTTCCTCTTGGAATAATTGTAAGTTTGTGAAGAATGTCCTTATTGAGTTGGGATGATTTCTTTTGATTCAACAATACCACCATAGCGTGACCACACTCATGGATTGCAGTAATTTCCTTATCCTTTTCATTCATTACATTGATACTGGAGGTTCTTGCAATACCCATAACAATTCTATCAAAAGCGTAATCAATGTCATCACTACTAATTTGCTCCTTGTTCTTGGTACAGGCTCTGATAGAAGCAACATTTACAAGATTTTCCAAATCAGCACCTGTGAATCCAGTAGTTTTCTTGGCAATGGTTTCAACATTGACAGATGGATTAAGAGGCACTTTCTTCAAATATAAATCTAAAATTTCCTTTCTGCCTCTTAAGTCAGGAAGTGGAACTTCTATGTGTCGATCAAATCTTCCAGGTCTAATTAAGGCCTTATCCAAAGATTCTAACAAGTTTGTAGCACCAATGACAATGATTCCTTCGCTTGATTTGAATCCATCCATTTCAGAGAGAATTTGGTTGAGTGTTTGCTTTGAATAGAATGGATCCTTTGCTGTTCTCTTACCACCAAGAGAGTCAATTTCATCGATAAAGATTATACAAGGAGCTTGTTTTCTTGCAGCAGCAAACAATTCTCTTATACGTCTTGCTCCAACTCCCACAAACATTTCATCAAATTCAGATCCGGAACAAAAGAAGAAAGGAACGCCAGCTTCTCCAGCAATAGCCTTAGCCAAAAGAGTCTAATTTCAATTCAACATGAATTAGTAAAAATTGTAATAAAAAGATTAAACTTACCTTACCAACTCCCGGTTTTCCTACCAAGAGAACTCCCTTTGGTAATTTTCCTCCTAATTTGTTGAATTTTTCTGGATTCTTCAAGAAGTCCACAATTTCCTCTAATTCACCTCTACATTCATCAATGCCCTTCACATCATTGAATCTTGTCTCCACATTTGTGATTGGTTTGTAAGTTGTCTGACCAAACATTGATCCCAATCCTCCTCCTCCTTGTTTTTGCTTGGTTGGATCATTTGGAGTGTAGTAAGCTAAATAAACAAATAGTCCAACAATTGCTAAACTGAAGAGCATTGACAAAATAGATCTATTCAAATTAACCTTGTTAAATCTTGAAAAGAATGAGTCATCCATTGTGACAACAAGTTTTTGAGGAAGAATGACTGGTTGTGGCTGATGTGGAAAATTATAAGTATTAATGTAGGAATTATCTGGAGTACCAGTAAATGTTGGTGGAGTAGATTGCTGTGGTTGTTGAGTCTGAGAAGAGTAGGCATAATAATTTGTACGTGGAGCATTCTCTTGATAAACTCCACCAATTCGTTCTAGTGAAGCTCTATATATTTGTCGAATTAAAGGATGATCCAATGAATAAGATCCGCTATCAACAAGTTGGACAATCATTTGATAATGTTCCAAATCAAATAATGCCTGTAAATATTCAGCTTTTCTATCCATGTTATTGCTGGTTTGAGCCTCATATTCTAATCTTGCCAATTTAGCAGGACTAACTCTAGAGGCCTTTTCAATTGTTGATGTATGAAATAGTCGATTTACAAAAAGATTGTTATAGAAAGCCTCTGTAAATTCCATAATACAATAAAAACAATTAAAAGGAATTATTCCGATTGTTAACAGCAACACGGAATTCGAAAAGTACGGTAAAAAGTTTAAAATTAATATTCGACGTTGATTAACATGATTTTTGCTTTTGGAAGAAACACCTACCTGGCACGCTCGAAAATTTGGGTACTTCCAAATAGCTTCCTCTATTCAATGCACTACCCAGTATTAATGAAGCGCTCTTCATGAGTGGATTTGCCGATGTGATATTGCAGCTACCACTTCCGGCCAAGGAGACTCCTGCGTTACTCGTTCCTCGGAGGAGGAATTTACGAGACGAATTTAACATTTTTTTTAAATTTTTTTTAATCTTTGGGTTGCGAATGCAATCAATCAAAATGGAATCCATTGTGTGCCCAATATATATTGATTCATTCACCATGAATGATACAACATCAAATGTGTGATAGGGGATGACATTGCGGAGAGTCTACTCAGAGAGGTGGTCAAACAACAAAGGTGCAATTCTCTAAAACAAGGTTGATTGTGTCTGTTCATTGTTACAAAAAACGAGTAGAAATTAATTTGTGGATGACGACATCATCTCTTTCCATCACAAAATTGAAGGGTGTCATCAAAACTTTTGGCAAACTTCATCATCCACCTTAACACCCTCTTCCGCATTCTGGTGTTGCAAAAAGAAAAGCCTTGCCAAGCTTCAATTTCCGCAAAAGCCTTTAAAAATATTTTGCACTTACAAAAAAAATTCTCACCACTCATCTTGCGTTCAACCTTGTATCGCTTGTATTGTGTTGAAAAACAACGTCCTTCCTTCATCATCATCATTATACAAAGATGTCCCAAAGTAATAACACCAAGAGAAAAGTAGCATACACTAAAAGACCATCCTCTCAAGAAGGTGGTGAATCATCATACAATGCAGGCATTTCAAAGCAAGAAATCGAAAAGAGAGTAAAACACATCAGCGAAATGTTCTCAGATTGGAAAAAAGCCGACATTGAAAGATGTCTCCAAGAGAATAACTACGATGTGAATCTTGTTGTACAAATGAAGGTCGAAGGAAAAGAAGATTGGACAACTGTAGAGAAGAAAGAAACTAGAACACAAAAGCCACAAAAAGGAAGAGGCGGACGTGGTGGTCGTGGCGGTGCTTCTGCTAATCGTGGAGGCTCTTCTTCTCAACATAATCACGATGGTTCTTCTGCAAGATCTAATAACTCACAACATCCATCAGGAGGTTCTTCCTTGAACGATAAATCCAACAAGAAAAAACCAACTAAGCAAGAAAAAGTAACTACTTCTGAAGTGCGTACATTCTCCACTCCTGAAAACCAAACAACAGCAACAACAACCGAGCAAACACAAGCACCAACACAACATAAGCTTTCATATAGCGAGGCTGCTGCTGCAAGCAAAAGAAAGGAAGAGGAGGAAAAGAAGAGACAAGAGGAAGAACAGAAGAAACTTGAAGAGCAAGCTAAAGCCAAAAAAGAAGAATTGAAGAGTGAACGAATTCAACGAAAGAAGAATAAGAAGACCAAGGCACCAAAGGATGATGCCAGAGAGGAAGCTTCTGCTCCAGTTGCACAAGAACAAGAACCACAACCACAACAACAAGTCGTTGAGGAATCAGTTGTGGAAGAGGAAGTACCAGAAGAAGAGCTTACTCATGAAGAGGCTGAACAACATGTCGAAGAGGTTCAACCTCAAGTTCAACATCATCAACCACAACAACAACAATCACAACAACCACAACAACCACAACAACACCATCATCAACCACAAACTCATATTCAACCTTCTCAACCACAAACTCATACTCAACAACCTGTTCAAACATCTCAAAACTTCCAAACCAACTTTGAACAACGTCAACTTTCACAACCAAAGCAAGAGGAACCAATTCAAATGCCATCCCATCTTTTCACAACACAACCAGGAATTTCTCTTCAATTTGGTTCATTAGATTTGGGATCAACTTCTCAACCAAAACCTCACCAACAATCTAATGTTAATCAACCAAACCCTCAAGCTGGACAGCAAATGCAAAATGGTCAATATTGGACAGATCCTAAAACATTTATTCCATATTTCCCAAGCCAATATCCATATCACCCTCAATACTACCCATATATTTACCAATACTATCAACCAACTGCTGGTCAAGGAGTGAATGCAAACAAGAACTTTAACCAAGGATTCTATCAACAACAAGAAGGATATGGAATGTATAACCAACACCAAACCAATACTGGTAATGAGGAGAATGAACAAACTCACCAAGATGCTTATCATTATCAAATGCAACATCCATACTTTGTGATGTATCCACAACATAATGTTGATGCCAAGCAAAAGTCAGAATCTCCACAACACAATGAGCAAAAGGCCAACCCATACCCATATCTCCCTGGATATCAATCTCAATACCCTCAATATTTCCCAAATCAGATGTATCCAACTCATTATCCTTCTGCAGGAAACACGACCACTAATCCTAACAATAATACCAGCCAAACCCAAAAGAAGTGGTAACTTATGATTCCTCCCTCTTCATACCTTAATTATCAAATCTCTTTCCAAACCTAAACTAAAGCTCCCCAATAATTTTGTACATTTTCCATACTTATCTTTTTTTGTTGAATTTCTTATTTTGGATGATTTTTGCTTTGTTGTCCATGGAATGTAATCGAAGAATCATTGATAAGAAAATGTCTTTGCGAGTTGTATTACGACAAGGTAATGTGAAAGGTAAGTCATTCTTCAAGCATAGATTTCTGACGACGGCTCTTAATGAGAATAGATGACCCAATGCCATTGGAAAAGCAAGCATGTTATGCTTCGTTTCATCATCACATTGGTAAGCAAATTTGTCACATATCTAGTTTTGAGTATTCTCGATTGACACTTGTTTGCTCGAAACAGAGAGAATGAAGAGAAATGTTAAACCATTTTCCGACAGGAAAATATTTCATATTAACTCAACAGCAGTTGGTGGTGGAGTGGCAGAAATGTTGTCAAGAGTCACAAGAACGATGAACCAAACTGGCTTCAATGTATGTGATCTTAATGAAGAATTAAGCATCAAATTGCAACTTTAACACATTAAGGCCTCATGGATGACCCTGAATACTGAGGATGAACGATTTTTTGTTCTCACAAAGAAAATTCACAACTATATCCATGGAACTGGACCCGATGTTGATTTTTCAGATCAAGATAGGGAAGTATACGAAAGTGTTGGGAGAGAGAATGCCGAAAGTGAAGTTTTTCAAAAAGAAATTTCCAACGGAGATATTATTGGTAAGTGTGGTCCTATGAAGGTCATCCATGAACAAGCACATCAACATTTTTGTAAACCAACACCTTCGTACGATGTCTCCAACAGTGTTGCATGATCCTCAACCATTAGGAATGGTCATTCCAATTCGAGAAAAGTTTGGAAGTGGAGTTAAGATTATTTTTCGGTGTCACATTGGACTTGACGAACACAATTTCCAAACGATCTGCGCTTGGACATTTTTGAAGCCGTATATTAGTCAGGTGGATCATTGTATATTCACTTCACCTGAATATGTTCCTAGTTTTGTTAAAAATGTCAAATGTACAATCATGTATCCAAGGTAAGTGGGAAAGCTCGAGAGTGATGTTAAAAATTTTGTGAATGATTTTTCACAACCTTTCGATGATACATCTCAGTCTGTCTCCGTTCAATCCTAAAAATCAAGAACTCTCCACCGGTGAAATTTTAAACATTCTCATCCAAAGTGGATTGACCAAAGGAGATGATCGTTTCGAATGGAAGGTTCCATTTGAACACCAAGTAAAGTGTTTATTTAAAGATCCAATGTCGGTAGGAATACCATTCAGCCCCATTGTCACTCAAATCAGTCGATGGGATCGATTGAAAGGATGGATTCCACTCATTAAGGGATGGGTGGAGATGAAGAAAAATATTCACAAGTATTCAGTTGGTGCTTCTGAGGAAGGAAAAAACTTGTTGAGAAATGTGAAACTTGTGTTAGCTGGACCAAATCCAGAAGCCATTCAAGATGACCCAGAAGGATTACAAGTATTTGAAGAGTTGACAGTTTATTTTGCAGATCTTGAACCTGATCTTCAGGACACCATTGCCATTCTTTCTCTTCCAATGAATAATGTGACACAAAACGCTCTCATTGTGAATGCTCTCCAAAGATGTTCACTTGTGGTATTTCAAAATAGTTTAAGAGAGGGATTTGGATTGACATGCACAGAGGCCATGTTTAAACGTATTCCAGGTAGGTTGAAAATTAACATGAAGTGTTAAGTGATCATTGAAATGGACATGAAGTGATTGGATCCAGACAAGCAGTAGGAATTCGATTACAAATTCGAGATCGAATCGATGGTCGTCTCGTCAATGTGCAAGATTCTTTAGAAATTGCACAAGTGTTGGCAGAAGTTCTTTTAGATGAAAAACAACGTCTGATGTTTGGAGTGAATGCAGAGAAGAGAGCCATTGATAACTTTTTAGTGTACAAACAAATAGAAAAGTATTCTGAAGTGTTTCAAAAAGTTCTTAACAATGGTGGTAATGAACAGAATTATAGTGATCAAGAGGATGATAATGATAATGACTCAGATTAATAGGATGCACCAAGATGAGTTGTCTGTTCCAAATCATTGGTGTGAGTAGTAAAAAATTGTGTGTGACGGATGGTCCTTTGACAAGTCAGTGATCAAATTTGAAAACAAATGAGAGTGGACTCATACAGTTGAAGAATTGAGAAACAACTCCTCGAATGAGAATGAAGATAAAGGGAAAATAAACTTTGTGTGTGAAATAATTTGACTTGCTGTGTGAATGAGTTTCCAAGAGTGAATATTCTCATTATATAGAGTAAGTATGAACCGATTTACCACTCTAACAAACACCTTAATGTCTCATGGATTCTTGCAAGAAACTCGGCAACGAATTTTCCTTTTCTCTGTCAACTGTCATTAATTCTTCCCTTCTTTCAACATCTCTCACAAAAAATGACGCAACTCGTTGATCAGCAACAACAACAATTCGCCATGAGCAATGGAGGGACGAGTCGAGTAACAACAACAACCATTTCATCGTCGTCTTCTTCTTCAGATTCTCCTCGATCGTTCCAACAACAACAACAACAACAAGCACTCGTGTTATATGATTACGATGCAACATCTTCGAATGAAATGACCATACGAGGTATGTATTGATGATCCAATACACTCGAGTGTTGTGAATTCAATTCGGTGATTCATTTATTATTATCTATCTAATCATGTATTTATATATTTGAATACGATTGTTCTTGATGATGAATTTGGAATGTTTGGAATGTTGTCCCTTGTTGTGACTTTTCAACAATTCAAATGATCAATTTGGATGATGCTGAACACACAAATAATATGACGATCAACGATGGTCCATTCAAAAAATCGATTGTTGTCGTTTTCCACAAAATTGTTTTTGATGATGATGTGTCAATATGCTGACGTCTCATGAAAAATTATTTAATTTAATATACACATCGCAAAACACCAACAACAATTCATGGGACTGTATTATGTTACAACAACAATAACAACAACAAAACCGAACATTCATCATTATCACTCATTATAATCAAATCACTTTTGAATTTTTTCACACAACCAACAATAACAGAACATCAAATCATTTATGTGATCAAATACGAAGATGATTGGTCACTTTGTAAAAATCCACAAACCTCACAATTAGGATATGTTCCAACTGGTTATATTCAACTTATTGTAAAGCCACAAATGAAACCACCAAACTCACAACAACGATCACCCAATTTGACGAGAAAGAATATCCAACCATCGGAACAACCAAATAACAACAACAGTGTGTTGAGCACATCGTCGTCGAGTACCAATGTCAAATCTCTTCACAACATTGAACAGTCACAACAACAATTTGTTGGCAATGTGAATAGTGTGAACAATCCTAGTAGTAGTAGTTTTACAATCAATGTCGAGCAATTTCAAAATAGAAAAACAGAACCACTGGTTGATTCTTCGATATCCATTAGAAAAACAAAAAAGAATCAACAACAAGGAGGATCAAGCTCACCAAGAAACTCTCCAAATATTTTCACAGTTGGAAATCCATCCAATAGTGGAAATCCTCATCAAGGAAAAACAACCAAGTCTGCTGCATCGATAAGTGCATCTACACAAAATAACACTGGTGGATCTGTCACACCTCCAGGAGATGATTATCCAGAAAGTGTTGACAACAAATTGGGAAATTTCACAAGTGTGAAAGAGCGAATCAAGTTGTTACAAGAACAGAAATTATCATTAACCAATGTTGCTGGTTCCACAGTTGGCAATTCCAGTCTCACTCCAAACACACCTACCATCAATGTTAGTAAGACTAATACTACTACTAATGCTACTACTACGATTAATCATACCATTTCCACACCACCACAACCAGTGAATTCAACCACGGCAGAACTGAAAAAACGAATGCCTCAAACTCAATTGAATTATACCGCCAACACTGCTACTACTACTACTTCAGTTAGTACTTCTGGAATGACACCAAGAGAAAAGAATGAAAAATCATCCACTCCTTCTGTGACCTCATCGAATGAAAAGTCATCCACTCCACAAAATAATAATAACTCTTCGGCTGTCACAACACCTCACGTAAGCATTAGACCTCCAAAACCAAAAGGATATCAAAACAAACATGGAGAACAATCGAATGTCTCTACAAGTTCTACAACTCCAGCTTCCTCAACAACAACAAATACTGGAATTCACTCAGTGTCACAAACATCATTTGGATCAACACCTCCAATGAGTAATCATGCCATGCTTTCAACAAGTCCAACTTCAACATTTTTATATGGAGCTGTTCCAATATTACCAATTGCAACCAAGACTCAACCTTCTCGTCAAGTAGACGAGTCTTATAACATGTCAACAGCATCATCATTAGAAAATCCATCCGATCAAGATGGAAAGAGTCCTCAAGATGAAAAGAAGAAATTCTCAATCAAGATTGGACGAGGACTCTCAAAGGCGCTTAAATTTAACAAACAACCAACACATTCATCACCAACTCCACCAACCAATGAAGATGCAGATGATGAAGATGCTCTTCCAAATATTCCTGTTGACAGTTATACAAAATCGACCAATAAGGTTGATTCTTCTCAACCACATGGTGACATACCTTCTCCTGCTCTTCATTCTCACACTTCTTCAGAGGCGTCAATCATTGTGAAAAGTAATAGTTCATTGAGTTCAAAAGATCTTGAAAATCCAGAAGTGTCAGATAAGAGAAAGACACTTCCTGTAAATATGAAATCAGAACTATTCCAAAAGATGCATTCACAATTGAAGCTACAACCAGGACAACCACCAATGCATCTTCCAAATAACTCGACATCCACTGGAACAGTATCATCGGCGACAACTTCTAGTACAATTACCTCATCTGAGGAGAATGACTATTTGATTGTGACATCTCCGCCCATTGTGAAACCAATGCCATCCATTCCTTCACAAGTTCAACGAGATTATGTCAAGATTTTAAGTGAAAAATTGAGATCTTATCGAAAACTACAAGCAATGAGAAATTATCTCCAAAAACATGAATCTCTGAAGAATGCAAGAATTAGAAAACAAAAATTACTGGAAATTGTGAGCACGGAAAGAGATTACGTTCAAAATATTCACATTTGTGTTGATGAATTCCTGAAACCAATGAAAGCAAATCCTAAAAAGTATGGTGTCACAGAAGACGAATTAGATATTCTATTCCTCAATATTAATCAAATTTTGCAATGTAATCAAGTGTTATTGCAAAAGTTAAATGAACAAGTGAACGACCATCAACAAGGAAAGACTTCTTGTGTCAAATTTGGAATTGTTTTCAAAGAAATGGCAGTATGGTTTAAATTATACACAGATTATATCAATAATCATGAGTTGGCAACAACCACCCATGATGTGCTGATGGAAAAGAAGAAGAAATTTGCTGCATTTATGGAAAAGCAACAAAACAATCCCAAATGCAAGAATTTACCACTTGCAGCTTATTTAATTCAACCTGTTCAGCGTATTCCTCGTTACAGTAAGTATTCATATAGTTGTGACAATTTACACTTGAAAAATCCATTCATCAAACACCTCCGATATGAAAAAAATTAGGACTCTTACTGGCTGATGTTATCAAATTAACGCCTGAGGATCATGTGGATTATGAAGATTTACAGAAAGGTTATCAAGCCATTTTAGATATTGCAGATTGGGTCAATGAAAGAAAACGAGAAAATGAAAATCAAAATTCATTGGCAAAACTTCAACTTAAAATTACAGATATCGAACAAAAACAAGTGTTCTTACCTCACAGAAAGTTAATATCAAAAACAGACACTCTCAAAATAACACTCACTTACAAGGAACATGACGCTGATTTTGACAAGTATCTCACCATTAACAGGCCATCCACAGCTTATCTATTTCCAGATATGCTGATCGTATCACTTGGAGAAACTCCACAAGGGGAAAATACTTCACAACTTGTCTCTCTTCAACAATTTGCAAAGATCATTACAAGAGAGAATCTTGTCATGGTATTCTTTGTATTTATCAAAATTTTGAAGGTTGAATACATGCAACCAACAGAAGAGCAACAAGAGAGTGACAATGCTGTTCCAAACATCATACAAATTGCATTCCAATTGAAGGGTCGAGAACTCTTTTTGGAACTTAATTTAGAGAGTTGTGATCATCACTTCTCAAAGAAGATTCTTTCATACATGCATTCTTGTAAGAAGAATATTGGTGCTAAAATTGGAATGGATCCAGAACAATTCTATGGGGTGGCTTCGAATTTCCAAAGTCTCATGAGAGAAATTCCAGAACTCAAAGAACAAATGAAAAAGAAACGAGAAAAGGCGAACAAAATTCAGAACGAGGTTCAAGCCATGACAAACGATATTGCAAGAAAAGAGGAAGAGGTTCGACGACTGCAGCAAGAAATTGAACAATTGAAATATCAGAAAACTTATTCTCTCAATGAGTTACACGATGCAGAGAGAGAAGCACAAGTCATATCCACAGATTATAGAGAAGCTTCTGAAGAAAAGAATCAAGTGCAAGAAACAGTGTTTAGCATTATTGGTCAGGATTTATTCCTCTACACGGAAGTATTTGGTACCTCAAATCGACAAAAACCAGAAGATATTAACATAGTACTCGAGTAATCATCACACACAACAAACAGAATCAATGTATAAAACAGTTGTATCATATCTGTCACAAGAGTGCCAAACAGTGCATTGACCGAACTTTGTACACGTTCTTCATTCATGGCTGTCAAGCATTCTGCAATCTCATAACCTTAAAAATTCACACTAATGCATGTACTTTCTTGTTTTAAATTCTCTCAGCAATTCTTGCAAGTTAACACCATTGCATCGAGCAATTTTGGTAAGAATGAAATCCTTGACCTGCTCATTAGAAATAGCTTCCATTAGTGAGGACAACACTTCTCTATTCTCTATCTTCCACTCAACAACAGATAGAGAAGGAATCGAATTCACAATATGATGTATCATGTATCGATACATAAACGAAGAATTGATTTCTTCCAAAGTGAGTGGCGAAATAAACTTCTTCAAATACAAAATTATTAAATCCACATCACTCTCACTTGGGAACACTTCCAATCTCTCAAGCCATTGTTCATCAGCTCTGAGGAAATTAATTTGTTTTGCACTCATTTCATTGCAAATGTGAATTCTATACTTTGAACCCCAAATATTGGTATGTATGAAAAAGCTTAACACATATTGTGAAAATGTAAGTTGGTTGAAGGAAGCAGAAACCTGATGGTCAACAAAATCTTTAAACATTTGGAAAAACATATCCTCCATTGAGGCCATGTTTGCAAAGCCATGAAATGGATTGCTTGGGATTTGTGCCACCTTACGTGATTGGTTGATCTGAGTTGAATATTGTTCATAGTAATAAATATCAATCCAAGTTTGTAGCACATTTTGAATGCTCTCCACAAAGAAGATGCTTGAATCTAGAAGAAATACTTTCATCATGTTAGCGAATTGAATAACCTTTGTGAAAAATATGTCAATAAATTTTCCTTGTGCTGACAACAGTGTGCTCGTGTTAATGCCTTGATTCAACTCGTTCAATAAACTTCTGTAATTTGTGCCATAGCTCAAGATAGTGATAAATTTGAGATTGTCCATAATTAATGGAATGTTCTTTGTTTCGTCTAACCTGTTGATGTAATAATGTTCAATGGCACTATAAATCCAGTTGGTAGGTGTTACTGAAATGTTTTCTTTTGGTATAGAAGGGGTGCCAACTTGTAAGTTGTTACTCTCAACAATGATATCATTGGCCTCTTTGCCTGTAGAGATGTCAAAAGCTTCCTTATCTAAATAATTTAAGAAGGTTGGGTTGAATTGAAGTACATAGGTTTGTAAAATAAAGAAGAAAATACTTCTATCTCCTCTAATGTTAAATGGATCTAATAAAGCAGCAGAAAAAAGACCTAAATTGCAGATTTGATCTTGTGTAAATAAGGAACTAAGTTTTGTCTTTTCGTAAGAGTAGAGCTTCAGCAAATAATATGTCATGTTGAAAAATCTTTCTCTGAGAACGTAAAACTTGGTTTGTAACGGATTTGACGATTCTGAAGCAAATGAAAAGAGATCCTTATTAAATAAATACTTTTGGAAAACTTCTTCGTATAGTCGTGATAATAAGTGTTCAAAATGCAGTTCGTCAAACAAAATCGTGAACATGTGCTTGAACGACTTGGCACAAAAGTAGCATAGGGTCACAATTGATGAAATATTGGATAATAAATTAGTAACTATTGCAAAGTGCTCCTTGGAGCCATTCAAATTCTTAAGTTGGTCGATTGATCTCTGTCCCCAGTTGTAGAGCTCAGTATACCAACTTCTATTTTCTACTCGTTTCATTACCATCAGCAACTGAGATGTCTTGTCAATTTCTTCTTTCGCAATAAAACGATGGAAATCACTATTTGGATTGCAGTAAAAATTATCGTAAAAAGTGCAAATGAAATACAGGAACCGAATGCAAAGGGATTCTTTTTCAATATTAAGGGCCTTGATGGCTAATAGAGGACAATCTGATAATGCAAAATTTTCTAAATGTCCTATCGAGTTTTCATCTACCTCATCCTTATCTTCAAAAGAAGGAAAGGAAAGTGACAATTTCGATGTCATATATACTTGAAGCAAGTTTAAGCATGATCGAGACAACTCTGTTGCATCTTTAGACTTTTGTAATGATTTAGCAAAAGGAAGTTGAATGAGAGTGACCAAGTTAGGAAACATCTCCTCACAGAATAAATGCATGATGTCTAGCATCTTGTAGCTTGTGCAGGATGTCACTACTGAGAGAAGCTCTTTGCATGCTATCATTTGATATTCTGATAGCGTTTTAGATGATGAAGAGCAAATGGTGATAATTTTTTTTGCAATTTCAATAACTTCTGTGTTCTTAATCAAGCGTTCACAAATATTCTTGCCATGTCTACTCAAGTTGGAAATGAGTAAAGCAAATTGTGTTACTTCGGTGGTGTCAGTAAAAAGGTTTAAACTTGTGAGCTGTTTAAATGCCTTCTTTTTTGTCATTTCGTTGGAAATTTTTGTTGCAATTGATAACGAATATCTTGAGAGGATTATTAATGACTCAAGAACATGGCTTCGCAAATCGGGATCATCTTCACATTCTAAAATTGTGACCATGTTAGAAATGAGACACGGAGTGACATCTTTCTCATACTTCCGAACAAAGTCTATCTTTTCTGAAACCATGTTGTTTACGTCATATAAAAAGTAATTAAAACTATTTTGTTCTATGACATCAAACTCATCTTGCTGCATCTGGAAGCAGCAGGAAAGGATAGTTCGCAGGAGCTCAGATGTTGCTCTTATAAGGTTCAAATTTTTGTGTAAAACTGTTGCGCTAGCGTTAAGGGCATCTGCGTAGCCAAACCAGAAAATCGTTTTGAACAATTCATATTTTTCTTCCAAATAGATGAGTAGTTCAGATTTCTCACTTTTGGAAGTTTTAAGTATGATTTGGTTAAGAAGCTTAATGTTGATAATTCTTTGCGTGATTACACTGCTTCTAATTAGCTGGAATATCTCAAGAATAGTGTATCCTGCCATATTTTGATCTCTTCCGTGATGGAAGAGCCCAGAGTGGGTCGGATATTCTTTGGACTGATCGACAATGTTTCCTTCCAAGTCGAAGCGCAATGGCTTGAATTTGCTTTTATCATTTTTCTCCTCTTCACTTTCTTGAATTTCTTCTCCGCCAACGATCCACTTTAGTTTCTCCTCTTCTTCTTTGATGTTTTTGAGTTCCTTTGGATTTAAACTCTCTTTAATTTTTTCAATAATTTCGCTAATATCTTTCTCTGCAATTTCTTTTCTCTCATCTAGACTTGCATCTTTTCGAGGTTGAGAGGTTATGGCTGCAGTGTGTGGTGGGGCATGCTTGGATAAGTTTTGTTTTTTCTGTTGTTTTTCCGCACCTCTATTTTTTAGCATGTTGATAATGGAGGGGTCGAATTGTTTCATTAATTGAGCTTTTGCTTCTTCAATTTCTTGTTTGGTCATTTTCGAAATCATTCTGTCACTTTCTTGGTCAATTGCATCTGCCTCCGATAATCCCTCAGTAGGTTTAACATCTTGCTGTGTTAATACTTTGTCATCATCAGAGATATTCATTGCATCATTATGTGTCTGTTGCACAATCTGCTTCTCTGGCTGTGTTCTTTTCCTTCCCAAGAAGGTTAGTGAAGGCTGTTTGAGAGTGGGAAATGCTTGTGGCTGTGTCGGAAGTGATGGAGGCACCACACTTTTCGTCTTTACATCTCGTTCGACAATATTAAGATTATTGAAAATGCTAAGCCCACTTTTGGGCACATCCGATGATGTATTTGCTTCTTCTTTCTTCTTTTTCTCTCTCTCCAAAGCAAATTTTGACTTTTTAGTTACACTTGCAGCTGGTTCGGATTGTTGTTTAAAAAATCGTTCTTGCGCTTGAAATAAATCATCATCTTCCATTTGATTCCTACTGAATCTCTCATTCCGTTGATTTAATATTGATTCCTCCTCCTCGTTATGTTCAAATGAAACTCCGACCATTCCAGCCCTTTTCAGAGCGTTTTTGTTGCTTCGGGAGGATTGGGATGAAGGCTTCATTTTTTTTGATAAAACTTCAAATTTTTATGTTTAAATATTCACCAACTTCACAATTTAATTGAACATTAAATATCAACCAAACGAAAGATCAAAGCATCTGTCACGTGATTATAGCTTGGAAACTTTCTTCACTTTCCATCTGGCAATAATTTCATTGTTAGCTCTTGCTGGATGGCTGAATTGACTTGGTACGTTGTAATGTTCAATATTTTCAAAGCCTGCGTCTACAAGCAACTTTTCTACTACTGGATAACTTAATATATATGGTGGACCTTTTGTAATGTCTGTATCAAGATCTCCAGTGTTTGTTCTTTTAGAAAGAGGGAAAATTAAGGTAACAAGCTCTGCATTTGCATTATCTTTGTCATTTAACAATTTTTTCATTTGTTGTGCCCACGCTTCTCTCAACGAAATCGGAAGAGCACAAAGGAAGGTGTCTATTAGTATTATTATTGAATGTTATTATTCAAGCAATGATATAAGTGATAGATCGTAACTTACAATCGAAAATAATGTCAAACTTTTTGTCAAGCGCAAAAAAGTCTTGGCAAATAAATTGGACCTTGTCTGGATGACCATAAGTAAATTGGGATTTTTTCTATTTGAAAAAACAGTCGTAGATTCATACTCTCTTAAATTCTTTTGAACTGTCGTGACACTTACTGTATTTGCAGATGCAATAGCTGTTTCTGAAATATCGAGTCCAATAACTGTCTCAACTGATTTTAAAGCTGACAGAGTATCGGCATCATAGCCATTTCCACATCCTAATCATCAAATTAGATTTTTTCAAATATATATATATAATTAATTTTTGAGATCAACCCTACCTGGAACTAGAGCATGTTTAATATCTGTTCGATCTTTGTAAATAGTTTCTACCAAATGTCTTAAAATTGGTGATGGCTGTTTTGTGTCCCAAGGAGTGGATTGATCTCTCCACAATTGATCCCAATCCTTGTTATTCATACCTCCATACTTTGAAATATCATTCTTACTGCTTTGAGAGGTTCTGTATTGCATGAGTTGAAAATTCCGATTACTTTCAGTACAATTTGACTCGATCAAGTAATTCTTGGTATTGAATGGAAGCAGCAACACTCTTCTTGAATCAATTCCCAACTGTCGTAATAATTGATGGTGTGATATTTTTTTCATTTTTAAATTTATGGAAATGGTGTTGAACTGATGACACATAATTTGTAAAGAAATAATAAGGCTTAATAGTATGTTGTATATTAAATTCAGAGAGGTTCCATCTATCAAGCCATTGTTAATTTCAAGATTAGATCAGAATTTGAAATGTGTTGAACAATTAAATGATCTCAGCATCAGATGCTTCAAAATGGACTCCGAGTTGCTTCTGTCATCTCTTGCAGTGACTTTCAACGTAAACAAGAAATTTCTATGAAAACCTAGAAAATATGGTTGTAAAGTGTTTTCTCATCCAATCGTCTTGGAACGTGAATCAACTTTCCTTATTAATAGTTTCAAACCGCTTTGATTTTCACCTTATCATCGACAGAACAAACAAAAAAACAACTCAACAACCATGAGCAGTGAAGACGATCCAGACGACCTCTCTTACTGGTTGGATTTAGACTCTTCGTCTTCTAACTGTTCCTCTCTCTATCTTGACGAAGGCTCTAAAATCCCTCAGAAGGAAGACGTTTATCAACAGGGAATTGATGAATTCATTCACTTACTTTCCAATCACGAGATGGACTATGAACCTTCAACTTCCCTGGTTGTTAACGTTTGTCACTGTCCTGACCAATCTTCCATGACCAACCTTGGTTTAGATTACCAAGAGCTCTATCATGCGTTGGGTCGTCTTCTATCCTTTGAACCTCTTTCTTCTTCAACATGGACCAGTTTTGAAGAAGCCAACAACCTGTCGTCGTCGTCTTCTTTCATTCCACACCACCAAGAAGACGAAACCAAAAACAACAACAACACCTTGTTCACAACCTTGTGCGAGAGAGAGAGGACTAGCGTTCTTCACAACAGTCCTCTCACTCACCAAACCGCATCCCAATCGTTATTGACTCATACCTCTTCTTCCTTAGTGAGTGCTTACCAGGATCACATGTCACCTGTGAGAACAGAGATTATTGAAATCCATGGTGTGAACTCAGAAGAAGAAGAACAACTCGAAACCATGCATAATCAAGGTATTTTCGTTGAATTTGGAGCCAAACAATCCAAGTACATGTTAAGCATTCAATCTCCTAAACGAAACATGAATACCAAGATTAGTATTAAACTCGAAAGCAAAGATCATTCCAGATCAAACATCGCTCTCAAATACATTGTCAATGATGAGCATGTTGGAACTTTGGAATCAGGTGAACTCCAATTCCTTCCAAGTGAGAGCCAAAGAGACTTTCAACAAGAAAAGTAAGGGAAAGTATGTGGTCATCATTCAAACTCTCTCACCACAAAAGGAATGGTTCCGATTGGAATTTAACTGTCGCCGATTGGAAAAGAAGAAGCAGAATGGCAAGAAGAGCTTTGCTGGACTTCCTGTGAATTCCATTGAAATTATGCATCAATTCCTCACGTGAGGAAAATGGAACAAGGAACAATCATCATTATGAAAAAACATACTTGTTTGAATTTGAACAAGTATTGGGATGTTGAGAGCGACATGTTGTTTTTGATTCCTCCCAGATGGATCATTGACATGATTATTTTGTATCACGAAGTAAAGTTTGTATGATGACCAAATGAAGCATTTGTTGTTATTATTATGGACAAATATTATCAAAGAGTACGATCGTAGAGCTCTCATATTCCAATCGATCAAATGTCATTCAAAATCATTCCACTTCAAAATAAACATCACAATGTTCTGGTCGAATGATTAAAAAACACATAGACTGAAGTAGGGCATCCTTCGTGGACAAAAATGAAACAAATACGAAAAAACACATGATTTGGATCAACAATAACAACAATACGACATCAACAACAGAATTCAAGTAATTCATTTGCATGATGAAACAGTGGTTAAACGACATCAACAACTAGTTTCAAAAACAATGAATGCATTGTTCAACACGAACTACCTCACCTTATTTCAAAGTCTTATCGTTTATTTTCGTCGTGACAGATGAGTTCATCAACGTCACAGAGAATGGTTGGTTGCCTGACAACATCGACATATCTCTCACCGGGCTGTAGAGGATGTCAACCCATCTCACTCATTACTCGTCAATGCGCATACAACCTTGTGAGCTCTCTGTCATACATTCTGTTGTTTTTAAATTGTATTACCCTCTGTCAAAACATTTCAAATAGACCCCGCCTGTCAAAAAGGATATAAATTGAACTTTCGTAGGGATCTCACTCAATAACAAGAAAAAAAAACAAATACGAATGCAAATGTATTTTTCTTCTTCAACTCGAAGGATGTTGTATTCTAGGTTGGCTTTTGCAAGTGTTTTACTCCTTGCATTGGTCTCTGTATTTGCTGCTTCTGTAGAAGGTCGTCGCCGTCGTGTGGTTCGTGCAACTCCAACCATTAAGAGATGCCAATCATTGGGTGATCCTCACTTCACAACTCTCAATGGTCTTCAATACGATTTCCAAGGTCTTGGAGATTATGTCTTTATCAAGACTGGTGATGGTCAATTCACTGTTCATACTCGTACTGGAAGATGGGGTCCTGGAGCATCTGTGAATGTTGCTGCTGCAGTTGATCTTGGAAATGATCATACCTTTGAGTACGATGTGGAACAAGATGTGTTTTATGTTGATGGAGAAAAGACTGAAATTAAGGTTGGACAACAGTTCAAATTGGGTTCTGGTACAGTGGAAAGAGTTGGACCATCTTCTGTGATTGCAACTGCCAAGAATGGAGCTCGTTTGACCATGGGTTGGTATAGAAATTCACAATGGAAGCAACAACTCGGATCTGTTGGATACATCTCCCTCGTGGTCGATATGCCATCCGATGTTGAAGTCTCTCAAGGATTGTGTTTGACTCAAAACCACAGCAATTTGGCTGCAAGAGGAATTCTTCATAATCATAAGGCTAGAAAGATTATTCGTTTCACTGATGCTAAGAAGATCACTGCTAGAAGAAAGAAGTGGGCTAAGAAGGTCTGTAGAAAGGCTGGTTTGAGCAAGAAGAAGAATCCAAATGCTTTCAGAGATTGTATCTTGGATACCATTCAATCCGGAAAGAAGATTGGAAAGACCATTGCCAAGAATATTAAAAAGATTAAAAAGCTTGAAAAGAAGGGTAATAAGAAGTACTTGAGAAAGTTGAAGAGCAAGTTGGATAAGCAAATCTCGAAAGTGATTAGAAAGAAGGAAACTGAAATTTCCAAATTAGAAAAGATTGCAAAGGAAGTGAGAATCTCCTCTGAAATCAAGAAGAAGAAATGTATTGCCAAGAACAATCAGAAAGCAGAAGATGCTGAACAAGAAGTCAAGAAGGCTCAGAAGAAACTCGTTGAACTCACTCTGAGAATGAAGAGAAGAGCTTTACGTATCTTGAAGAAGGCTGCTCGCAAGGCCAGAAAGTTGGCAAGAAAGGCCCGTCGTTTGGCTCGTATTGCCAAGAGAAAGGCCACTCGAAAGGCCATTCGTGCTGCTAGAAGAGCCAAGAAGTTGGCCAAACAAGCTCAACGACGTGCTCGAAGACTCGCAAGAAAAGAAAGAGCTTTGGCAAGAAAGGCCAAACGTGCTGCTCAAAGGGCTGCAAGAAAGACTGCATGGAAGAAGGCCAAACGTGCTGCTAGACGTGCTGCAAGAAGAGCTAGACGTGCTGCATTGAAGGCTGCTCGTAAGGCAAGACGTGCTGCATTGAAGTTCAAGAAAACTGGTTCTCGAAGAGCAAGAAGAGATGCTAGACGTGCAAAGAGAGCTGCTCGCAAGGCTGCTTTGAAGGCAAAGAGAGCTCAAAAGAAGATTGAAAGAGAGAAGAGACGTGCTGCTCGTCGTGCCAAGAGAGCTGCTCGTAAGGCAAGAAGAGAAAGAAGAAGACAATGTCTTCGTATTGCATAAGCAAACGTATTTACCGTTTTTTCTGAATCCAAACATGCACACACACGAAGGATTGCTGTGAAGTAGTGTAAAGAATTAATATGTAAATATAAATGTCGTAATGTCATAATGATCTTCAAAGCTCCCATCTTCTCATGATTGAGATCTTTTAGGTTCAATCAAACATTCCTTTTTGGAAAGTTTCAATAGGTCATCATATGATATGAAATAAAAAATGGGACAAGGCCATCCTTCCTCTCAGCGCTCACTTGAGAGTAACGTGCTTGATAAATTAGCAAAAGAGACACACTACGATAAAAAGGAAATCAAACAATTACATTCACAATTTTATACAGAGGTTCCGAGTGGGTTTATTCCGAAAGAGGTATGCATTTTCGGTTATATATATAAACCAGTTGTTTTTGTTGTGATCACATTACGTTGAACTCGTCATTCTGATGTTGTGACGACGATATCATTGATTTTATTAACAATAGGATTTTAGTCAATTAACGGAATTGATGGGAATTAAAGATCAATTTATAACATCACTTGTATTCAATGCGTTTGACAGAGATCGAGATTCAAAAATTTCATTTGACGAATTTGTCTATGCAATGAGTGTGATGACAAGGTATGCACATATATAGTATGTGAAGAGCGTTCTTCTTTAATTCATAATAATCATTGATTTTCATTCAAAATAGAGGAACAGCAGATGAAAAGTTAGAGTTTGCATTCAAGGTTTGTCATGCAAATGCAAAATTTGTGTCATAACCATCACTTGTTTAGCTCTATGATTTAAATCATGATGGATACATTTTAAAAAGTGAAATGACAAGAATTGTCAGTGCTCTCTATCAAATGTTGGGAGACTTGGTTACACTCCAAGGAGATTTTGGTAAGTGTCATTTCTAAATGAATGAAATAACTCATGAATTGTTGAAATAAGATACACCTGTAAAATTAGTAGACAAAATATTTATGGAAATGGATACAAATGGAGATGGGAAATTGGTAAGTAGTTCAGCTAAATACTTTGTGACCTATTAATTAAATGATAACATTCAATAATAATTTAAATTTCCCAAATATATTCTCTCCAAACATTTTGCAAACCTCAATGCCTTATCCATTCAATCTTGAAATTTGACCAAACAGACATTGGAAGAATACAAAATTGGAGCAAGGAAATGTCCAGAGATTGTGAATGGGCTTGGGCTCTTCTTTTAAGACCTTTGAACTGTAAACATCAACACGAGAGTAAATTATTTCGTTTTCTTCTTGTGGTTTCGTTCTAAAAAAAACTTTAATTTCCAGAATCAAAAAAATAGCAGTGTGCCTCTCTTGCTATCATCACATCATAACTTCTTCTTGATTGGAACAATTTTGATCATCATCTCCTACACTAGTACTTTTTTATCATCAGTAAATACATCATCATCATGGGTAACGTACCAAGCGGAGGACAAAATCCGTTCAATCAACTGCCAGGAGCAGGTAGTCAAAAGAAAAAGGACGATAAGAAGAAAAAGAAGGAAAAGAAAAAGTTTGAGCAGCCAACACCAACCCGTATTGGAAGAAAGAAGAGGAAAAAGGGTCCACAAATTGCAGAGAAATTACCTGAAGTTACTCCTTTGTCAAAATGTAAACTTAGATTATTGCGATTGGAAAGAATACAAGATTATCTTACAATGGAGAAGGAATTTGTAACCAATCAAGCCAAACTTTTATCTGCACAAGAAAAATCCAAGGACATGGAACAAGAACGTAACATGGTGGATGAATTGAGAGGATCTCCAATGGCTGTCGGAACTCTCGAAGAAATTATTGACGACAATCATGCCATTGTATCGAGCAGTGTTGGCCCTGAATTTTACGTTTCAATCCTTTCGATTGTAGACAAGGATCAGTTGGAACCAGGATGCAGTGTCTTGATGCACAATAGATACCTTGCCGTTGTTGGTATTCTTCAAGATGAAGCCGATCCAATGGTCTCTGTTATGAAAGTCGATAAGGCTCCACTTGAATCATATTCACAAATCGGAGGTTTGGAAGAGCAAATTCAAGAAATTAAGGAAGCTGTCGAGTTCCCATTGACTCACCCTGAACTTTATGAGGATATTGGTATTAAACCACCAAAGGGAGTGATTCTTTATGGAGAACCAGGTACAGGAAAGACATTACTTGCAAAAGCTGTTGCTCACCACACTAGTGCTACATTCTTGCGTGTGGTTGGATCAGAGTTGATTCAAAAGTATCTTGGAGAGGGTCCTAAACTCGTTCGTGAACTGTTCAGAGTTGCAGAAGAATTAGCACCAAGTATTGTATTTATTGACGAAATTGATGCTATCGGTACAAAGAGATTTGACTCTACTTCTGGAGGTGAACGTGAGATTCAAAGAACTATGCTTGAATTATTGAATCAATTGGATGGTTTTGATTCAAGAGGAGATGTCAAAGTAATTATGGCTACAAATAGAATTGAGTCTTTGGATACAGCCTTGATCAGACCAGGTAGAATTGACCGTAAGATAAAGTTCCCATTCCCTGACATTAAGACAAAGAGAAAGATCTTTGAAATTCATACACGTAAGATGAACAAGGCTGCAGATGTAAATTTGGATGAATTTATCTCATCAAAGGATGAACTTTCTGGTGCTGACATTAAGGCTGTGTGCACAGAAGCAGGTTTACTTGCTCTCAGAGAACGTAGACTTCAAGTGACACAAGACGACTTCACCAAAGCCAAAGAAAAGGTGCTGTATAAAAAGCAACAAGGCATTCCAGAAGGTCTCTACATTTAAACAATTCACATGCCAAACTACTTAAAATAAACTCTTGTAATATTGTAAAACCAAATCAGGCAGTGTTGGTGGTGAAATTGGTCAAGACAGTGAGGATTTTTAATCTCAGACCCACACAGGTTGGGTGAGTTGAGATTAAACGCCGTACACCCTTTTCACACTCAAAAAATTTATTATTCATCATCGTACATTCTGTCAATGAGAAAGTGGGTGGGTGGGTGTGAGGTACGGCGTTTAATCTCAACTCACCCAACCTGTGTGGGTCTGAGATTAAAAATCCTCAGTACTGTAATTATTGAACACAAAAAAATGCAAAACATTAGTTGTCCATCCATTCCACTCCAACAAACCATTATTGGACATGCCAACTCCGAAGACCAAAACCCGTATAAATACGCAACCGTTGTTTGCCATGACGAAAAGGGTCTTGTCTTCTCAATACAAGATCCAATTTATGGACATTTTGGATTTCTTTCTCATCCACAACAATCAAATCCTCTTCAATCCCAATTGCATATTCAATTTTCTCAATTACTCTTTCGTTTACTATTTACATGCAAAGCCATTTCTAGACTTGCCAAAATCCATCAAGCAGGTGCTGCCTGGTTGTGGAATGTTTCGAGTTGGAATGTCACTCGTCTTCAACATTCGATTGGAGTCATGCTTTTAATTAGAAAATTGAAACCACTCGATTTGGAGCAACAATTAGCAGGTTTATTACACGATATATCACACACAGCCTTCAGTCATGTCATTGATTACATGTTGTTGAATGACAAAGATGATTTTCATGAAGGAATCATTCATGAAATTGTCAATGCTCCAAATAGTAAATTTTATGTCAGTGAAATCTCTAAAGATGATGCATCATTCCACATTGACTCCATATTGTTGAAAATGATGAATCCCGAAGAGTCCTTGATGGACATTTTGAGAGAATTCAAAATGGAACATGTGATGGAAAAGTTAATGGATACAAAAACGAATCATTACACATTATTGGAAATGGAATTTCCACAATTGTGTGCAGATCGAATTGATTACACATTGAGGGATCAATTTTGTTATCACTTTCATGAAAATGTGGTAAAGAATGACGAAGAATTTTTTAAAATTATTGAAGCATTGAAAGTTGTTTCATTCACTTGTTCAAAATTCAAGATTCTGAATGAATGTACTGATCACCAGCAAACCATTCCTATTATTACTTTCGATGATTCTCATATTCAACAAGCTGAATATTTTATGGAGCTTTACAAACAAGAAGTGGTGGATTTCTTTCTTGGTTTGGATAATTTATTTTCAAATGATGCATTGGCACATTTACTAAGGTTATGCGTGCAAGAGAAAATAATATCTGTGGAAGATATGAAATGGGGAGATGACGAGAGGATTTTGTCTCTTGTTCAACATGCCGTCACACAATTTGATGAAAATTCACCTCTTGCATCACAAAATGTGATGAACACGATTAGAGAATTGTTTAAAATGTTTGAAAAAAGAAAAGCACACGTGTTGTCAAAGAAGAAAGATGACATTTCAAATTATGTGCGAGTACTGTCAGATGATGCAACAGATGTTGCTGACTACTCACCCACTCGAAAAAAAAAGATATTTGGATTTCACAATTTTGAATAATGCCGAGTTGACACCCATTTCACAATGTTCAGAAAGGGCAAAACATTTATTTGAGATTATGAACTCGCAGAATAACAATCCTATCAAGCTAAAGAGAGTCAATGTGATGGATTTCTCTGAGTCTTCACATCAATAAAAGAAATAAATTAATAATCATTTCAGAAATGACTTGAATTACCAACTTTGTATCGGTGCAAGCTTTCCGACCTCAACATCCATGGAGGAATCCGTATTGATCGTGGCATAAAAGTAGGCCTTCCTTCTCATGATACCTTCACTCTCATTTTTCTGGTTAAGTTGTTCATATCTTGGTTCAGTAGATCTAATATAACCAATATATGATCTGTTAATGTTAATCATTTTCATCCATGATGGTTATTGTAAAAGTATTTGATTGATGTGATTTTTTGATTGTTCCTTTCATATGAAGATTCGAAAAAACACTTACCTGTCACTGTTGTAAACAAAATGAGCATAAGGACCACTTTGAATCTTCACAATGATCCTCTTTCCAACTAAATTCTTAGCTTTGAGCACTGGCTGTTTTGCTAGCTCAGTAGTTGAATATTCATTGATTTTTGCTTTCACTCCAATCTGAGAGCCAACCACATTGCTGACATTGAATCCATACAGTGGTTTATCTGTATCGATTGGAGATGACTCAACACGAACACTTTGAAGAACAGGAGAGCATGTGGTTTTGTGATTTGGCCAATCCTTCTTTTGACAATCGATACTGCAATAGAATACTGATCTACATGCAGAACAACGTTTGAGAGCATCTGATTTTCCACAATAGTTGCAACAATAGGATGATAAAGTTTGTTCTTCTTGTCCGCTCTAATTTGTTTTTTTCTTAAATATTCAATAACCTTATTGTCAGAAGCCATACTAATGCAATCCTCACCCTGTACAGTTTGGCTTTTAGGATCCATGTCTTTCAATTAAATATTGACATATTTTCAGATTGTCAGCGGCTGCTGCTGTATGTAAATAAGTAACCTTGTCCTTGTTTTTGAAATTCACATTTCCACCTTTGCTTAATAATAACTTTGTCATTGACAAACTACCAATTTGTCCAACTGAAGAACAGATATAGAGTTCAATCGTTTAACAATACTTACCTGCATACGATATTGGTGTGAGATCTGTAAGGTCAACTATATTGGGGTTCGCTCCATGGTTCAACAAAATTTCCAAACACTTCTTGCGTTTAAAGCATACAGCCAAGTGAAGTGGTGTGAAATGGTATTTCTGCTCTTTTTGGTCTATCAACATTCTTTTTTCATTATCGTCTGTGATTTTTCCAAGATATTCTTCCAAAACACCTGGAAGGTCAAGTGTGATACATGCAAATATAAAATCAGGTTTGAATTGTGCGCTTCCCAAGTCCTTGTATTTTGATGTAAAGTATGTCATAACATCTATTGGTTCTTGTTTTTTTGGATTACTCTTCATTTTCTCTTTCAATTCCTTTTTGAGAGCACTAAAACGTTTAATTTCATTGTTGTATTCAGTATCAGAGTCAAATAATTCAAATTTAAATTGCTCCACTAGTTCAATTCCTTTTGAAATACTTTCCAGACTTCTGTATATTCTTCTAACATCATGGCAGCTTGTGCATGTCGATAATATCCTTTTGGCCAATCAGGATTCCACTCGATACAATCCAACGCATCTTGTTTCGCTTCCAAGTAGCGTCCAGACATTAAATAATTCACTGATCGATTAGAAAATATTAAATGTGCATTAGATAATTGTTCCTTTATTTCCTTGTATGCTTTTCTTGTGTGTGGCCAATCCGAGGCTGTTTTCTTCCTTGTTGTGAGTAAAGGCAATTTATATTCGAGAACTTTTGTTTGGTCCCACTCTTTTAATCTCGTTCGGTTGTCATTCTCATCGGAAGCAGTTAAATACTCATCAATGCACTGAGTCAAAATTGAAATGGCTTTAGGATATTCTTTTTTAGCAAAATGCTTATTCGACTCTTCTCTTTTGTTCTACATAATAGCAATGATCGGAAGAACTTGATTCGCAAGTAACTGTTGAATGACTGCATATCGTTCCTGAGGATCCTCGATGGAGGATAGAAATTTTTCAAAGGCAGCAATTTCTTCCTTGTTCACTGTTCTTGGCATTTTTTTTAATGTTCCAATGAGATTCTTGTTTGAATACCATGAATCTTATCTTTACTTTTTAAATTATATACATGTGGATTGTCACACCTTAGTAAAGTTTACAGCACTTTTGATTCATTCCTTTGTAATTTGTTTATTATTTGTATTAATAAACAAATCACTGAATTTTTTGGAACAAAACCTTTCTATTACTGTTCCATGAAAAAGAGGTCTCATGTGTTGTAATAGGAGTGCTAGGGTGATGACGGTTTTCACTAATTAGAGACAAACTGTTCAATGCAAAGCTTTAGAATTGCCTTGTGACATGGTTTCATGATGACTTGATCAAATAATTCAGACGATGAATCCGTCATAATGTCACCAGTCAGTGCCACAATTTTTATCTTTTCCTTTGGGAATCGTCCCTTAATTATTCTTGCGGCTTCTCTTCCATCTAACACAGGCATATTCATATCTGTGATGACTAATTGATGTCTATTTATATCAAGGTTGTCTAGTAATTGTTTTCCATCACTCACACAATCTGCTTCATAACCAATGCTTTCAATCAATTTCAAAATGACTTTTCTGTTAACGGCATTGTCATCAGCTATTATAATTTTTGCATTCTTCTTTTCAGAAGATAACTCTTCGGTTGAAGCAAATAATTTCAAATAATTGGCTTGGATGGAAAGTTGCCTCTGTAAAGTGGGATCAATATCTGTCTTGTCTTTCAAATCATTTTTATCTGCATTCGTAATAACTTCTAAAGGAAGAATAACTGTGAATTCGGCTCCTTCATTTAATTCTGATTTAAGCTCAATGGTTCCATGCATGGCAGACACGTTATGAAGAACAGTGTTTAACCCAAGGCCGGAGCTAATTTGATGAATTGGTATTATCAGAAGTATCAATTATTAATAGCATTACTTACCCTCGATAAATTCGTTCATTGATATTATGTAATTGAGCGAATGGTTCAAATATTGTCCTCTGCTTTGATTTTGGAATTCCTATACCATGATCTATGACCTTAAACATTACATTTTGTTCTTGAATTCCGTTCACTGTTCTGATTTCCCCAACTGTGGAGCAAATGAGCTCGACGTTATCACCCTTTTTTGAAGCTTTAACAGCATTTGTCATCAAGTTGGAAATAATTTGGTGTATCCTTGTTTGGTTTGCTCTCACAAAAACGTCTCTTGTGTTGTCATCAATTTGGACTTTTATCCCCACATCAAACTGTTTGCAATAGCTCTTAACGATCTTTCCAATCATTTTCACACAATGACCCAAACTGAATTCTTGAAAATACTTGGTTGAGTCCACAACCCCATCGTGGTGCTCTATCTGTGATTCATGTTCGATTTTAACAAGCGTGAGAACATCCTCGATCAAGTTCAATAAAATACCATCAGAGGCTGCAATGGTATCCACCAAGTCTCGTTGATGTTCAGTGAGATCAGTTTCCCTTAACAGCTCTAAACTTCCCAAACTGATGAGAAACATAGCGATATAATCACACAATATTAATTTTTCACAACTCGAGATGAACATACATACCTGCTCAAACAGGGAGATCTAAATTCATGTGAAATGTGTCTCAAAAATGTTTGTTTGGCAGCAAGAGCATTTTCAAGCTTAAGTCTTGTTTCTTCCAAAGTTTTGACCTTACTTTGTAAATTCATTGATGTTTTGATCATGTAATTACTGAGCAATACAATTGCCATGGCAATAGCAATATAATCAAAACACAATGGAATGGTTTCTGAATTCAAACCAAACTGTATCACGTTATAAATACAACTTGCAACAAAATGCAGAGAGACGTAATAAATAGGCAGTAAGGCCCAAAACAATTGCTTGCACAATGTGTTGGTTGTGATCATGATTAATATATACATGGGCATGAGTAATATTCTATTTTGTTGTTGCATGAAAAATCGAATGGAGAAGAGAACCATGGAAGTCAGTATTCTATTTCGCTCTTCCGTTGTGGAGACTTGAAAGTCGGGTTGATGGAACAAAGAAAATGAAACATATTTTCGAGTGGAGATGATACCAACCAGACACGTACTGGCCATGACCAAGAATCCGAACCATCCACTTTCATAATAGGAATGAATGATTAACATGGAATATTCAATAGCCAAAATGATGGATGTAATCTTGTCGTGAGCAGCAATTTGGAGCAGAAAATTACCAATCATACTGTGCAGAAAGGAGTTTCCATTCTCAACACTGTCTGTTGAATAATCAAATTTTAAACCAAAATAAGGGTTGATGGTGGACATCAAGGGATTAGGTGAGGATAGTCTTCGTGATTGATTATGAGGATTGGTTGTTGGATTCGGGCGAGAAGAGGATTGTATTTTTTGTTCATCGTGTTGATGAACCCTCCTCAGTAAAGGTTGTGAATTTGTACTTAAATGAGAGCAAGAGGCAGTTCTTGTTGCTTTCATCAACTGATCTGACTAGATCGAGATGGAACGGTGGTGTTTGTTTTTTGTTAGTCACCGTAGTTGATGCGAGATGAGAGCGAGATGTTTGCGGTGGTTGAAGAAAAACGAGCACCATAATCGTAGATTGTTGTTTCCAAATTTGCTCAAATCAGAATCTGTTTCCTAAATGGCACCTCAAGTATGATCTCATCTCTTTGAAATTCGCTCTCAACAGCGTAAACATGTTTGAAAAGGAAAAAGAGAACACCTTTCATTGCCTTTGGGTGCGTTACACAAAGCTCATGCCCATTCGTGATTCCTCCATGAACAATCCACAAAACGACAAGATTACCAAACCACAACAAATTAACTTCAACGTTTCCAAGATGATTGAAAATATTGCAAAAATTCTTTGTGAGAATTTAGATGATAGTCAAAACCTCCAACTTCCACTTCAAAAAAAACATTCATTTAAGTGCATCTTAGATTCTCAATTTCACCATTCCAGAATTAAATGGAACATGAAATAAAAAAATGTGTGGACGAAGCGCTCTCTCTCTTGCTCCTCCTCAATTCAGAAATGTGGCCAGCAGACAACTAGGAGCGGATATGCATCAGACTGTGTGGATCGGACAGGCTCTTTTCAAGCCTCTGTACAATTTCAGCATGGGAGGATGTTTGCCAATTATTTATTATGATCCAACTATTTGCGATGATGATGCTGAAAAATTGAAAATTTCGGAGGCTTCAGACTCTGTAAAGTTGACCACCATCATGATTAAACAAGAAAATGATCAAGAAACTTCCATAAAAAAGGAAATTAAACAAGAAATTAAATCCGAAATTAAAGAAGAACCAAAAGTCAAGAAAGAAGAAGAGCTTTCACTCGCTCTGCCAAAGATTCATGGACTTCATCTTCGCACCATGACTTGGGGGCTAACCTCCTACACAAGTGACCATCATCAACTTAACTCTGTAAAAACTTTAAATGCTCGAGCAGAGACATTGCAAGAGAAACCAACATTCAAGAGATTGTTGAAAAATCAAAGAGCTATTCTATTTGTGGAAGGATTTTATGAATGGAAGAGCGCACCACTCAACACAGGAAAAAAACAACCATACTATATTCACCCTAAAGAAAAAGGCACTCTTATGTGTTTTGCATGTCTTTATGACAAACAGGAACCAAATGCAACCGATGGGTATAATTTCACTGTTATAACTGTAGAGGCTGATGAAAAATTTGCTCATATTCATGACAGAATGCCTGCAATTCTTACGAGCGCATCCGACATTAGAAAATGGTTAGGCATTGATCCCACAGATGACGTCTTGTCACTTTTGAAAACTTGTGATTTTTCTCAACATTTAAGCATGTACGAAGTTTCAGATTTTGTAAATAGTGCAACAAATCAGTCTGCCAAATGCATCAAACCTCTTAAGGAAACTCAACACGGAAAAGGATCCTTACATTTATATTTCAAGCCAGCTGCTCCCAAGCGTGTGAAAGATGAGATGGAAAGCAGCTGCTCATCACGAATCAATGGTGGAGACATTCCACAAAGCAACATTAAGGAGGAAGAACCTGAGACAAAAAAGATTAAAAAAGAAGAGCAACAAGTATAGTCGTGTTGATCTAAACAAACCAAAGTAAATTATTATTTTGAAAACACACCAATATTATGACACAGTTATTGTTGTTGTTTGGATGGTTCAATGATTCAAAAATTGTCAACCCTTTTGCTCTTTGAACGAAAAATTGTATTTTCATTATCAAAAAAATGTTCAGTCAAATTGGAAAAGTTTTCCGAGGCTCAACATCCTCCTCTGTGATGTCTTTGATGAGAAAGACTCAACCAAAAAGAGGTCTTGAGGAATTTATTGATAAAACTATTCTTGAAGGAAAGGCAATGGAGTCATGTGGAAGAGCATGGGGTATCCGAGAACTTCGTATTAAATCTCTCTCCGATTTACAAAAATTGTGGATTGTTTTGATGAAGGAACGTAATATGCTTTTGACTGCTAGATTACTAGCTAAAACTATGGGAGGTAGAGTTACTCATCCTGAGCGTTTGGTGAAAGTCAGAACTGGTATGGCAAGAATTAAACGTGTAATTGCTGAAAGAGAGCGAGAGGCCCGAGAAGCCGCTAAAATTGAATTCGAGAAGAGAAAGGCAAAGGGTTATTACAGCTATCCACAAGTGAATCCTCTCGGATTGCAAACAAGTAGTGAATCATCAACAACCCAAGAAGCTCCATCATCACAATAATTTTCTGAATTATTCTCATTCATCACCATCCTCATCCAGTTGAATTCATTATTTCCTTCCTAAATTTCAATTCCATCCATCATCTTTGGCTACTTCTTTCTCCTAAAACAATGAATAAATTGGCTTCTTCCTAAATCAAGAATTTATTCATCCTATCAAACATTAGAATAATCATCACGAACATGTTTCAACAAATTTGTTCACTTCAAAAAAATGTCCCGAAAGAACAACAAGAAAATAAAAGCAAGGTAACGTGTTTCAGGAACTATTCGGAGTTGATATGATGATTAATATGTAACTTTGTTGTTACAATCGCCATCATCATGGTGATCGGATTTGTCACTTTGTTTGTTTAACAACGGGTTTTGTTTATTGATCGCCACACACACGATTATGAAAAAAATCAATAATAATATTATGTCTCATTAATAACAGATATAACAACTTTTTGTTAGAGCAAGAGCGACAAGAGGAGGAAAAGAGGAAACAAAAAGAACAAAGAAGAAAAGAAAAGAGAGAAAAAGAAGAGGAATCTGGAATGCTGGATGAAGTGAAAGATAACGTTCTTGTCAAGGAAGCACAAAAGAATGCTAAAAAGATCGAAAAACAACTTGAAAAACAAAAGAAAAAAGAAGAACAACAGGTTGCCGAAGAGAACAAAATGGTGGACGAAAATGATGTCGAAAAGCGACCAAGACGTCACACTAAGAAGAGAAATAAACCATACTAATTTATTTACTCAACTTTGGTTTTTACTGTAGTTGCTGTTTGCATTGGTGAGGACTTGATTACAGAAAGAAGCAAAAATACAGTCCATGTAGGAATCATCACGGCACAAAATACGATGTAAAATAAGTTCTGAGGTAGGTCAGTAATGTGATACAGAGATTCGAGTTGAGAGGAAATGGGAATATCAAAGAAATAGTTTTTGGTAATCACATTGACCACTAGTAAATTGAAAGGACACAAGATCAAAATGGCAACAAGTTGGAGCAACCTCAAAATCTTGCTCTCAGGAATGGTCATTGTGATAGTGCATAAGGTTAATAAGAAAGTAGAAAGGAAAATACAGAGAGCACTCGAATAAATCATGCTTGCTCCAACACATAAAGTAGACAAAGCTACTGTCAATGATTTGACATTTCTCCAACTAAGAGGACCAGGGCGTTCTCCAATGAAAAATTCATAAAGTCTGGATGAAATTGGGCGAGAAGCAATCAACGCAATCGTCACAAGCGCAACTACGATAGAAAACCAATATTTTGTAAAATCTGTATCGGTGCTGTTGATGAATGGTAAATGAATGGCCACATCTCTTAAAATTACTGGAGTAAGATAAATCAAAATTCCAATAAAATAATTTGTCAAAACAAATATCAAGGAGTGAGTTAATACCTTTTCTGTGGCCCCTTCCAAGTAATAATTACCAATGAATTGAATGGTCAAAGCTCCTACAAACATCAGTAAATTTGGTAAATAGTGTTCAAATCCATAATAGTGTTGCGACGAGACCAAGTAATAAAGGAAAAATGATTGATGCAACTGTTCAATAAGGTTATTAAGACTTCTAATAGTTATTTCTACGACTCGTCCAAGTAAATAGAATGTTTGATTCAAACTCTTGTTCATAGATGAGGATGGTACAATTGAGTTTGTGATAGTGAGTGCATGAGTGAGTTGCTTTCTAAACCAGCCATGAGGACCTGTAGGAATTGATATCAATTGATTGTACCAGTGATACATTACTATTACACTCTCTTCAATAAAATCTCGAGGAATTGCGTTGTTGAGTAATTGGTTAAGCCTGAAGAGTAATTTTTGATACAAATAAATGGCTATTGGTAGCTGGTCCTTGAATTGAGAATATTTCTTAATTAAAGAATCGACATCAGTACTCGTTGTGGGGTCAGCTTTAAAGAAAGAGGCCAACACAGATGACCCAAAATTGTAATATCCCTCGCTCAGCAATCCAGTAACGACGTTTACCATGTCAAGATTAGGTAGCTCTCCATTCACTCCTTCCGTTAAAATTGCGATTTGCTCAAAATTAAATGAATCAAAATCAATGGTGATAGCTTCTCTCATTCTTCCTGTAGGTATAACTGCAGATGATATAAATGCATCCTCACCTGCCCATTGATGATCATATCCGTCACTGATGACCAGAATTATGTCATGATTCAACCACTTCATTCGGGAAATCATCTTTAAAATAGACAGAGCAAATGATAAGCTTTCCGATTTTAAAAAAGGAACTGTCAACACGATCGACTCTTTGCCATTTCCACGACCAGGCCTTATTGTAACATACATATTCTCCCCTTTCACAGGAACAATCTTATTAATATAATTTCTTTCAATTTCGAAAGAATGTCTTTTCAATTCACTGAAAAAAGGAGTTTTTTCTAAATGTAAATAATTTTCTATTGTCCTGTATGTTTGTTCTCTGAAATCATTCGATGATCGATTCAATGTTTTTAATTGATTATAAATATCAGCACCGAAATTGGCATCCATTTGATTGTACTCTGGGTTTTGAAAGAAAACGGAGAGAGCATTTTCCGAGTAGTAAACGTGCTTTGATAATAAAGGCCAGCACACAAACCATCCGAGAGCTCCAATAAATAACAATAATGAAATCAAATTGAAATATTTTCCAATCAGAATAAATAATTTACGAATACCAGTTGGAGCTGGCATCATAGAGGCATTTGTAGTACTGGTAGTAGTAGTAGAAGTCATCGATGGTGTTGTCCCCGATTCCGATCCACCCGATGATGTAATTTGAACAGGCTCTTCACTACTCGCCATTTTTTCTTTGAATAAAATCCATCACGCAAGTACACCATTCCTCCCTCATTAAAAGAACAGTATTGATCTCAATTCAGACAGACAAACAGGTATCTACTGGATGAATGCTTCAACACATTCTTTGAAAAACTAAATGACCATAATTGTTCATCAAGCAAGTGGATGTTGCTGAAAATTCTTGAGAAAAAAATACGCAAGTTCAAGAGAAAGCCTTTCACTCTGCTGTCAACTTTTTATTCCGATCATCACAAGACTCACTGAATGTCCTCTTCTTCCGAAATTCAAGAATCATCATCAAGCTCACCCATTAGAGTGTGCGTTACTGGAGCCACTGGCTTTATCGCTTCCCATATTGTTTACCAACTTTTGAGAAAGGGATATATTGTTCATGCCACCGTGAGATCAGTAGAGAAGGGAAGAAGAGAAATTATTAATAATATCAGAGATTATGAGAGCAAGAATACTGAAGTTGGAAAATTGGATCAAAAAGTTTTAGATGAAAGATTGATTTGCTTTGAAGCTGATTTATTGAAAGAAGGAAGTTTCAAGGATGCTATTGAGGGATGCCGTTTTGTTCATCACACGGCCTCACCATTCAAAGTGCACGTACAAGACGCAAAGAGAGATTTGGTAGATCCTGCTGTAAAAGGAACTTTAAACGTTTTGCAAGAATGTGTAAAATTGAGAAAGTTGCAAAGAAATGATGATCCATCAAGATTGCAGAGAATTATTTTGACAAGCTCAATTGCTTCAATTACCGATAGCGCCAAACCAAATAGGGTTTACAATGAAAAGGACTGGAATGAAGAGTCCTCCCTAACCTACAATCCATACTTGTATTCGAAGGTGATGGCCGAGAAGGCTGCTTGGCAATATTTACAAAAAGCACAATTAGAACATGGAAACGAATTTATTGAGCTGGTCACTCTCTGTCCTGCTGTGGTTATCGGCCCTCCAATGAACCCAAGGCTTATTAGTCAAAGTCATGAAAGCATTATGTTAATGGCACGAGGAGAATTCCCAGTGATTTTGCCTTTAGATTTTCCATTTGTTGATGTTCGTGACGTCGCAAAGGCGCACGTGTTGGCTATGGAACACAACATGAACGATAGATCATGCTTTGCTCCATACAAAGTTGAAAGATTTATTATTTCTAATGGAGAGACAACATCTATGAAAGATTTGGTTAAGCAAATGAGAGAAGCTAAAGTTCCTCCTTACAAGTGGGCTAAAAACTTACCAACAATTTCACTTTATGGGTATATTGGAATTGGAGTTGGTCGATTGGCAGCTCTATTACAACCAAAAGGTTTGAGACAGTATTTAACAAGTATTCTTGGAAAACCATTATACTTTGATAACTCAAAAGCTAAACGAGTACTTGGATTGGAATTTAAAAATTGGAAGGACAGTGTGACAGATTCTGTAAAGTTTCTGGATGAAAATGGATTTATTCTCAGTAAACTGTAATGTCGTGTTTTCAGAAAGGTAAATTTCAAATGTCTTAAAATAGTAAATTTACAAATTCACTCCACAAGAATAACCACAAACACACATTTAAAAAAAGATGAAAGAAGAGATTCACAGAAGTCCGCAATTCAGCAATTATGGTAGAATGAGATGTCCTCGATATAAATTTTATCATTCACCCACAAGATACTCTCAACAGCATCATTATCACTACAACGACTCGGAACACATTTTCGAAAAGATTTACCAAGTTCTCCTTCCAAGCGTCCACAAAACCAATCAAAACATGGAAGAATTACCTCTCACACAAGAGGAAATTCGATCATTGAGTCAACCATTGTTACCTCAATTCAACTTGGGGTTCGTACAAGCTCCTCCTAACGAATATACATCCTTACAAACCGAACCTCCATTCTATGTCTTAGATTTAAGTCGCTTGTTGTCACAGACACAAACTGTTCAACATTTTCCTGAAGTTTCTTCATCCCTTGTTCAATCTTCTTCATTGACCATTCAAACCTTAAACGATGAAGGTGAAGCAGAAGAATCGGCTCCACCTGCAACCGACACTACAACTATTTCCACCAAATCACTATTCACACAAGATTTAGATCCATTCTGGTCGAATGTGTGTCGAGTGATATTGAATAGGTTCATGAATATTACTCATATAAATTTAGATTCAAATAGAATTCACAGTTTACAAGTATGGCAACCCCTTACAAGATTGAGACATTTGATTTCTCTTTCACTACGTTATAATAACCTGGAATACATCCAAGAATTGCAATATTTGAAAGGATTAGGCATTGTGAATTTAAATATTTCAGGAAATCCATTCCTAACTTCACAAAACAATCAACTCTATCGAGAAGATATTGCACTTCTCGTTCAATACTTTTCATCTCTTGAAAATGTTGATGATTTCATCATTCCTGAAGAATTTAAAGGCGAGACGATTGTGATTCGAAAAAGTGTCTTACCAAATATTCTCACAACAAGTTTCTATGAAAATGAATCTCTGAGAGAATATGTCGAATGGTTTCTGTTGCAGTATTTTACATGTTTTGATTCAAATCGAGATCAACTCTTCCAATTCTATCACGAAAATGCCACCTTCTCATTTTCCTACAATATGAATGAATATGTGGATGTTCCTGAAACGATCGAATCACGACTCATGATGAAGCCCTTTAAACCTTACTCGAGAAATGTTCGATTCATCTTGGAGAAGGAATACATTGATAAGAGTATTTTAGAAAGTTCAACGATTAGTTTTGGTAAAGAACAAATTGCAGAACGATTGAGAATATTACCTCCTTGTAGTCATAATTTGAATTTAAAATTGGTGGATGTGCAAAGTGTAGCTTTTGTGAATGGCTTTCTGGTTGTGTTACATTGTCCATGTGAACAGTTTGATGCGAAAGGATTTGCATTCCCTCGTTCCATCGATACTGTGTTCCTGATGACCGAAAATCAACCTATGGATATTTCATTGGGTCCGAATTTACCCTTCTTGATTCGAAATCATCAGTATCACATTCGACCCTATTCTTCCCTTAATTTGAATCCATTCAGATCTGATGCTAATATCTATGAAGCTTGGAATTTCGGAACACTTGCAGCTGAACCATCTTCTCCCAATTTCACATTCTCAGCTGAAACCATTCTCACTGAATTTTTGCAAGCAACAAAACTCAAACGAGAATTTGCAATTCCCTGTTTGGAATTTGTTGGTTGGAATCTCCAGAAAGCGATGGAAATATTTATAATTGAGAATAAGAACGGTACAATTCCAGCCCATTGCTTTCAAGTGTAAAAAAGATTAATGTTTACTGTGTTGCATGTCTTGTCCAAAACAATGATTCAAATCGTTAATAATTTGTTCATGTACATCATAGTCTAACCCATCCACACTAATGGTCGCTTGATTTCTTACTCCATCAACCATTTGACATTCATTGACCATAAACTTTAGATAATTGAGATCCATCTGAACGTCTATTCCTTCCATTGGAACTTTCTCTACAATATGTCTTCTACAATACTCAAATAACAAATATAATAAATAACCTCCCCAATTACTGACACCACAAACGAGTAAAAAGTCGCTCCTCTTCACACATGCTATTTTCTCTCCGTTTGGAATGCATTTCTCAACATGATCACGGACATTCCCCATTCCAATTTCATTTCCTCCATCTCCAATGCTCACCAGAGGAGTGTTTGGATGTTTTTCTTGAACGTATTCAATAATAGTGTCAAGTGCAAGATTATAACCAGAAATTTCAATGCCTCTCATGCTGTAACATTTTCCATCTTTTGACTTTCCTACTCGTTCGATGGAAATGAAAGAGTGAATATCATACAAATGCTGTTTAAACTCTGAAGAAGCCTGATGTATATCATTGCAGTCTTGCCCTGTCACCTTAACAATCTTTACTCGTTGATCATCATTTCCGAAAACCATTTTCAAGAATTTCAACATTCCTTCGTATTGATTTTCATCGACAAAATAAAGAATATTTAAATTTGTAAATTTTAGAACTCCCAACCCAATCCAAATAGCTCCTAATGGGCCATCTGTTTCTGAATAACCATTAGGAGGAACTGAAAATCCAGTAATAATTGCAATGAATTTTTTGCTACAATTTGAATTTTCAGAACTCGAAAGGGAATCGTCCTGCGTCGTGATGATGGACTTTAACATGAAATCCTGAACAATATGAGCGATAGATTGAACATTGTAATCGTCTGAAATCTCACTGGAAGCCTCTTGAAGAAGTTTTTCAATACCTCTCTTCCCCAAGTCTTGAGAAATAGTTTTCCGAAAGAGATGAAAAGAGAGAAGACATTTTTTCAACGCGATTTTAATGTTCGGAATTGAAAGCCACACTCCTTCTAGAATGATTCTTTAAGGGTATTATTTTATTAGCGACTAGTACTAGGATGAATGTATATCATTTTCTTGTAAGTTTCATCATCAACAAGTCCATACCTTCGATTCAGATGGCCATCCATTCGTTATCGACAACGATCACACTCAGGTCTGTCTGAATTTAGGTCTCTACAAGTGTTTTTTCGAACGATCAACAGAATTTAAAATTAGATTTCCAACTCGAAAAAAATTTTCATTTTTTCAAAGCCATTGCTCGTTCCTTTATAACAGCAACGAAATTGTCTCTAGCAAGTCTTTCGTCTTGTTCAAGAATAATTTTCGAAACAACCTGACATTAGGTTCATCATTGTCCTTCAATTCTCTAACCACGTACTAACCATATAGCCTCACGCATCCCGTTGAAAATGCACATGCTTTATAGAGATTTTAATTTTTTAAATTCTCCAGAAACTAGTAGTACTAGTATGGGCAAGAAGCAAGCAGCAACATCATCCTTGTTGGACGAAATTGTTGCTTCTTGCTATACTCGTTCTATGGGAGGAAGAAGGGAGAACTTGTACTTCTTTAGCCATGACGACGGCAGAGGGCCTCGCTGTTTTTGATGTGGCTATGTTCGCTTTGAAGCAAGTCGATTTTTCCTATCGGCCATTGGCCATGGACTCTAACAATCATAACTCCCATATTGATACTCTTATTCAACAACTTGATCAATCCATGAACTTTATTGCTAGTACAACTCATACCGCTGCTACAACAACAACTAGTAACAACACTACCACCAGTGCTGGTAGTAATACATCTTCAAACAAAAAACTCGCTTTCAAGCAGAGTGTTATGTTTGTTTATAACGCTGAATCATTGGATGATGATTCTGATGATGATGAATACGAAGATGATGTATTATCAACTTCTTCATCCGATGATGATTCTGCAATGTCTTTAGAATTATCACGGGCAATTAGAACAGGCTTCACTGGTATTATTGATTTTGAGAAGAACGAAATGATGATCTATCCACCTTCTCATTCTGCATACTTACACAAGGATAGCATTATCAATTTAATGGATATTGCTGAAAGCATTTGTTGTTCAACCATCTATATTTGTATGGAGAAGAATCATCCTGAAGTCAAGGAGTTTGCTCGCGGATTCATTTATGCTGGATTTCAACTTGTTCAACCAAGCATCAAAAAGTTGAATCCTACCGAATGGGTTTTGTTTGGAGCTGAGTTGTAAATAACGATAATAGCGGAGTAGTAGTAGTTTATAGTTTTATGTAATTGGTCAAGCATATGAAGGGATGCATGAATTCAATATCATACGATATCTAGTAGAGAGGACAAACCACTGCTTTGGATGACAGATTGAACAATTGTAAATTTCATAACCATCAAATCATGAAATTTTGATCTTTGTTCGCATAATCTCGATAGTGAAGTTGTTGGAATGTCTATTCTCTATTTTGGAGGATGACTGTGATTTGTATTTGTGTTATCTTTTCGAATAAAAATTTGGAGTTATGAAAATGGCTTTTGATCTATCTGCCTTAAACACCTCATCAGCTAATTTATTCAAGAAGTGATTCTTCGTTCCTTTTCCTTTCATCTTGCAATTTGAAAAGAGTGAACAAGTAGCTTCCAAGTAAGGTGAATATCGTTGATGCAACATTGTAGGCTGTGAAAAACTGATGATGGCCATCACTGCTATGAAGAGATATAGACAACACGCTTTCAATCACGGATTTCAATGTCACAATCACCGAAGTCGATAAGGGTGAAGTTCTCGAAATGAGTACAAAATTTGAGATATTCACCACAAATGCAATCAATCCAGTTCCAATCAAAACAATCAAGAATTTAGGTTCAAATAAGAATGGAACAGCAGATGCCTTCTCAAACTCTCCAGTCATGACACAAATTGGAAATAAAAACAAAATAGCTCCAATGGTATTATAAATTAGAATAATCCAATGGTTTTTCTGAGTGGATGACATGATCTTTTTCAAATAGATGGAATATAACGCCATAAAACAGCTCGATACTAATCCAAATGCAAATCCAACAAGATTAATTTTTGACAATTGTGTTTCCTTAATTCCTGCCATAAAATATCCAATCGCAATGATAAAACAAGCAAAAATAATTCTTTTTGAAATTTGTTCACCTAATAGAACAAATGTGAAAAGTGCAGTAAAACAAATGCTAATACTTCGTGCTGTATGATAAACGTGAATGTCTGAATAATCTAAACATAAATTATTGAAAGTAACCATTCCTACGTATAAAAGAGAAACAGGCATGATTTGAATGGCTGTTTCTATTTTAAATTCAAAATCTGGTAAAAAGCTAAAACAAAAGGTTCTTTAAAATTAATTCACATTCATTCCGCATTCATTCCGCATTCATTCGAAAAATATATAATGTGCGTGTGTTAGTAAAAAGATTATTTCATATTTTTAGAATTTCGTATAGTGACATTAGAACAATAATTTTTCACATCATGATCAACAACAATAATTTCAAGTATAAATAATTTCATACCTATTGAGACTATAAGTACAAAGAATGCAAATAAGTGCAACTAGTAAATGAAACCAAGTCATGGTTAATGGAAATGGAAATGTATATTCTCCAATATCCATTAAATATTTTGAGAAAAATAATGAAGATATCGAAGTGACAATAAAGAATATAATTGCAAATAACACTTGGCTGTGCAGATAGTGAGGAAAAGATTTTGTGTGAAAAATTAAATCTTCCAAATAAAGAATAATATAAATTCACATACATTTTAGAGGCTTCTCGTGACAGAAATTGTTGATCATGTTGGTGGTGATGATGTTTGTTGAGTGATAATGAAGGAGAATGAATGGTCGGAACAGAAGAAGAATTCAGAGGTGGTGACTCGGAGAGAGGTAAAACTGTTTCCAATTCTTCTGCTTCTTTTTGATGATGATACATTCGTTGTTTGGAGGAAGAGGCGACACGAGAACTGAGTTCTCCGACAAGGGCGCTTGTGCTGGCAGAGGAGGAGGATGACATGATTCAGCTGAATGTAGTGTTGTTGTATTTTTTCGATGCTGTATATATATAATATATATATTTTAAGATCAACATTTCAGAACCATTCATGTTCTCAGTCACAAGAAGATCTTCAAAGGTATAAGGTACACAAGGAGAAGAAATATTTATTTCAAAATGTGATGATGATTATTGAAAAATCCAAAGAGTTGAGAAGTATTGTTATTGCTGACGTTTCGATTGTCCATCATGGTCGAGTGATGATGAGGTGGTGGAATGTTGAAGGAATAAGAACTTGTTGTTGGTTGTTGGTGCTGTGTCATGTTGAAAGAATGATCTTCAGTAGGAGCAAAGATTGACGGAGTGTTTCCAGGATTGGAAGGAAATGGACCACCACCTCCCAAAAAGTTGTTTCCTCCACTACTCAAACCTCCTTGTGGCATGTGAGGAGTTAAGTGAGCATAATTCATCCATTGTTGATATTGCTGATGTTGAGGAGGCATTGGTTGCATCATATATGGTGGCATATTCATTCGATTTTGACTGTTGCTGAATGGAGGTGACGAATAACCATTGGAAAATGCAAAAGGTAAAACATTTGGAAATTGGTTACCAGATGGTGTCTGACCAAATAAATTAAAGTGAGAAGCTGGCTGGTTGGAATTGTTGTTGAAATGGCCAAATAATGATGGTTGTTGTGATTGAGCGGATGGATAACTGCCAACATGTTGTTGTTGTTGTGGATTTTGAAAGTTGTTTCCTCCTGCAAAATGGAATGAGCTATTGTTTAAGGACATTTCTGCAGGATTGAGAAGTGGCTTGGTGAATTGAAAAGCATTAGACATGGGTTGCCAGCCATTACTGAAAGCATTATTTGGTTGGTTACTTGGATGATTTGGTGGAGAAGGTGATTTCCTTGTTCCATTTAGTTTTGAGTCAGTGCTAGTGGTGACAATTTGATCATTCACAGAAACAATATTTGATGGAGTCACAACAGGTGGCTGTTGATTATTGACAGAGGTATTCCCAGAACTCACGGTGTCGCTCGACGATACTGTGTCCATCAGTACTGTCACCTGAGAGGACGACTGAGAAGATGGTACATTGACTGAAGTAGATTTGGATGAATTTGAATCTGAGACTTTCTTCACAGTTTTTGCGCCCTTTTTGTCATTGGTGTTGGATTTTGGTTGATATCTGGGGAACTGTTCGGGTGCTACCTTAATAGAGACATCACTCATATCGTTTTCAAATAGAATGTGAGTAATTTCTGGTTGTTGTGGTTCTGCGGATTGATCATCAGAATGAGGACTCTCAGCTTCCACCATATCTTTCTGCGTGTCTCGTTTTTTCTGTTTTTCCTTCTTGATAATTTCTATCATCTCCTTTTCAATCTTTTTTCGTTCCTCTTCCATCTTTTTCTGTTTTTCTTGTTCTTGTTTCTTCTTTTCTTGTTCTTTCTTCTTCTTCATCTTCTTCTCACTTTTTTCTTTTTCCTTAATCTCCTCTTCTTCTATTAACTTTGCTTGCATATCTAGGGCTTGTTTTTCTTTAAATGCATTTAGGATATTTTCGTAGAATGCCTTAGCAGCAAACAAGTGAAAAACTCTCCTGCTTTCTCTCCACTTCAAAATATTTTCTTCAGAATTTTCACTTTCGCATTCGGAATCTTCATCTTCTTCTTCCTCCTCTTCTTCGTTCTCTTCCTCTTCTTCCTCTTGATCGTCCTCTTCCTCTTCTGAGCATTCTTGATCTTCTTCGTCAACTTCATCTTCTTCATTGTCGTCATCCTCATACTCATCATCCTCTGACGCATTATTGTTATTATTTTTCTTATCCTTGTTCAATATTAAATTTTCCAAGTTGCTTTGCTTTATATTATGTTCAAATCTCTGAAGCAGCTGAATAATATCACTTGATTCGTGGTGTTTTATCCATTCTTCGGAAAGTGTGATGATGGACTCCTTATTGATTGAAAGATTCTTTCCAAATTCGTATTGAGCTAAATCTTCTTGAGGTAACTCTTCAGAGGCATAAGGGGGAGGAGGAGGAGGTAGGTTCTGCTGACTAACTGTACCATTTTGATAAGCATTTTGCGTAGATGTTGTTGAAACGGCTGTTGATGGGGTTGTACTTGTTGTATCAGTGGTATTGGTATTATTTTGTTGTTGTTGTTTAGAAGGAACCGTCCTTTCTTTTGAATCATCTGTGATGTCTTCGATAATCGGACTTGATGGTGGTTTTGATGGAAAACCATTGTTATCGCTTGGATTGAATTTTGTTGTAGAATAGTATTTTACAGTTTTTTCTATCACCCGAACATTCCCACTCTTTTTAAACGTTGTTGTTGTCAGCATTTCGGTTCCATCCTTGTTGATGACTGTTCTTTTTGTGGTTTTTGGAGTTCGATTGCCGTTATTATTATTGCGAAGTTTTGACGACCTATCCACAGTGGTGCAAAAGTTAAATTGGCATTCGTTGTTATGATCTGGATATGCAAGTTCTTTGCAATATTCCGTAAACAATCTTTCTAATTCTCTGTCGAGAATTGTTTTGTTTCTTCCACATACTGTACACGAACAAACTCGTTGATATTGTGCTTTTATCTTTTTCAGCAACACATATGCGTCAACATTAAACAACCTTTTACGAGTAGTAGAGTTAAGTTTTCTCCAAAAATCATGGAGTGATGTAATTTGGCTATCCGATCTTTTAGAAGATGAGCCTTGCGGAGCGGTTTTATCTCCTTTTGATTGTGATTTGCTACTACTATTGTTCTTCTTTTTACCATGTGTGCTCTATGTGTATCGTTGTGATAATGGTGATATAGCGGAGATGATGATTAATTCGAACGACAACAGAACAAAAAATCAATCGGACGTTATTGATGTGATGATGAACATTGGTTCGCATTTGAATTTCAATGGCCACATTATTATAAGGCAATCACAATTGTATCATGATTATTTCCAATTAATGATGATAATGATAATAATAATAGTAAACAACAAGTCAGCCACATCATCAAATCGTCACGAAGGCTCTTCGGAAAAACACACTTACCTTTTTACTGGGCATTTTTTTTAATCGTTAATGGGAACTTTCATTCCGAAGTCGACACAAGGCTCTCAAAGAACCACAATCACAACTTGAAAGACATCAAAAAACCATGAAAGGACTTGTAGTGTTAGTTGGCTTTGAATGGATCAATTCAATATTCCTTTTAGACTGTTTAAAGAGCACGAACAAGTGCGCTGATGTGCAGCGCGTTACAAAAAAATATCTTCACGAGTAACTCTTGTTGTGTCTGTTACGTAATTGCGTAACCAAACATTTCAAATCGAACAATTTTGAAACACACAGTGAGTGATCATGAGCACCCCATCATGGAAACCTAAAGGCAATACGTTTTGTAAGTACTGCCAACAATGGATTCGTGATACACCTTCGGAGCAAAAAAGACACGAGAGATCCAAACACCACGTTATAAATGTTCAAAATTATATCCGAAATCAACAGCAACAAGAGAGAAACATTGAAAAGGAGCAACAACGAAATCGGAAATTGTTAGATAACATTGAAAAAAGAGTATCCAAAAATATAAATAATGATGAGTCTTCAAATCCATATTATCAACAATACCTTCAGCATCAAGCGGAAATGCAAAAGGTTCCGATATTTCCTCCACCAATTCATTTGCTATCACCACCGCCTCAACAACAGCCACCACTACAGGACCAAGCTGAATTGATCAAAGAGCAAACATCACATGAAGAAAATGTTGAACCTGAATTGTTTGAACATAATGATTTACCTCTGAGCGCACTTGTCTCGGCCAGTGAAAGTGGAACTGAACAGCAATCGATTGTAAAATCGAAGAAGAAAAAGAAGACTGCTGGAGCCAATTCTGCACCAGCTGAAATTGGTGGATACTATGATGATCCCAACTATTTTTACTACGAGCAAGAGGAAAGCAAAGAAGACACTTCCACTAAGGCAACTGAAGATAAATCTAGTAGTGAACAAAAAGAAAGTTTCAAGGATGTTTCTGCTGTTCCCAAAACACAGGTATCCTCATGGAAGAATAAGTATGCCCAGAATTATTCAACATCGGCTAGTGCTACCTTTGGACAATGGGAGGTTGTGAGTGTCACGAAACGTGAACCTGTAGCTTCAAATGATGAGACATCACATTCTTTTGCAACCGATACTGGTGATCATTTGAAAAATGATGACCCTGAAACACATGAAGAAGACAAACTTGGTGGAAGTTATACTCACCACAATGCCGACAAAAAGAAGAGAAAATTTGATACCACTGTGACATCGAGTGGTTTAGTCTCTTCCACGAAGAAAGTCAAATCTGAAGACTCAACACAACCTAAAAAACCCATTTCATTTTCCCTCTCCAAGAAAAAGTAACCTAACTTCATGTAAAATAATGTAAAATATCCTCTATTGGTTTTGTACTGAAGAATTCTTCATCATATCTCTTTCAGGTTTAAAATTTGTGGGTTTCATGTTGGCGCCAACCGACCGTACGAATTTTAAACTCAAAAAAAATGTTTTTAGGTAGTCGATCAGGGGTCGGATTAACGAAAGAATTAAATCATTCAATCAATCAACGAAGAAAACAAGAACAACACTGGGAAACCTTCAATGCAATCAAACAGACCGATGCAAAACACCGATTCGCTGCGGAATGGGAGAGCAAAACAACAACCAAAATACAAAAGGGCCAACTTCAAAAGAGGCTCGATGAACTTCGAAAGGAAAAAGAAAAGGATTTAGAGAGGCGTAGAAATAAACTTGCAGAAAAGTTGGCACTTGAGGATGAACAATTTAAACAGGAATTAGAATCAATGCAAGAGACGACCGAAGAGAGGCGTAGAAAGCTAGAACAACGAGCAAAGGAATTGAAGGAACAAAGAATCATGAGAGACCAAATCTCTTCGCGCGAGAAACAACATCAACGATTTGTACAAAATAATGATATTCTTCGTGATGCAAAAACAAGGAACAATACTCTTAAATGTGCAGCTGACAGAATGAAACAGCAAGAAGAAAAAGAGGAACTAAAATTGATAGAGAAAGACAGAGAGGAATTCTTTAACCAGTTATGGGAGCAAGATAGGATGAAGAAGGAAGAAAGAGAACGTTCAGAACGAGAAAAACAATGGATGATGAACGAACAATTAAAGCAATCTCTTGATGACCAAAAGAGAAAACTCGAAGAGAACAAGCAAGAAATACAACGATTAAAAGAAGAAGAAGGCAAATTACTAAAGGAGAAATGGTCTCTTGAAGAAGAAGCAGAAAGAAGAAAACAAAAAGAAAGCAACAAAGATTGTTAGAGCTCCGTAACAGGGTCGAAAAATTCAATGAAATGAACAGAAAACAAAAACAAGAAGAAATGAGAAGAGAAAGAGAGCTCGATCTTCAATTCTTAAATCAAATACTGGAACAGCAAAATTTGGAAGAAATTAAAGAAAAGGCAAAGAGAGACAGAATTAAGGAAGAGGCCAGACAATATCAAAGATGGATTTTGGAGATGATGAAAAAAGAAGAAGAGGACACAAAACAACTTGATGATTTAATTATGCAAGAAAATGAACGATCGTGGCAAAAACGTCTCGAGCAATGGAACAAGGAACAGAAAGCTAGAGAGAAATTAATGCAAGAAGTAATGGAAGAGCGACAAAAACAAATTCAAGCTCGACTTGACGAAGCGAAAAGACGAAGAGAGGAAAGTCTTGCAGAGCGTGACAGGTTAAAACAAGAAATGGTTGAAGCTCAATTACGACAACAGGCTGAAATGGAAGAGAAACGAAGATTTTTGAAAGAAAACCAAGGTGATATTTTGGATCAAATAAGGTATAATGATTTCAAAAAGCAAGAAAAGGAAAAACAAAAACAAGCTGAACAACGTGCTCAACTCTATGCAGAGCAAATGTACCAACAAAAACTCAAGGAAGAGCTCGAAAAGCTTGAAAGAGACAAGCCATCCCAATTTTCTCATCTTAAAGTCAGAAAGAATAATATATTTTAATCACTCATCTCGATTAATTAAAATTTCTAAAACAATAATTTAATAATAATGTTATTGATCTGCCATCTCGGGTGACGCGTAAAGAGTCTTCATTGCTTCTAAGATATGGTCCGACAAATCAATTATGAGTTGCAAACTTGTATCGGACGTACATATGAAAGAAACAAACAATGAATCTCCCAATTCTTCTTCCTCATCCTCATCATTTTCTATTGATGCATCTGATTTTGATTTATTCATGCCTTGCTCTTGATTTGCAACTTTGGTTGGTTCTGTATGCATTTGCAGAACTGAATAATCGTCATAACAACTGATTAAATATCTATTCTTTCCGAACGGTAATTTGTTAGCTTGTTCAGCAGCCTGAATATGTGTGGATGGAAAAGTATTATCAAATTCAATTGTACAATCCTCGGAATAACCTCTTGCCACAATATTTCCCTCCATATCACACACAATTATTGAAACAAGTCCATCAATTCTGTTAAATAATTTTTCAAAAAACGGATTATTCTTAAATTTTTGTTCTTGATCTTGTGTTGCTATAAATTGCTGTTGTTGTTGCTGTCGACCAAAACTTTGTGCCAGTTGTTGTGGCTGATGTTGTTGTTGGTGGTGCTGTTGTTGTTTGAGACTGGATGAGAGAAGACTCATTTTTTTATTTGGCATAAAGGTGGTTTTGATGATGCTTGTCCAATTTGCAGATATTGTAATGATTTCACTCCATACATCCTAAACATGTGTAAGGATGACAATTATGAGTTAAAACTATCCTTTTCGTAATATCCAGTTGTGTGGACTTTGAGGAAAATTCATTCCATTATTTCAGTTTCTTTCGTTGATTTTTCAGAGCGGTTCAAAGCTAATTGATCACAACAGCTCAGTTTCTAATGTTGATTTTCACGAATTCGTATTGACCTCTTTCATTGTTTTCTGTAATGCTTAGGTTGGTCTCCTTCATTGAAATTGCTTGTAGGAATTTTTTGTGATAAGGAATTCGTAGAACTAATTCCATCTTCAAATTCACTCCTATGAATAATCTTGGTTGTATGATCACTTCTCACATGAATAGGATCCAACACGAGTGAATCATCATCTACAAATTCCACTCGACCAATTTGTGCACTCTTCGTAGCATGGTATGAATTGGCACTGCCACTTGCTAATGGATAGGGTCTCGGAAATGCAAAACTACTCTCCGAAAAGACTCTATTCTTATTGTTCTTTAAAAACTGGGATACTGATGAGGATGAAGAAGATTTGAACTTTTGAGAGGAAGAGCTACTACTACCACTCGTTCCGCTACCACTACTACTACCACTCGATGAGCCTAATTTCTCCATTTTCAAATATCCTTCAAAGCCTTTGATGATATTTCCGTGATGAATGGTTTCTTGAAAATAGGCTTCTTCAGCCCGATTGATGGAATCTTGAATACATTTTAATTCGGCCTCCAATTGTTGCTTTCTCTCTAAAAGTCGTTCCATCATCACGAGAAAATAAGAGTCTTTCTCGGAAGTGTATTTTTGAATTTTTGTTTGAAAAAGAATATTTACGAAATGATCATTATTATATCTAACTAGAGCTAATTGAACGAAGAAGGAATATATGCCACTTTTCCTCTTCGTATCGCTTTACTTCGAGTTGTAAATGCAACGCACTCACCATGTGAAACACGCGTTCGAAATTCAGAAACAGTCCTCACCAAATAAACTGTTCGGTTGCATGTTTCACATAATTGGGCTTCTTTAACAGCGCTTCCTAATTCTTCAAATTTTAGTGGACACTTATAAATCCATTCACAATTTTCAATAAAGTTCTCTTCATAATTTTGAAGGGCAAGAGAGTTTCAAAGCAAGATCTTGATGGATCCTTTGGTGTAAGAGGAAGTTTTGTTGGAGAATAAAGCATCAAATGCTCAATTCTTCTTCTCAACACATGCTTCCAATTTTTAATGTTGAGAGATTTTTCAAATTTTGGAAAGTAATAACACATGAGTGGTTTCCAAATACTAGTCAACTGAACCAACATAAATTCCCAACCTTCCTCTGCATGTTCTTCCTTATCTTGTGGTACTTTTTCCATGTTTTTGGTCTGATTGAACAACAATAGCAACAGAGAGGAATGACATTTCGCAAACGCAAACAAACTCAAAAACGGAGCGATTTGCATCAAAATTTCAGAAGACAATTCCGAGAACTTGATCATCATTTGTGGACGTGTACAAACATCCATGTTGATGCTGCCATTCTTGTTGCTGTCGGAATGAATGGAGAGTGCAACAAGATCATCCTGAACGTCCTTCTTTCTGTTCTCCATGGAGAACTTTGAAAAGAGTATCATTTTTTTTAAAAAGGAAGGTCTTCGATCTCAGGTGTTTCATTCACCTTTAAGTGTGTGATCGCTTGTCAGGCCTGTTGAAATCATTGAGTTTAGGAAAGCATTTGAGGTAAGTTTATAAATGCCTCAAATGGACAAGATCTATTCCCTTAGATTCTTCTAAAAATATGTTAATTACAATAAATAGTTTAAAAATCATGATTATGATAATCACCAGTTGAGCTCCCTTCTCAATCACAGCCAACATTTGTTTAAAAAAATGACACTCATGCAAGGCCACAACGCAATCAAGGCATCATCATCCTCTCCATTCCGAACCACTGCCTTGTTGTTCGTGGTGAGCCTCATCATTCTGATCGTTATCATTGGAATGGTCGTGGAGGTGCTTGCGGATATTCCTGTTCATTGTATTCATCATAATATCGGAAACAATGAATGGAGGTTATATATCTCACCACCTCTGTATTCGCTACAGGAAGATGAGAGAGCTCAAAGTATTCAACGAAAACAACACATTCCATTAAATTGCACTCGAATGGAGAGAGAGGATGTGGATATTGCGAGAGTTGTTAAAGTTTATTTGCAACTTCCAAATATTGTGAGAAGTGAAAATAAGAATGGAAATGTTATTGGAACTTGGACTATGGTTTATGACCAAGGATTTGAAATTACACTTGTTCAGAATAATTATGAAATGAGCATGTTTGCCTTTAGCATGTTTGAAAAAGTGAATAGCACGAGTGAGCTGATTCGTTCCAAGTGTCATCAAACATTTGTTGGAAATTATAGAAAGAGTCCCTATGGACAAAAGAACGCTGCTTCGTTTGGATGTTATTATGCTGAAAAGGTTTATCCCCAACCAACTGACGTGAAAGTCTCTCTTCCAATTAATACTTTACTCTACAAATATTATGATCCAAAGAATCAAGGAAAAGGACTGAATGTCAATAATGATCCATCATTTGACAGCTTGGCAGATGAGTTAGGATTGGATTTACGATTGATGAGAACCTATGATCCAAAGGAGAAATTCAAAACAGATCGAAACCTCATTGATTGGATCAACACCCAATCTGATCATTTGGGTTGGACTGCTCGCTCATACTCACAATTTGAGCAATTCACAAATGAAGAAATGGAAAGAATGAATGGAGCTCGTTCCATCTTGGTTGACAAGAGTGATTTGAAAAAACCAGAAAACAATCCAATTCTAGAAGAGGAAACTTTCAATATTGCTTCAGATGAGCTTGACCTCACACCACCATTGCCAGATAATTTTGATTGGAGAAATGTAAGCGGTGAGAATTATTTGACAGAGGTCAAGAACCAAAGATCATGTGGTTCTTGTTATGCATTTGCAGCAGTGACAGCTATCGAATCAAGAATTCGAATTCAAACCAAGAACAAGCTCAAACCATTATTAGCCGTTCAAGATATCATTTCATGCAGCCCTTACGCACAAAAATGTCATGGAGGAATTCCTTATTCCATTGGACGTCATTTGAGAGACTTTACACTTGTTCCAGAGTCTTGTTTCCCTTATACAGCATCTGAACACATTCCTTGTGATTCAAAATGTAGCAATCCGCCATATATTGTTAAAGTGAAGGATTACAAGTATGTGGGAGATTTCTATGGAGCTGGAAATGAAGAGAACATGCGACGAGAAATTTACAGACATGGACCAGTCTCTGTGAGTTATTTGGTCTATCCAGATTTTAAATATTATTCAAATGGAATCTATAGACACTCTGGATATGGATATCCAATGAAGAAAGATAGAATTAAGCATACTAACAATGGATGGGAACCAACCACTCATTCTGTTGTCATCACAGGTTGGGGTGTTGATCCAGTGACAGGCCAAAAGTATTGGAATGTAATGAATTCATGGGGAAGAAAATGGGGAGAAGAAGGATTCTTCAAAATAGCGCGAGGTCAAGATGAATGTGCTATTGAGGCAGAACCTGTTGCTTTCTATCCTCAAGTTATTTATACGAACGCATGAGAGGTTGATGAGTGACACTTGTCAATGTTATAAGGAAAAAACAGTGTTCAATCATTGTTGCGTGTAATGTTCAAGAAATCAAACTCTCATGTTGTGGTCTACAATAAAGGGGATAGCCAATAAAAAAGAAGGTGGCGGCTGTGAATATAACAGCAATAACAGTCGTCACAAGAGCGATAATGTAACATCCATTGCAGGGTAGAATTAGTTTTCGCTTTTTCATTTTTTTAGGGTCGTTGTGGATCTCCCAAGAACTGCAATTGAAGTCAATACTTCAAGAGAACTTATTTCATGTTTCTATAATGAGAAAGACATTCCAAAAACTCTGTCATTTCGGAGACCAGAGATTTTCTTTCAAAGACTTCGTATGTTATTGATTTGCAATAATGGTTTTGTTTACTTTTAATGTTCTATCTTGCGTTCTTTGTTGGACTGTTTTGATTCATGCGGCTTTTTGCAGGGCAATGTGTCTTGAAATTTTTGAAAAATTTAATTTTAGCATGATAGCATGTATTACGAATAATAAAACGTAAACATTTATGATCTGATCATCTATTGCTCTTCAACAGAGGTACTCTGTGTTTTCTCTATTTATTATCAGGAATGACTTTTTTGAAGTAGTAAGGGTTGGGAGAACATTCAACTGGTCATAAGTTTTTTCTATAACAAGTTTTTGAATCAAAAGTTATCAAACTAATAGTGGTCCACCTCTCAACTTCTCCTCATTCACAGTAATGGAATGATCACGTGAAAATTCTTTGTTGGATGTAAATTAGATTCTTAGAGGTTGCAATAAAGGCTTTCTCTGTTGTTTGTAACGTCGAACGCATTGTGAGACCTTAGACATCATGCTGAGGAGGAGCACCTTTCTCTTTTAATAGGTCTTGTTCAAGAAGATATAAAAAATATTCAAAATTTTACAATTTTAAATCAATATAGAAAAACAGTAAAAGAAAGGATTAAAGTAAGTCCAAATGGCCATATTAGCTCATAGTACCCTGAGAAGTTGCATTTCCTATTTGAAAAGTCTCAATTATAATTGGAGGTGACTACTTGTCAGGATCATCACAAAAAAATGCAAAAACGTCCAATCCTGCCCTGCAATTATGTTTACATTGCTGTCGGTGTCATGACTGTTTTGACTTTATTCATCATAATTGCCCTCTTCTCAACTGTTGGTTATTATATAGACCTTGAATCCAACATTCAATTCCACCCTAACGCTTGTCTTGTTTCTCATTGTGAAATATTCACTTCTTTACGTTGTCCAACAACAACAAAATGTCCTCCTTCCTCCCGCATTTCAGTGTTATTCGTCGGATTTAGAGTCAACAAGAACAATTCTTTTTACGAGATATCGGTGCAGGCTGACCAGTATCCTTCTCAACCATGTAACATTCCATCGAAAATCCTTTCTCAACCACCACCATATCTCCCAAGAACTGCAATTGAAGTCAATACTTCAAGAGAACTTATTTCATGTTTCTATGCTGAGAAAAACATTCCTGACACTCTCTCATTTCGTGACCCGCTGGTTACCAATCTATGGTTTTTTGCACTATTGTTTATTTTCTCATCTGCATCTGTGTTCTCTTGCGTTCCATGTTCTATTTTATGGTTTTGTGCAGTTTGTGGCAGGAAGATGGAAATGCCTATTGAAGATTGTAATTTTGATGTGATAGAATGTGTAGTGAGCTGTTGTTACTGTAAAACGTAAACGGAAATGCAAGAAGAAAATCATTTAATTGTCTTGATTTCTTTTACCGTGAAAGATCAAGTACAAGAGAGGCACACATATTAATATTCCCAGTCCAGGCAAATGGGTGGTGCCTCAAATAGTTCCTTAAGCTTTGTTGCAACCTTTACATGATCAGGATGGATTGCATACTTTTGAATAATTTCTCTCGAATCAAAGGTGGCTCGAAGAGCATAATTGTAGCCTTTTGCTCGTTCGGGTGTAATATTTCTTCCGAAGGTGAGTGTTTGGACACCTTCAATTTTTGATGGTAGAGCATTCAATTCTTCCATCAGTTCTTTTTCCTTCTCTTCGGAAACTGCATGAATGATGAAACAAAAATCATCATAACAAATTCCGATTAATTACCTTCTCTCAGCTTGAAAAAAACAACATGATCGACTTTTTTACTCATTTTTTTGTGTGCCTTTAATGAGATTGGAGAATGTTGACGAGTCGACTTGGAACGTTCATCAACTGGTGACAGTCTCTTTCTAATCGAGTCAATAATGTGCTCTGTAACAGCACAATATGTGTCGTTCTGTTCGTTCTAAACGTGTGGTACCTGAAAAAATCGAATTGGTTTGTGTTACTTGGTGACTAAATCAACCAGTGATATCTTGTTCATGGCCTCAGAAAAAGCTTCTCCTTCATTCTTTGTGAGAGGTTTTACCTCTTTAATGTTGAAATTAATGAGACAAGTTGATTCATGTTTCTCGGAAGCAGCATTCTTGATTTCTCTCTTCAAAACACTAATCAAAAATTCTGTATATTCATCAATATATTTCTCAATTTCGGAATAGACTGTATTTGTTGTGCCGTATGAGCTCATTGTTTCCGATTGTTGTCTTGCTAAAGATGTTTTGAGTGCCATCACAAGAATATTCTTCATTTCTTCAAAGGGAGGCAATTGTTCGGCATTCTCAAATACCACAGTTTTCATAATATAATCGACAGCCAAGTGCTCCAAATAAGTTTTTGCTTTGAGATGACTCTCCTTTTCTCGGATACTCCTCTCTCGTTGTTGTTGCTCTAATTTTCCTTGAGCTGCAAATGATTTTTTAAATTGTTTGGGAGGCATTTTTTTGACAAGAAATTGTTTCAATCTTCAACAAGAATTTGGATTTTGAGTTTGGTTTATGTGTTGAGATATGTCTACTCCGTGTACCAATGAGTTGTCACCTCCATCAACAATAATACAGCCTTCGGAATGCATGCAACCCTGTTGTGGACAAAAGCAACAACTGGTGATGCAGCATACATGCAAACAAGAAACGTATGGTGAAATTAAAACAAAAATCTTCGATCGAGGAGAGTCTTGCTGATCAAGTTCCTTCTAACAAATGTTGTTCTCAGCCATAAAAAGACACGATTGGTTGCATACACAATCATTAAAGCTCCAAAAGTAGAATCCCAAAAGATGGACATGATAGCATAAAGTAAAATGTTAAATGCAATCATCTTCCATTCACATCCTCTCAACATCAGTCTAAAGAATGAATAGGTTTGAAAATATTGTTGGCTGTCATCCTTAAAGAAAAATTCTCGATCATGCAAGTATATAAAATCAGGAATGAAACCGAGTCTGTACGAAATTTGTTTGTCAAGAATTTGGCCCTGCTTGATTTTGACGTCAGTGATGACTCTCTTGAGATATTCATTGATGGTATTATATCCATCAATGAAAGCAGCAGGAATGTATCTATGCTTTGGTCCAATATTAAAATTGAAAAGATCGCTAATTCTGAACTCGTTGCTCATTGGAGAAGTAAGGGCAGGATTGTTCATCTGGCTTCGTTCTTTCATGGTCTGTTGAATAGGCTGCTCAACAAGAGCTTGTTGAGTGTTTTGGTTATCTGCAGCATTACTGATTGGATTTTGTTGTAATATATTCGGTTGTACTGTCAAGGCTGTTACTGGTCTTGAAGGATTAATGATCTTGGGCTGTGCTTGGTTAGTTGCCATTCTTCTAAAAAATCCATTCTTTGCTTCCTCCTCTTGGATGGGAATCAATAATAGCTTGTCGTAGTTTTCTCGAACCATTTTCGACACATAAAGATCAAAAGTAACAACAGAGTTATTATCTGTGGCGGACTGAATTAAACCTCTCTTGGGGAAAAAGTCATTACTTTCCTGGTTGAGGCCTTCGTAAAATTCTTTCATGTTAGCATCTGCAAACCTGAAAACACTCTCACCATGAATGTAACATCCATAATGTAGTTCATCTAAAATGAGAATGCTGATATTAGCAATCGAACATGTATCAATTAATGATGTAATGGGATTTCTGGTAAATCTATAAATTATGAATCTGAAGAATATGTACTGCAACAAGGAGATACTCAAATAAAACCATGATAGCAATGCAATTTTAAGAATTGGGTGATATCTAAATACTCCACTTAATGCATTTTCATCTGCTGTATATGATGCTAGATTAATAACTCCTCCACCATCCAAAATTAACAGCACTGTTAAAAGAGTGAACTCAAGGCTGGTCCAAGTCGTTCCTTGAAGTTTCTCCCATTCTTTAGCAATGAAATAGCTTCTCCAAATACTGACACTAGAATATGAACCCTCAGCTCTTCCTCCAACCCCAACGACCTTTCCTTTAGTCTTTTCCCAATCCATAAAAAAAATATCATAATTGCAGTGTTTGTAGAACACATATGAAAGGTCGATAGCCTTTGCAACAAGAGCGTATAAAATTATGAGGAAGAAATACCATTTGTCTGAATCATTAAAATTTGGTAATAATGCAAATACGCTTGATTGTAATTTGAAGAATAAGTAATAGAGGGATATGTAGAAAAATATCAACACAAAAACTCCATTTGAGGAATGTTCACAAAAGGCAAAAATAAGCTTTCCCAAAGTGGGAAAATCAATCTGTGACAATCTTCTTCTTGAGTATCTATATGTTGACATACAAGAGGTTATCAAGCTCAATACTAAAATAAGAACTAGGAATACTATTACCACAATCCATACTGTCTGCTGAGATTGAATGTATGAAGCTGAAAAATATATCGAGGGTGTCAGTATGGACTCTTGTTGTGCAGTTGTGAACACTGTAGTTTTCAAACCAGCAATCTTTCTGGATGTATATTTTAAGGTGAGCCTTGGAGGAAATATCTTTTCTGAAGCTTGTGTGTTCATTTCCACTCTTAGCTCAGCACTCTCTAAAAATCTGACAACACTTGGAGAAGAAGATTCAGTAGTAATACCTGCAACATTGTCGTAAATGAAAAATCTTCTATAAAGAGTTGCTGTGGAAATATCGTTTGCGGTTGTCTTGTCGTCTTTTAAAATCTGAACAGGTATTGGATATAATTTTCCATTGTCAAGAATAACTGAGGTGCAATCAAACGTGTTAAATGGTAAATAAAGCAGTGAAGATCAACATACATAGTTCATAAAATACAGTGGCTTGAAGTGTAGGAATGGAGAGAGCATTAAAGAAACATGAATTGATGTAGTTATTGCCAAAATCTAAAAAAGCAGACCCAATATAGTTTCCAGTTGGGCAAAGCTGTAATTGATTCGTTAAGTCCTCAAATCCTAACCAATTTCCATAGACAGAATATTTCGAAAGAAGGAGTTTAAGTCTTGTTGTTCTATCCGTTCTTCCACTTAGCCCAACCAATTGAGATAAATCATTGTTATATAAAATATCTGTAGATTTTCCTCTGTAAACAAGCCAAGGCATTCCGCTTTTCCATCCTGAGAAGCCATTTACTCCGTCATCTGTCAATGAATTGTATAAAGAGAAGTACATTTTGCATGCAGAAGTTGTCTCGTCAAAAAGTAACAGCGCACATAAGTTTGCTAACATTTGACACGACGTAACGTTGTTGAAAGATTTGCAATTAGCGGAAACGAAGTAAAAATTGTCATAAAATAATTTAGATCGAACTGTTTCAGTAGACGGGCTTTCAGTCCTAGAAGTCTCAAACACTTGAGAAAAAACCACAGATGCAGCTGAATCAATAGGATATTTGCTGCTTAGATCCAAATAAGTGTCTTTCAGAACACATTTATCTGACCACTATTCATAATGTAAAAACACTCTGTTTTTGAATGAAATACGTACCAATTGATATAGGGATGAACAAACACAAGAAAGACCATCTGAACTAGCGATCATATTCGGATCTGGACATGATTTACAAGAATATGGATTTGTTGGATCAGGTATCGAGTTAGGTCCACAACTGATACATTGTTTTGTGGCAAGCAAGTTTCCGAAATTGTCTCTCTCTATCAGTTTTTTTGATCCTGAGCATACACAGTCTGTTTGATTGAATCCTGCAGTTGTGGGCCCACACGTCATGCATGTTGATCTATCACGAGAAGACGCGAATGGACACTTTTGACACGAAACAACACCCGAAGTAATGACTTGGATATATCCTTCCGAGCAGTAACAATATTGATTGTCAGAGGATATTTGGTTTGCAACTCCACATGATTTGCACAGCATTGAGGAAGAATCAAAATACTGTGGACTACTGCATGTTGTATTCGAAAAAACTCCTTTTTGAGCATTGATGTGTGAATGAGGTGCAATTAGAAATATTGAAATCAGAACGCCAATTAGGGACAGTATGTTTTTCATATAGTGGTGATCTATTGATATGAGCCCTTTGCCTGTTCTTTTCCGATGATGGTTCAAATATACTCTGTCGATCCGCATGGCTGGTAAGGTTGGTTGCATTTTTTTTGTTGAAAAACTGAGTTTTTGGGCGGGTAGTTTTTTTGTATGGAGCAAATATAAAGTCACCACGAATTTGAAACTAAATATACATACTTGTTGTTATTGGTGCTGTTGTTGATGTTACGACCTCCAATACTGAGCCCATCGGTGAATGTTTTCCATTAATTGAGGGAAGAGTGCCTTTTCACTTTCATTGATAATACTTTGCATGTATGCGTTGGCATCTTGGTCATTCAAGTCAACCCTGAATTTCTCTTGAACTTTCATGATATTCCTAATAGGATCGGCTGCTGCTCCATGCTCAATGTCTCTAATGTTTGCGTCAACCATGAGAATAAACATGTTCAAAATTAAGTGAGCTGATTTTCTCAGAATATTGTAAGCAGTCACACACAATTCTTTGAATTTGATGTAACCCTCGCTCTTGCTTCCTCCCATTCCTTCAACCATTTCCTTACACAACTTCATTGGTGGTGGGAACGGTTTTGGATCTCTTCCCAAAATAAAGCCAAAATCAATATGGAACAAATGACCTTGATGAGTGATTAGCACATTGTCCAAGTGACGGTCACCAATACCCAAGATGTACGTGATCACACAGTAACCAGCACAACTCTTAACAAAGTTTTGACATGCATTGTGAAAGTCTTCATCCTCTGGATTGTGTTTTCGAAGCCATCCTCTTATATCGCCTTTATCAATGACCGTAGAAATTGCCGCACAGTTAGGAACACACTCCAAACAGCCAAAACTTGGGCTGAAGGCCAATACAGAATAAGGAGTCAACTTCAAATCCAAACCGTTATTCTTCAACAACTTGTCCATGAGCAATATAAGCTGCATGACCAACTGATCTTGTCGCAAGTCGTCTCCAATCTTCACAATAACACTATACTTCTTTCCCTCAATATCTGAAAATGGAATCATGAGAGGGCTTTGAGCGCTCTTGAAAATTGTTGAATCTTCTGCAAATAATCCATTCACTTTGACTTCAGGATTAAGTGGAATTGGCAAAGGCTCCTCTGGATAATTTTTTGAAATGTTTGCAAGGAAAATATCGTTCCATGTTAGTTGTTCCTTGCTATCGGATTGAATAAATGGGATTTCTCCTTTTGCTGACAAAATCTTCTTGAAAATTGTGATCTTTTCTGGTCTTGAAATTTTCAAACCCTTAATATAGTAACCAATTTTGCTGAGCGTATCCACCATCCTTCCCTGTCTAATAATCTTTTCAAGGAATAGAGGAGAATTCTTTTTGAGATGAATAAAGAATTTGTGTCTGAGTTCCATGAAATGTTCACCAAAGTTTGGATCTTCAGTTTCAACAGCAAGATACCAATTCAAATTGTTTGCAACATGGAAATTTACACTTGCTCGTTCTAAAAGGAATTGAGCGAGTTCTGACTCATAAAGCTTCACCGAGTTAACTTCGACCTCATATCTCAATGCTTGAACTAATTGCAACAACACATCCAAAATTGCTGCATCATCCGCTTTTCTCAAAATTTTAACTGCATAATCTCTGACCACTTTTACATTCTTGAAAAATCTGGACAACAATTCAAGTGCGTCGACAGTATCAATTTCAGACCATTGTGGAATCAACTTTTCAGCCTCTTTCTGTTGTGCCAAATAGTTCCAGTCAACACATCTTAAAAACTTTGTTAGTGCTCTCTTATTTGATCTCAAGTAGTATCTGTACTTCCATAACAAACTTTTATCCTCAGTTGACATTTCATGAAGAGGAGGGTAATCCAAGATCTTTTGAATCTTTTTTGTTTCAGTCGCATTGGGTTTGAGATTTGTGTCGATAAGTCCACTCGAAAGATTGATGCTCAATTTCAAGTGCTTTTCTTCCGCCAAGTTTGTTTGTTTGGCTTCTGGATCGTCAATGAATTGGTATTTAGTACTAATGGTCTCACTTCTAAAGTGATCTTTTGTATCTTCTGCATATTTCACTTTTGTCATGGATGCTGCTATCTTTGGTGTTGCAATATTATTTGGTAACATTAATCCAGGAAATCTAGTAAAGCCAGAGTAGAATGAGTATGGCATTTCCTCTGATGTGTTCGATAAATTCGATAAATAATCAAAATCTACTACTCGTCTATCAAATGATGGTAATTCAATGTTCAAGAATGTTTCAATAGAGCTCGAGTGAAACTTTTTCTCCTTCAACTGTTCTTTCCGATTATTTGTAAAGCGGTCTAACCAAGCTAAATTAGAAGATGCAGCATACGCTCCTTCAGAATTGTTTTCTACAATAATACTACCATTGGAGCTCATTGGAGCAAGGGTAGAATTGGAGTTGGGTTGATTATTAGTAGCAGCATTGTTTTGTGAGTTGGCTCCTGCAAAGAACTTGTAAAGATTGCTGTTCTTTGGAATGGTATTGCTTTGACCCAATATGTTTTGTTGCTTTGATTTGGCTTCAAACTTTTCAACCATAGAAAGTTCGTCTCTACATGCTTTGGTACTATACTTCTCATTAAGTATTTCGTCAACGCTCTTGTGTGGAAATAGAGGAATTCTATATTTACCAGATTTCAATCTTCCTTTCTTTCCAAAGAGTGGTAAACAACTACTACCTATTGTCACCATTTGAGTTGGAGAGTAAACATCATAAATTGTGAAACAAATATTTGCTTTGGAAGGGATTTCATTAAATTTAATTGGAAAGTGAATCCACTCTTCCCATTGTCTTCTGCCTTCTTTTAACACCACATGACTTGTTAAACTTGGTATGCACAATGGTGTTCCATCTTCAAAACAAATTTGACACTCTACAATCATATCTGAGAATGGACATCCGATGAGAGACTGATATTCATCATCATCAGCTCCGTATTTATGGTAATAATTTGAGAAATGTTTAAATAAATCTCCTTCTAGCCATCCGCTATTGTTAAATTAAACATGGAGTGTAAACAATATATAAACATTAAAATGATCTTACATTTTCACTTGAAAAGGTTGAATCTCAATTTCTGAAATGTTATAATAATATTGTAAATTATAATTATCCAAATTTGCTGACAGAGTCTGTTGTTGCGAAGGTGATGTTTGCTGTGAGAGGGAGGCATTATTCTCTTCCACAGCTTGATCACTCGTCATCACGGAATCAGCCATTGTTGAAACATCATCGGAGGTGGTTTGTTGTTGTTGAGAATTATTGTTGCTACCATTGGTAACAGGTGTAACATTACTCGTAGAAGTAATACCACTACTGCTACTACTTGTCATAACATTGCTTTCATATTGAGCTTGTTCTTCGGAGTGGTGGTTATTTTCATCCATCAGCTGATGATGAGCCTCTGCTGCTGTTGGAGGTGTTGGTGAGGAGTCGATCATTTTTGCAGTTTTTGAAATTCAAATGAATTTTCCAATTCTTTCGAGTGGTTGTTGTGTTGAGGACACTGTCTCTTTCCATGACTTGAATTTGGGTTCAGAGTTTTAAGGCAGAGAGAAACGAAAGAGCAATCGTGTGAATTGTAGGCTTTTTACCACAAGTCTTTGGATGGTTTTGATCAAAAAGTTATTGATGGTCAATTACCAATAATAGCACTCAAACAAAACATCAAATACACCCAAAAGAAAATCTCCAACATGTTTTTTGACGAAGACGAGATTGAGAATGCTTTCTTTCACGATACAACAACCAATGAACCACATCAACATTCGGAGGACATGTTGTATTCGGAGGAAGAAGAATTTGCAATGAAAATTGTAGAAGAGATTTATAGAGAACGATCGCTGCATGATCAGCAGATGATGCTCTTACAACGAAAGCGAAAATTATCGAATAGTAACAACTCTGGTGCTTCCTATAAATGCAGTGTTTCCTCTTCTCTTTCTTCTCCGTTGGTTTTATGTGATGATGAAAAAGTATTATTGAGTCATTTACCATCACGACGAACACATGATAAGGTTGATTGGAAGGAGTATTGTGACATGACGATGAGGTGAGTGATGTTTGATTCTTGCGGATGGTTTGCTTAAATTTATGAATTCGTATTTTCATTCGGTTGGATGGATCATCAAAAACTAAATTGTCATATTTAAATATTATTTTATTAATATTTCGACAATTTACAGGCAACAATTTTGGCTTATGGGATTGGATGAAATGATACTGTGGATTATATTCAAAATCAAACATTGCATCATGGTGCTGTTGCACAGAGAATAATTTGAAATCAAAATCTCATGTGGAATTAATCCGTTGTCACAACTGCTTTGATTTGCTGAACAATTGTTTCTACAGTAGCCAAAGCTAAATAATTGTACCAATAATTGTATATATTTCAAACATATAGAACAAATTTATGAATTGTACATTCACAATATTATAATAACATATAATAGATCAATAGGTTGTAAACAAATGTTAAATAAGAAATCACATTCAGTACTTACCGCCATTACCTTTATCCCCACAAGCTAACAATTTTGAAATGGGTTCAATTATATACACTCCCAACTCATTTTCTAGAATAGAGAGTTGTCTAGATGTGAATGGATGTTCCCACATGAGCGTGTTCATTGCTGGTGCAACAATAAAAGGTGATGTCTTAATATCCCAAGCTCTGGCCACACATGTCTTGAAATGCAAGTATTAAGGTGACAACTTCCATTCTCAAGCATAACTTACTAACAAATTATCACAAATTCCATTCGATATTTTAGCAAGAGTATTACAATCTAAGGGAACAATGGCGAAAATGTCAGCCCATTTTCGGAGTTCAATGTGCAAGACAGGATCTCCTTTCTTACTCCACAATTTCCATTCATTTTCATCAGTGTAACATTCTATGGAAGGGTCTATCTTTAATATTTCCTCTCTTGTCACAAAATGTTGTGCTCCCTCTGTGAGAATAATCCTAATTTTAAATAAATTTTCTGTATTTAATTGTTGAATGAGTTCCGGTACTTTAATAGCAGCAACCGATCCAGTGACTCCAATAAGCAAATGAATCAATTTTTTATCCTCTCCGATGTTACCGTGGTGATTTGATACCAATGATTCATCTTCCTCGATCAGACTCTTGTTGGAAATATGAAATCGAGGTTTGTTGAAGGCTCTTGTCGAAGAAGGATTTCCGAGTTCTTCTGATTTGATCATTTTTATTTGAAAATTATTATTATCACATAACGGTTCTTGTTGAACATGGAATTGTTTAGTGAAATAATGTGCATGGTTATCATCAACATCATGATGAGTGATTCAAGTGATTCACACATGTGCGTGAACAAGGACCATTATAGACTACTCCAAATCCACAACGACCTTTCCAATCTTTCTCCAGTGAATAATCTTGGCGTGTTATGTGGAATTTAATGCATTCCCTTTTCCTTTGTTTCAAATACTTTTAGTTGACCTTCACAATACCACTGTACTAACTTTTGTGTGGCTTATACTTCCTTAAATTTGTAAAAGTACACGACAATGGAGAGAACAAAGAGAATCAATTCAACAGGGATGTAGGGTGCCGTGGTGGAAAAATTCAAAATATGATACAATTCCATTGGTGTCAATGGATGGGAAGTAAATGTTGTGTTAGTGACATTGTTGGAAGATTGCTGCAGTTGGTGGTAGTCAAAGGACATGGCGAGGTAATACTTTTTGGCGTTTGGTTTGAAGACAAGATTTGAAATATAGCTCTGAAAAGAAAACGAAGAGATACAGAGATAGGACAGTGACTGAAATGATTATCTTTCCCTTTGTTGGAGGCTAATAAACGACAACCCGTCTTAGATAATGCACTACATATATGTAATCGATATATTTCTCCAGACCGATAACAAGCGTCCTTTGTAGCACACGAGGATGCCAAATTTGTTCGGAAACGAAATGTGGGAGCCAACCTCTAAACCTGAGTGCTGTTACCAACATGTCCAAACACACAAGATCCTCAATGGACTATTCCAACATAATATTAAAGATATTGATTCTTTCTTTCGAGATGTAGAAACAACGAAGGAACTATTGCATTTTTTATTTCATTGTAAACTATATTGTCATGTTGACTATGATTTTTTTAAAAATTGTTTGAAAAAAAATACGCCAAAAGTACGTTCATATTCACACGTTTCTTTTCTTACCTCTGGCTTTCTGTGTAATTTGTTACTCAATCTTTCTTCTTTCATTCATATCAGAACACTCTGAACATGTTCACTTCTCTCAGAAAAGTCAAGAAGGCTAAGGACCAAGAAGTCTCTGACCTTGAAAAGCAAGTTGCTCAAGCCATTTTCGATTTGGAAGTCTACTCAAAGGACTTGAAGGCTGATCTTCAACCTCTTGTCTTCTCCAGCGCTCAAGAAGTTGCTATCGGTAAGGAGAAGCAAGCACTCATTATCTTTGTTCCAGTCCGTCAAATCAAGGAATGGAGAAAGGTCCACGGAAAGGTTGTCAGAGAATTGGAGAAGAAGTTCAACGGAAAGCACGTTTTGATTGTTGGTCAAAGAAAGGCCCTCACCAAGCCATCTGATCCAACCAAAGTTCACAGACCAAGAGCTCGTTCTTTGCAACAAGTCCAAGAAAGATTCATGGAAGATGTTTGCTATCCAGTCGAAATTGTTGGTAAGAGAACTAGAACCAGAGTTGACGGTTCCAAGCTTGTCAAGCTTTTCCTCGACAACAAGGATAAGACCAACTTTGATCATAAAATTAAGACTTTCAACAAGGTCTGCAAGAGATTGACTGGTAAGAAGGTGTCCTATGAGTTCGCCAATGTCTAAATGTTCAGCAATTTGATCCAAACACATAATAAATATATAAAATTCTTAAACTTGATGTTATGAAGAGGAAATTGAGCTGACAAATTTATCACTGAAACGTATATTCAAACAGAGGCAGCGTTTTATTCTTCCTGTATTGCAGGAAGGGAAACAATCAAACAAAAACTTGAGTTTTCTCGGTACAAAAAAATGAGTGAAGTCAAATCCCTATATGAGTCTTCGAGAGTCTCATCGTCTTCCAGCACCAAAGAAATTTGCATCACCTCCACTCATACCGAAGATGCAACATGCCATATTTGGGATTTAAAATCAGGACAAGTTTTAAATTCTCTAAAGAGAATTCGGACCAATCATGGATGCATTACTTTCATTCCCGAGCATTTATATCTCATTGCTTCTCAATCCGATAAGGGAAGAATTTTTATTTATGATATTAGAAGAGAGCAGCCTCTTTTTGAATGTCCAGTAGCAGAAAAAATTACAAGTCTTGTTTCGTATGGAGTCTATTGCTTTGGAGGTGGAGAGAATGGTACCGTATATATTTGGAACATTTTGTCAGGAAAATTATTGAAAATATTTAATGCTCATTTGAAGTCTATTACTGCCATGGATGTTAATAGTGACTTCTTAGTTACAGGATCTCTTGATACTTTGATTCAAGTTTGGAATTTAGCAGAGTATGTTTTCTTTAAATCAGCATTATTTTTCAACAAATTGATATTGAACTTGCTCTAATTAGTTTGCTGGATATCAGAAACGAGGGTGAAAGACAACAATCTCCAATTTATTCTCTTTCCAGCCATGCATTATCAATCACAAGTGTTCAATTGTCAAAGAGTAGTCACACCAAATTGATTACCACCAGTTTAGATAGAACTTGTAAAATCTGGGATTTGTCTTCTGGTATCGAAATTTGTTCTATCGTTTATCCGTCTAGTGTTCAATGTGGATCATTAAGTGTTAACGAACAAGAGTTATTTGTCGGCTGCTCAAATGGATGTGTTTATCAAATGTCTCTCTATCCACACAAACCTCAATATATGGATGAGAATGAAGTGAATGATGAGAATAACTTGGAGGATTTTGACCCATTGTTGAGTGGAGGAAAAATGGTCGTCAGTGAATTAGGTTCTTCTTCGAGTGGAACAAAAACTCTAACACTTGAGAATGATACATCGAGCGATCACTCTGTGAGTAGGGGATCCAAGTACTCATGTTATACATTTAAGGCGCATAGGTAAGGTGAATTGATTCAAAACAAATTGACATGATCATGTTTTTTTAACTGTCCATGATAGCAATTCAGTCACGACATTAAATTTATCTAAGGATGGTCTGATTTTAGTTTCTGGATCCAAGGATGGAAAATTAATTTCGTGGGACGTTCGATCAAGACAACCACTGATCACTTTCAAGAAACACTCTATTTCTGCAGATAACGAGATCACCAATTGCATTATTGACACAATTAACATGACTCAATTTTCCACTTTCCATAACAATGAAATCATCAAGACTCAACAAGAACAAAAACAAGTAAGAAACACTTCAACTCTTTCTGTGAAACCTTTTAAAAAGTTTGTGGAGACTCAACAGAGTTTTTTGGAGGTGAATTTAGTTTCTGATAATTGGAATTGTCTTTATTCGCATCCTGATTTTGATTTGACCCTACAAAATCATTTAGTTTCCCCTCTCCCTGCTTTGCCATCATCCATAGCTCATCAGTCCCTTCATTTAGTGAATTACAAGCCAAAGAAAGTTTCAAAGGGAATCCAAAAGAAGGATGCTGGTTATGCCAAGAAGGTATTACAACTCACTAAAAGGCTTGCTGATATGGAGCAACTGTATAACCAACAAAAAACTTTGAATGAACAACTCACAGAGTTACTTGAGGAAAAATCCAAAGATGTCAATCCACCAGAATCCAATACAAAAGCTACGCCCCAAAAGAGTGGAAAAGGGTTCTTTCATAGAAAATTCCAATGAACTCCCAAATAAAGGGTTCAACATCCTTTATTAAGGTAAAAAGAGCACTCTTGAATGGTCGGATCAATATATTGGGAAGTGAATTCTTTAGAATCGTGGTGGTTAATAGCGAACAATTTTTGGCCAATTTTTTATGACAAGTTGGACAACACGTATTTTTGTTGTGATCTTTGTGTGACAAAAGAAATACGGGTATTTCCAAACACGTCAGTGATTATACTCAGCTCATCACGAGTCGTTACAGAGTCAAGTAAAATCCCAGACACATGGACGAGTATTCAGCTTCCCATTCTTCAAGGTCTAAAATTTCAAGATCTGACATTAATTCTCTTGCAATCAAAAGATCATTCATTCCACTCACAATATATCCTCGATGTTTCTTACACATGGCCATCGAATAGAATGCTGTGGCCATATTTTCCTTCACATTTTCAGGTGTTTCTTCAGGTGTTGAATATTCCTCATAAATTCCATCCAAATAGATGGAAAAATCAATGATGGCTAAATCATACTTTTTCCAATCGACTAAACTCATTCCTCTATTTCTGTAAGTGTCAAGAATATCAGATTTGTCATTTCCAGACTTTTTGAACAATTCAATACACTTTGTGTACCATAGCACTGAGTTGGAATGGTCTTCCTTAAAAGAATATGAAAAACCAAGGTTGTGAGAATATGAATGTTGAGAGGCATCGAGTTGATAGGCTCTATGAAAATCAGCAACAGCTTCATCGTACCTCTCAAGTGAAATATAGGTAAATGCTCGATTGTTTAGAATGAAGGCCTCTTCTTTTCGCCAACTCAACAGCTCACTCGATCGTAGAATATTGCAAGCTTCAAATTCTGTTTCAGGAATTTCTTGAGGATTTGAAAATTCTTGTGGATACACTTGGTGACGTGGAATAATGTATTTTGTCATTAATGTGTTATAGGTTTCGAGAGATTGAGAATATTTGCCCATGAGCTTGAGTTGAAGGGCCTTATTGTTGTAGAGAGTGGTGAGATCAGTATCGTCGTGGCTGTCATTGGAGCAAATACATGAGAATGGATTTTTCGCACACTCAATTTCAAAACGTTCACTCAACCAGCAATTTTCGTCGAAATGTTGCTCATGAAGACGTTCATGTAAGGCAATAGAGTGATCTAAAACTCGTATTCTTTCATGATAATTTAAAATATCCCTCAAATAAATGCTATATAAAATAGTGTTTCTATAATTTGGAAAGAGTTGGAAGGCATATTTCACACATGAGTGCGCAAGTTTGTGATATGTATTACGTTCTTTCGTGGAGTTGCATGTGCTCGCGTAGGACCAAAACAGACTTCCACATGTGGCAATGATATTCTCAATAAATAGGTGGGATGGAAGTTTCAGTTTGTTCTCACAATCGCATGAAGCAAGTTGTAAATTTCTATACTTCTTTGCAATGTTGCAATAATTTTCCTCACCACCGTATTTCATTAAATGTGTTTTGTACATTGAAAAACATTGTTTGATGTCTTTTCTCGCCATTTCATAAATTAGTTTTACAGACAAAGGTGCATACTTTTGTTTTCTTTCTTCATCGTCTATTTCTTTTTCAAAAGCCATATCTTCTAATTGTTCACTCGAAAATTTCTTGTCAATGTCTCCAACAATATATATGATATCATATAAACAGGATACTCTATTCTCAAGTGCTTGCATTTTCTTTAGTGTTAATAAAAACTCATCGTCAATATTCTTTTCTAAATTTTGTAACACATGAGTAATGTCACTAATTGCTGACATGGATAATTTCAGATCTACATTATTGGTATTTTTCGTTGAAGTTTTGTAAAAACCTCGGGCTCGTTTCCAATAGCACATACAATGTTCCTTGCAACATGAAAACTGGCCAATGATTTCATTGAAATCAGATTCGTCAAAAATTATCCCATATCTGTCATCCATATATTCAATATATTCCAGCTGCTCTTTTTCTCTTTCTGTGAGTTCATTCTTCCAATTATCCTTATTTTCTAGATACTTCTTTCTGACCTTTGCCAAATCCTTTAAGAATTTATGTTTAACCCTGTCGCAAGTCGCAATAAATTCTTGCGTGACAACTTTCATTTTGGTGACATTGCTCACTTGAAACAATTCACGAGTATTTACAAGTTTTTCTAATTCTATTAAAAATTGAGAAGGTATATACTGAGATTCCTCTTCTTGGCCCATCTCTCGATTATTTTCAACAATTTCCAAATGAACCAATTCAGAAAGTAATTTTTCATTCCACAAAGGAAGTGGTTCTCGTTTTTCTCGTCTTCTAATTTCATTATTTATCTCATTCATAATATTAAATGCCTCTTCATGTTTATCATTTTCATCATCTGTATCGTCATATCCACTCGAACTCGTTGTTGTGCCAATCGATGAGGATGAGGATGATGATGATGAATTTTCAATCAGTTCTTCATTATTGCTATTATGACTGAGCATGGTTGTGAACGATGACTCACCACCACTCTCCTCATTAATTATCGTTTGGCCATCTCCACTTCCTTGCACGTGTAACACGGAGGCATTCGGTTGGCATTGCTTTTCTTCGGAGCAAGTGCATGAGAGAATGAGTGGAGAGTCGCAATCATTGCGAGAAGACATTTTTTTTAAAGTTTTTTTTAAATTTTTTTTCTGAAGTTCGAATTTGAATGGAACGCAATTAAAGGACTTTTAAGGATGCGAGCAAAAAACACACAATGAATTCATGTGCTTTTTATTTCGACTTTTACATGTGGCACCACAACTTTAAACTCGATTCTTAAGGTTTCTGTCACTTTCCAAATAAGCTTTGGCTCTGGCATTGCTCAAAATATGTTCTCTCAACTTGGGAAGTTGTGGAGCTGCTTTGACAGGATCCATTTTGAGTCTATTTTCAACAAGGTGAGCAATTTCAAACAAGTACAAATCTGCCCAAGTGAGCTTTCCAGTCAAATATCCACCATTCTTTTCCAAGAAACTGTTCAAACCTCTAAAGATGTTCTTAAAGGTTCCCTCTTCAAAGGTTTTGGTTTCTTCTTCCTTCTTTTCTTCTGGAGTTCGGAAAGCAATACGAATGAATCCTTGGAAAATGTCTTCCAAAGCGGAGACGAATTCCTCAGTTTGAGTGGCTTCTTTTCTATCGGTTGGGTACAATCCACCTTCTTGTGCCAAATATCTTGCAATGGCAATGGTTTGATACAAGTTTTCTTGATCGTTAAGCTTGAGATATGGCAATTGGCCGTAACGAATGTGTGGCTTATGTTTTGGCCATTCTTCCGATGCGATACCAGTAAATTTGTAAGGAATGTTGGCAACTTCAGCGACCAATTTCAAAAAGTCCTATTTTCATGATCGAGCATTGGTGAGTGTGAATGATTGGAATATGGTTTGTGAAGAATTTGTGATTGCAAGTCAAATGTCAAATCAGTATCAATATGGATGTGATCAACAGTATGGATTAGCTAATCCAGATTGAAAAACACTTACAGCTCTTCCTTGTGAATTAAAGTAAACAATTTCGTAGACCATGGTGTTGTTGTTGATGATGTGTTGTTTTGATTGTTAGGAATTTGTTTTTGTTGATGAAAATCGGAAATCACTCCTACTCTATTTATTGTAAAATGTTGAATGGATAAACCGCACTCACCTGTTTGTGCGCCCTCTTAGTTTTTGAAGCTGGCACCATCCAATCACAATTTGATATTGTAAACTGGTGGATTCAAAAAAGAGCTCTCGCATAAATCAAGTGTATCAAGCATCGACGACAGTCGCGAATCGTCGCTTCTGATGAGTTGTGAGATGAATGGAAAGTTCGAGTGAATAGAGGAATTGAATAGATACAACTCTAATTGCCACAGCTGTTGATTAGAAGTGAGAAAACTATTCGTTATCCACAACACCAGTTCTTTGAGCACAACGTAGTTTAGCACTTCTACTTCTCACATTTGTTTCAATCTCCTCTTCATCAGGAGTCACTAATTCCTTTGTTACCTTTTTAAAGTACAAATGATTTTCCTTAATAAATTCTTTTGCGATCCGATCTTCCAGGGAATGATAACTCACTACGACCAATCTTCCTGTATTGAGTTTTAAAATATCTCGTGAGGCCTGTAGAGCAGTAGCCAGTGCACCCAACTCATCATTCACATAAATTCGAATGGCCTGGAAGGTTTTGGTGGCAGGATGAATTTTTTTCTTTTTTCGATCACTGAATGGTGTGATGCTTTCAATAAGGTTCGCCAACTCGAGAGTCGTCTCGAATGGTTTCACATGACTTCGGTAATTCACAATGGCTTTTGCAATTTTGGATGCATTTTCATCTTCTCCAAATTTTGCAATGATCATTCTCAAGTCCAATTCTGACATGTTATTAACAACTTCTCGAGCTGTTGGGCATTGATCATCCATTGCATTCATTCTCATATCTATGAATGGTAGATGTGTAATAGTGGCTTGAATGTTCAACAAAATACTGACCTAGTGGACCATCTCTTAAAAAGGAAAAACCTCGGTGTCCATAATCTAATTGCATTGAGGAAACACCCAAATCAAATACAATTCCATCAATCACATGTGTACCAATTATTTTTTGTTTTGCATCTAAATTTGGTATAATTTTTTCTTCCACTAATTGTTTCAAATTTCTAAAATTCACACCATGCACCTCAAGTCGTTCTTTCCCAAATGTGTCATGAATTAATTTTTCATGTTGCTGAATAACAGGATTGCTGTAATAATCTGTATCAATTCCAATCACTTTAGAATTTGGATACATTTTCAAAATTTCTCTCGTGTAGCCACCCGCTCCAAAAGTTGCATCAATAAATAATAATTGTTCGTGTTCACTTTTATCATGATTAATCTTTTTTGCGGATTTCTTGTTTCCTCTGGTTGCTATGTGCTTTCTATGTTGAGTTGTTATTTCAGAGTTGATTGGTTCGAGCTCTGATGATCTCTTTAATAATTCACAGCATTGTTTGACAAGAACAGGAACATGGTTTTCGTAATGTTTGGTAGTGTTGAGAGGTTCTTGCAGAGTTGGATTGTTTTTGATGTTTGAAGTTGAGAACAACCGATTGGTAATTGTACTACCAATCGAATAATTTCCGATGCTGATCATTGAAGCTTTCATTAATGAAGATTGATGATGATTATTTGAACATTTGTGAATGTAGGAGAAACACCGTATCCATCGAAACATTTTTTATGCTTTTTTGACTGTGGCAGCCAACTGGTCCAGCGTTCGAATCCCAGGGGTTGCTGCTGTTATCGTGAGCAGTTTAAACACCTTTACTTCCGGGGTTCCTGCTAGGAAGTCACTACGTATCTTACGTTCGGCTTGTAAATAATGTACATAAAACCATCGAACAACGTTTATCATCGAATAAACCCATCCCTGAATTTTTTATGCTTTTTTGAATTATCTCGTAAAAATGTTGTGGGCATTTGATTAGACCACTCTGAATTACATCTTGTACGATTGACGAATCAAAAATATTACCACAACCATGTCGAGTGTTGTTCACACAAAAACAACGGCACAAAAAACAAAACAACAAGACAAGAATCAAGATAAAAAGCAAAATCCAAAAACTACCAATCAACAACCGAACAACAGCAACAACAATCAACAACCTGGCAAAGATAAACAATTCCCAGGTCAAGGTCGGAAATTGGGAGACTGAGATGATGAAACCAAATCGTCGTCAATATCGAGGTTGATATCTACACCAATTTCTTGATGCAAATTCTATCGGAAGGATGACTCTGATTTCCCATTTCCCATGTGTATGAAACAGCAAATGCCAAATAATTTCCTGTGCAGTTAAATGAAATTGCAGAAATGCTTGTTTCGAATGGACTTGTGCTATTCAACTTCTTCTTGTTCATTCGATCCCATAGTGCTATTGTACCATCACATCCTCCTGTAGCAAATATTTCATACTTTGGATGTGTAGCAATCGTATTTACGGGATATAAAGTTTCTACTTGTTGAGCAGTCTTTGTTCTGTGACATTTGAAGGCATAATTATTTTGCATGTCCGCTTGTTGAATATGTTTCACTGCAATTCTACCTTCTAAAGAGCCTATTGCAAATGAGTTACTATCTCTGAAACACTTGATGCACCTCGTTTGATGTTTGAGTCCTGTATTTTGTCGTGTTGTGATTTTTAGAGGAGATCTTTGTGGATCTTGTCTTAAGGCGACAACAAATACCAATAAATCCTGTGTCCCTACCAATAGTTTTGTACCATCTGGAGTGACGTCCATACAGTAAACTTTCTTTTCTAAATCAAGGGTTTGAAGGCAAGTATTCTTAGAAATGTCCCATAATTTCAATGTGTTGTCCCAACTTCCTGTAATTACCCAATTAGGTTGATTAGGGACCACAGAAACACACCTGATGGCAGAGCGATGAAAATCGGAGACCTGACCAACCAATGATGCATCTCCAGTTTTTAAATTATATTTCATTAATTTGCCCTCCAAATCTCCACTAAAGCAATATTGATCATTCACAGAGAAGCATCCGGAGAGAACACTCTTAGCGTGTTCATATTTTGAAACGATTGTGTTCGCAGTTACATTGTAGATGCGAACTGAGTTATCCCAGCTTGTGGCTAGTAAGAGGTCAGGATTGTGTGATGAAAAGTTTAAAGATGATATTCCGTCTTTGGGAGGGTCCTTTAAATCAATTTGGTCCGTAGAATATTTGGGATTGATGATAGCAGCACTCATACTGGCAAGGCTTGAAAGAAATTGTTGTGTGTGATGATTCAATTTTTGTTTTTTTATGAAATAAAATTTGAAGGGCGGGAAATTCTCTTTGCCAATCCTCGCCAACACCTCTATCATTCCGATCACACTCATTACTTGCTTGATGGTTTAGGCTTGCTCGATTCATAACTGAAGGCAAATACTCCTGCAAAGCTTAAAAAGACACCAATCCAACCAAAGGCAGTGAAGGTCACTCCAAAGAACAAAAAGCTTACTAGAAGTGTCAATAGTTTGTAGGTGGCATTGGCAATAGAAATTGAGGTATTTGAAACAAGTTTAAGAAGGAAGAAGTAGGAGAGGCCGATGGAGAAACCGAAGCATGATGTGACTACAAGGGAAAGCCAATCACCAGAGTCAAAAGACTTGAACATGGCGTTCACATCATCAAAATTTTCCTTCATCAAGGAAATGGTTATTAACATTGGAATTGAGAGGAGATTTCTTGCAAAATTCATTCCTGTTGGAGTTTGGTTTGGTAGCCAGTTATTTAAAAGCCTCTTCTCGGCAATTGGAATGACCACAGAACAAGCAGTGTTCAAAATAACCCAATGAAACCCATTCCATTTAAGGGTGACTAGAAAATGTTTCAATATTAGTGGTCGTCTTAAAGCGTGTGTACACACGTCAACTACTACTTACAATCTGTAAAACTATAAAACACACTTCCAATAAAAACTGAAAGTAAAGACAACCGAATCACATTGTTGGTTTGATATCCGAAAAATAAGGCTTCTATAATAGCTGTCAATAAGGGAACCAAATTTCTTGTTACTGTTACCAATGGAACACTGACAATTTTTAAACCCTCAAGTGAGGTCCAAGTCAGTAAGACAAAGAAAAAGCTGGTTGGTAACAAATATACCATTTCTTTCATGTTAGGCATTTTGAACGGTAAGATGGCTATCCAATCGAATAAGATAAACAAAAACACGCTGAAAATGTTCTGAAGAGTAATTATGATAAGGGGAGAGGTGAACTTCATGGACAAATACTTGTTAGCAAGTGTGAGAGTAATAGAAGAAAGGCCTTGAACTCCAATCCAAAACCAGGCCTTTGAAAAGACTGAATCTGATTTAACGAGAGTGAGATAACCTTTAAAGCTACCTCTATTTGCATTAATCCATTCACTCATATCCGTTTTGTCATCAATTTTAGTTGTGTTCATCAGTAATGAATAATGAACGGACTCACTAGATGGAATTTTGAATTTTTCCATGGATGCAATTTTCAAGGCTTCAATTGTTTTAAAGGTTCCCGATGACTCTAAATCAAGCATCACGGACTGACCTAGGAGAGTTTTAATTTCAATCGTGTTTGGAAATGAAGAAGTGTCCGTCATGTGATGATACCGATTTAATTAGTCAGTGTGATGATGAAGATGATGAAGTGATCGGAATATACTTGTTGTTGTCGGAACTACACACAAGGTCCCAGTATGAGAGAAAGTGAGGGTTGGCAGGAAGATGAATTTGGTCTCAGGTCGAATTGGACAAAAGTTTCAGCAACAGACAACAGGTGTGTATGGTGAGGTTCCTATTTTTTTTGGGAGTCGTTGCAGCAGTAAAGTGTGACCCAACCGATCGATTGAGAGGCTCTCTTGGGATAACTGTCTTTTGTTCGATGATGACCACGCTTGTTGGGGGTTTAGGTAAACGAAGCGTGGTCATCGCCTTTTGAAAGAGAAAATTTGCGACAACAATAAGATATGAAATCATTGATATTTATGCAATGTCGCATGACTTTTCATTAATAAAGATTCCCCAGTTTTGGATTGCTTCATAGAAGGAAGAGAAGCGACTTCGTCCTTTCTTTTTCTTTGCTTTTTCAAAAATTCGCTTCCAATCCTCAATCAGGTTTTGTTGGACTTGTTCTGAATATTTACGCATTTTGGCACTCACTTCCTTGTAATATTCTGGAGTTGCCTTCTTCAATTTGTGATACAAATCTTCGAATGAGTCGTAAATGATGACATGTGGCCACTGATACAAATCAGCAAAATAATTCCAATAGCGCACACTCTTTGCATCGACATCATTATTTGGGTCCATGCCTGATGAAACTGTGGATTGAGGATTTCTGGGAAGTGGAGAACCTCTCGATGGATTCTTTGTGAGAACCATGTGCCATGTCTTTTCAGAGAGAATTCGATATTTGAGATGCCATCTCGTGAGTAAATCCACGGATGGAAAATAGAGAGGAATTCCCATTCGGTAATATTCAAAAAAGCTCATGACTGATAATTGATAGGGAACAATCACAATGGCAGGATGGTTCACCAAATCTGAATATTCATATTTTGGATACAGCGTACGAATGGGAGCTAATTTCAAATCAAATTTATCCCTCTTTGATAGTTCTTCTAAAGGTTTGAAGAATTCAGATGGAGTGATGGAAAGACGTGAGGGACCAATTAAAATTTCCTTTCTCATTGGATTACTATAGGTTGCCATATCTGCTGCATATCCACAATAGCTATCAACTACTCCAGCCTCCAATCCTGTGAAATAATTAAAGTATTTTGCATCATAGAGATTATTTGCAATAATTGAGTTGGGTCCTCTGAAGAACATTCGACGAAGATTATCATTTAAATTTTTCCATCTTTCAGGTTGATGTCTCCATAATTCGTATCGAGTAGTGAGGTAGAGGACAAGAGGAACATCGAATGCCATGTACATTTCACACATTGCAACATTGTGATCACACATGACAAGATCTGCCTTTTTAAATTCAGGATCATCCACATAGGCATCATAGAATTGCTTAGCTATTGGTACAACACATTCATTTTCACCTTTTGCATTATCTGGATTGAGAACTTTCAAATCTTTGGCACATGTATTTGTTAATGCGCAATGTCCACTTAGAGATTTTTCAATAATGTTCACTTTAATGCCCGTCTTCTTTTCAAAAATGTTCTTCATGAAATGTTTCAAACAATGAATTGGAGAAATATCTGCATCACATCAAAATTGACATGGTTGACACAAATTCAAGAAACACGGAAAAAGTGTCATAAATTCCAATAATCAGAAAATAATGATGAAAAACTCAAAATGAAGACTTACGGAAACTCGTGGACCATATAGTCACTTCAGAGACTGTGTCTCTAGTCTCTCCTTTTTCATTCAGACTCACAAGAGGAACGTTTTTAGCCTCGGGTTGGGCGACCTGTGGTTCATCATGGCTCGGTGTATGTACATGAAGTGAAAGTTGGATAACAAGTAAAATGACAATAAATAAAATCACAGTCCCTAATATTATATATTTTAATCGTGATAACGATGATGCTTTCTTGAATCGGGATGTATTCACATTGCTTCCATAGGCTGGAGCAACAGGTGTTGTTGACGTCATTTTTTTAGTTGACATTCGAACGACATCCACAAACGTTAAACTTTTACTCAAAGATTCGAATCCATAGGTTCATTGGTTGTTGATTCTCGAGGCTTGAAATCATTCGCAAACAATACTGATCGTTCTTGAGCTAGAATGTGTACGACTCGAGTGCAACTTGTAAGATTGTACTTCTTATATTTGACATGGTCTTCACCATGACGACATGTTCACAACCCTTAATGATTTGGAGGAGACTGTTTGTAATATTTAGCATCCACATAGGCTCTACTCTGATTTTGAATAAGTAATTGTCTCACTTGTTCTGGAACTTGAGAGTTTTTTTGTGAATTCGCCTCTTTGTCGTTTGCCATTGGATGAACAACGTCTATGATCTGCAATAGTTTGCATATTCCATTGAAACAGAGAATAATGCAAAATTCATGAAAAATTAAATGTCCAGAAGAATGAACCTCACAACCACCTTACATTCATTACGTCTCTATGCTTACCTCTTCTTGAGATTTGTAATTCTTATAAACTGAATTATACCACATTGTTAATTTAATTCCCCATAGTGTGAAAACAGCTCCAATAATCAACAAGATAAATTTCAGGGGACTCTTTTTGTGTTTTCTCATTTCTACAAACATGGCCTCATGTGATCTTCTCAAAGCTTGCATATCTTCTTTCTTTCTTTTTGCGAGAGACTCCACAAATTTCTTCTTTTCCTCTTCCGAAAGATGTATGGTTCTTACTCGTGGATTGGTTTGATCTGAATGATGACCATTGGTAAATTCTCGTTGTTGTTTTAATATTTCTTCATTACGTTCTTGATGACGAATTTCTGCATCATATTCTGCTCTCTTTAATGGATCCGACAGTGTTTTGTAAGCCTCATTGACTTGTTTAAATAATTCTTCATCACCATTCTTGTTATCGGGATGATATTGCTTAACAAGCTGCAAGAAGGCTTGTTTAATTTGTTTCGGAGATGATGTGCGAGAAACACCTAAAATTTGGTACAAATTGTGATGATGAGAGGGTGAAACCGCTTGCAAATAATATTTGGATGTTTTGAAGATCATGTTGATATTTACAGGATATCGATTATAATTGAATTGGGAAAGAAGAATTAATCAGAGATAAATTATTGCATAATCATATGAATCATAAAAAATTGTTACACACAATGTGCTTGTGTTTGAATTCGGTCTTCGAATGTAATATAGTTCCGAACTTCGCAAGGTTGTGAAGCGTTTTTTTCTGAATGGTCAATCCGCAGATTTATTGTGGATTCATTATCGAGATTCACCGCCATGATTCATCAATGAGGTTACCCTTATCTTGTGACACTGTCAACCAGTTACATAATTCTCTAAAATCAAAAAGTATACTTTTTCTTTTTGGCATACCTGAAACATCCTTTTTGAGAGAAATTTCACCTCGCACAGACAAAAAGATCATTCGACATCACCAAAAATAAAGGTAAATGATTTGGCGCGAATGAGCTCACAGATTTTATGGAGATCTTTCCATTTCTATTGTTGTAAAAAAGTGAGAATCAAGTCCGTGATTGGATGCGCATGTTTTTCCTCTTTGTTCAAAAGCAAGCTGGAGTGACATCTCACATAAACACAATCCTTCAAAAAAACAAAATGACATCTCCAATTCAAACTCGATTGACTTCAGTATGGTTCGTCATGAGTTTGTTGTTGTTTGGTCTTTTTTCAACCAGCGCACTGCTTGCTTCCAGAACATTTGACAATTCTCTTCCATTTCAACTCATTAAATTACAAGAACTTTTTCAAGGCCTTGTCAAACCTTCCTGTTCCTTGACTAAATTGCTTTCTCGAAAACCAATTGATTCAGAACCATCAACTCCAATTTGGCCTCTACAGTTCAACTGCACTCTCGCCAAGATAACCCCTTTCAACCATGAGATTCAGTGGACCAAACCTTTACTATGATTACAAGAACAAGCTTGGCCGATTTGATTTTTTCGATAATTACTATGACATGAATAACTCGTGGGGTTCTATCAACATGACTATCTTATGGATTGATACTGTGGTTTGGTTTGTCTATCCTAAAGTAAAACAATGCACCCTAAGGTCGAAAAACCTTCCATTAATTTCTCCAGATTGGCTCAAGATGACTCATTATGTCGGGAGGACACTCTTCAGAGAGATGTACTCTGATGTTTGGCAGTTTCCCAATGTGGATGATCTTGATGGAATGAGATATTACCACAAAGTGGGGAGTTCTTCTGAAACTAAAATTCCTCTTCGAAGCACAAATCAAATTAATGATCCAGGAGCAACAGATTATTTCGATTTTACGATAGGACCTTCCCATGTTAATTTGTATCAGATTCCAAAGTTTTGCAAAGAATATTGAATAAAAGTCCATTCTCTAGTTTCACTAATCCTCGAGATATCTATTGCGCGTGCACTAATTCATGCAACTTGCCGACGTGTCCATGCAAGGAAATGTTTTTGAAGGTGATGTTAATAACCCATTTCTTCGCTCTCTCGAAGGTTTAGCCTCAACGAGAGTGGCATGAACGACTCGAATGATCCCAAAAAGTCAACATTCAATCTCATTCCAATAACCACCAGAATACATTCGAAAAAATGCTTTCAAAAGCTTACACTGCCATCTCTCAAGCGTTCTCTGAATCACCTCTTTCCATTTCTACTTTGAGCATTGGAACAGGAGCTGCCGCTGCACTGTATGGAGCTTGGAAGATGTATCAAAAATTGTATTCTCCAATAGTTGTAAAGCACCTTCGAATTTTTCCTGTCAAATCATGCAGAGGTATGAATTTAAATCATTTTTGTATTCGATCGGAGGATGATCATAAACATATATTTATTTAAAATGTTTTTCGATTTTTAATGATGATGTTGTTGTTGAACATGGATCTATTTGGTGAATCTGTTTCTTTGTTGTTCAATACACTCATTGCATGTTGAACATGAATACACACAACAACAGGATTCGAAGTGGATGAATGGGAAATTGGTGAATTTGGATTCCTCTACGATCGAGCTTGGATGATTGTCAAAGAAAAGGACAATAAATTCATCACCCAACGTGAAGTTCCAACCATGGTTCTCATCAACACAAATGTAGATCCAAAGACAGGCACATTACACTTGACTTTCCCTGGTATGGGAGCTCAATCCGTGAAATACTTGAAGAATATTCAAGTCAATGATGCAAATGCTGACAGAGTGAAAAAAGTTACGATTTGGAGCGACACTGTCACTGCTTTTGATTGCGGAAATGAAATTGCTCAATGGCTTTCCGTTTGTCTTAAACAAAACGTTCGTCTTGTTCAAGTGATTGATCAATTTACTGATGAAAGAACTGACAAGACCATTGAAATTAAGCATCACCAAAGACCACCAGAAGAAGATGTCATTAGATCTTTTACTGAGGATGGAATTACTATTTCCTATGTCTCTCAGTTTGCTGATGCTTATCCATTCTTGATGACCTCAGAAAATTCAGTTCGCGATTTCAATAAGAAAGTCATTGCTGATCAGTCATCAAATGCAATTTCTGCATTTTTCAATACATTGCTCTATGATTTATTTGGAGCAAATAATTATATTGATAATTGGAATTTCCGTTCAAATATCATCATTTCATCTCCAGCCATTGAACCCTATGCTGAAGAGAAATATAGACAAATTGAAATTAATGGAATACCACTGTTTGGAGTGAAACGTTGCACCAGATGCACCATGCCAAGTGTTGACACTGCAAAAGGTGTGAAGAGAAGTTTTATTACTGACTCACTCAATAAGCATCGTTATTGCCAAGTGGCAGAAGGCACTGTTTTTGGAATGAATTTGTGTCATCAAGAAAAGAATATTGGATCCAAGATTCGTGTTGGACAAGAAGTGAAAGTCAAACAAGTTGCGTTCGTCAAATAAATTTCTGTTGGGAATGAGTTAAATATTTAAAAAGCTTGGTGAATCTCATATTAGCCAAACAATGTTTCTTTTTCATAAAAACATACACGGTGCACGGACTTTGCATTTCTTGTTTTGATTTTTGGCTTGCCACCAAGCGAGTTTTTTGAATATTCGTTTTTCACTCGCTGCCTATGGTCTCTTCCTGTGCTGGGTTTCCTTATCAAGCACTGTGCACCGGTGTATATGTCGTCCACAACATGTGGTTTTTATTATAGGCAAACCAAGCACTTTTTGAGAAAGAGTTGTTCGTGGTTGTTGTTACAACGTTGATGCGTGTTGGCATGTCTCAAATGTCACTCTCATAAGATCGATCGAGGAAGTCTCTCTCTCTCATCCACGAACGAACCACGTTGTGAAAAAATGCCCACCTTTGTGCGTCGTTTAGTGAGCAAGAATAAGAAAAGATTGCAAGAAGACAACTATGATCTAGACCTGAGTATGTGTTTTGTGTGATGATGATTCTAGTTTCTCATCATGTGTTGATGTTCAATAACATTCACCTACTTTTTTGAAATGATTGAATGGTTCGTGTGATCCTTGACATTGAAACAACAACAACTACAACCATCACCAACTATCATTATCTTACCAACAACAACTTATCTCAACAGCTTATATTACCGACAATGTGATTGCGATGGTAAGTGAGATTCGTTTGAATGTTGTTGTTGTTGTTACGGATGAATACAACAACGTCAACACCACACATGACCATGATGATGTTGATTTACCTCACATAATTTCAATAACATGATGTTGTGGAACACGATAACCATCACCACCACCACCACCACAACAACAACAATAATTGGTGCACACACTTGATTTTTCGTTCCAACAACAACAACAACAACCAAAACAACAACAACAACAACCAAAACAACAACAACAACAACCAAAACAACAACAACAACAACCAAAACAACAACAACACGCACCTGCCACTACAAACGAAAATCACAATGACATGTCCAATATAGGGTTTTCCGAGTGAAGGTGTAGAATCGATCTATAGGTAAGCTGTCTCACATATCATCTCACATCATCATCACACACACTCATTCCCTCATACGACCTGTCTCATCACAGAAATCCGCGTGATGAAGTTGTTGATTTCCTTTCCACAAAACATGGAAACAAGTATAAAGTCTACAACTTGTGTTCGGAAAGAGACTATAAAGATGAAATCTTTGAAGGAAGAGTGGGTATGTAGAATTATGACATATTCCAATGTAGTATATTTATATATGAATCTTGTTGTTGTGGTCATGATTTAATTCTCATTTCCAAATGCCCTTCTTGTGAATCCGTTTTTTATCAAATTTCCATATTGCATCTCATTCTCATTCATGATGAATAGCTCGTTTTCCTTTTGACGATCACCAATCTCCTCTCTTTGATTCTGTTTTGGAATTTTGTGTGGATGTTCATGAGTTTTTGAAAGATGGAAAGAATAATGCTGCTGTAGTACACTGTAAAGCAGGAAAGGGAAGGTAGGTTCATTTGGAAGAGTGTTCATTTCTATCATCGTCACCATCATCATCATTACTCACAACAACATTCATATGGACCAAATGATCTTTTTTACAATTATTATTATTCTATCAACAGAACTGGAGTTATGATTTGTTGCTATCTTGTTTTTAGTCACACTTGTAAAACTGCGTTAGATTCATTGCAATATTATGGTGATAAGAGAACAAAAGATTCCAAGGGTGTCACCATTCCTTCTCAAAGAAGATATTGCTATTACTTTGAACAATACCTTAGAAATCAATTTCCAGTGAGAGGTTCTGTAAAATTAGTTCGTGTAGCGCTGAGACAATTCTCTAAATCAACAAAATATTTCATTTCTATTAAGAATTTGAAGAGAGAGGAAGTTTTCACAAGCAAACAAAGTAATAAGGTAGTTGCCAACGAAGAAAGTGTTGTAATAACGCTCGATGATCCAATCGAATTATCTGGAGACTTCAAAGTTTGTTGTGTGAAAAATGGAGTCAATGTATTGAAATCAGGAAGTTTGTTCCATTGTTGGCTCAATTCGAGATTTATTGCAAATTACGTTAAAAACTCTTGTCCTGGTAATGGCATGGGCGTAAATACTTATCATAGCTCATTGGATGACACAATTCCTCTGATAAAAACCATAAGCTTGGGAGCTACATCGGAGCCGAAAGTTTCACCTGAAAACGATGAGAGATTGAAGAATGGACGTTATGTCACAGTCTCATTGGCTAAAGATGAATTGGATGGACCTCACTCAGACAAACATCACAAATCTTTTGTTGAAGATTTTCAAGTTGATTTAACCTTTGAATTGTGCAACATGGACCATGTTGAAGACGATTCATATTTACTTGGACTCATTCCAAAAGAATTTCTTTCCGATGAGCAATCAAAGAGACTCTCAAATTCTCAAACACATAGGAGGCAATCTGCTGTTACTCGAGGCCTTATTATTGACAGTCATGATGATACTGTGGAAATCATTGATGAAACTGCTGACAGTTTGAAAACACCCAAAGCAGAAGATCAACACTTTTTCCAATAGATAGAACATTTCATGTTTCCTCCATATTCTTTCAAAACCTTTTTGTTGTACTTTCTACGATTAAATTAAATTTCAAACGATCGGTGATTGTCTCTCAGAACGCTGTTCTTGCAATCAATTGAAATTCAAGCAAAAAAAATTGTTTCATCATCCGCTTTGGGAATACACAACGTTTTTTTCAGTGTTCTTGAAGAAAAAAATTTGAAAGCAACAACAGCAAGACGTTTGTACCTATTTATTGGGTGGTCATCATCATTATTCTCGGAACCTTGTAGAGATTTCAACACCATCATGCCAAAGGATATTTCTACTCTTGCTGTACCGGAATCAAAATTACAGCTGCTACTCACGGCAACTCCGTTCCTCGGAACAAGTTTGGAGACTCTAAAAACAAGGATACTCTCGGATAGTAAGTAAATATTTTCTTGAATATTAATTGAATGATAACATAACAACCATCCATGGATTTGATCAATCACTGAAAGATTTTGCAGCTTTCAAAGTTGATCAACTGAAAGAAATGATTAAATTCCTGAGAACGCATGCTGGTAGGCGGGATTTAGCACTTTCTGGCAACAAATCGGATCTTGTTGCTCGACTTTCCGTAGCCTTTTTTCAACCACCAGTACAAACCTCTTCTTCATCTACAGCTTCTTCATCTAACACCTCACCGAGCACATCATCAAAAACAACCCCTCAACCTAAACCATCCTCCTCTTCTAAATCAAAAATCACAAACATGAGTCCGCTGAACTCTCTCAACCTACAAGTCATGAGAAAGGAAGAGAATACGTTAATGGAACTCTTTAAGCACGACATGTCGATAGGAGGGAGAATAGACCCACACCAACATGGTGAACGATTTTTATATATCAAAGTATTTAAAAACGAAAATGCAAATTTTTCAATGGATTTTACATTGTCACAAGAAGAATTTACCAAACTGACACCAACAGAGAATTACCAAATTCATATTCATTATTTTTCACATGAAATGAAGCCTAAAAATTGGAGCACAGAATATTCGATTATTATGAATGGAATCCATAAATTAGAACCTCCAGCGATAAATAGGAAAATTGCAAAGGGTATAAAAAAAGAAGTACTAATTGTTTCCACACCCTTTGTTGTAAAAAAGACATCAAATAGTATCAGGTAATAACCGACTTGAAATTAGAGCTGGACCATATAGCATGTTAGACGGAAGATTATTCGTCATTTTCACAAAAATATTGACAACAGAACAACTTGTACAAATAATTGAATCACGAGTTCCCACAAAACATAATTTGGATCTAGGAGATAATTTAGAGACACCAACCAATGATAATTCTTTGAAATATATTCAAATTACACCCACAAAATCAGACAATTTAGCCATACCACAACCAGAAGAAACGACCTCTTCCACGTTAACAGACAGCGAGAAATCCTCAATTAATAGCATTCTTAAAGCAATTCAGCATGAAACACCGATCGACAAGATGGATGATGCCATAGAAGAGATTGGCGGAGGAGATGAAATTGTACCACTCAAAGATCCACTTTCCTTATGCAGAATTGAAATACCGGCAAAAGGAAAATATTGTGTACACAAGTCATGCTTTGATTTGGCTGGATATTTAGATTTTGGCAAGACCTCAAAGACGTACAATTGTCCAAGATGTGATAAACCTCTTCCATTTTCAGAGTTAATCATAGATCGTCATATGCAAAAGATACTCAATGAAGTGGGAGACAATGTGGAAAAAGTGCTTGTCAAAGACGACGGTAGCTTCACCATTTGTGAGGATGCTCCCAAGAAGAAAATATCAAATGTTGCCATTGCCAATATAGCACAAGTTATTGCAGAAATAGATGAAGAAGAAGGAAGCAAGTCTCCACCTTTTCTGTCATTTGGTACTTCCTCTGTTGCCTCATCGCCTCCTTTTTCCTCCACTCCACCAAGCCATGGTTTGTCAAGCAACAACAACACGTCAACAAATTCTTCCTTGAATTCCAATCGATTATCTACAGGTTTTACCATCGATGACGCTATTGAGATTGACTAGTCAATAGGCGTGTGGTAACAGAAGAATAAGGAGATTGGATTATGATCATCATGTTTCGAACGCCTCAGTTTCCTGTGTGCACCATTCAATTTTGTTATCTCGTACAACAAAGTAAAAATTGTGCGTGCAACGTTCAACACCACAAAAAAATACAATCAGTTCAAAGTTTGATTTTCCACCACCACGACTATTATCCAGTGTGATTCATTTATTCCTTGCCACATCATCATTAACGGCCATCATGTCCTCTGTACCAACCTCCGAAGGAAACCTTACGGAAACAGAAAAGAAGTTTCTGCAAGATCAATCCGATATTGAAATATACAAAGAACAAGAAAATATCCACAAGGAAGATCCAGAAGACGAATATTTGAAAGTCAAGGATCGAGAAGATTCATACAATATTATTTACGAATTTCTCAAACAATTGAGTCCACAGACAGAATTGTGGAGAATAAGTGTTCCAGCATATATTCTTCAACCAATCTCATTGTTAGAGAAAATTTCTCACTACTCATCTCCGAATAATACAATTGAGAAGATCAATGAAGAACAATCTCCAGAGAAGAGATTTATTTCAATTTTGGCTTGGGTAATTAGTAATTGGAGAACTATTCCTCGTCATGGTATGCAGCAAAGTAAACCATTCAACCCTGTTCTTGGTGAGATTTTCAAATGTGAATGGACTCATGGTGAAGGAGACGTTACCAAATTCTTGGGTGAACAAGTTTCTCACCACCCTCCAGTATCTGCATTTTGTTGTCACAATGAGAAGCGTCAATTTACCTATACTGGATATGTATTTCCAATTACATCATTTTCTTGGAATAGTGTTACCACATTGATGGACGGTGAATTCAAAATTACTCTCGGAAAGTTTAACGAGGAATATATTGTAAATCACCCTCCTGTTAGCGTCAGCAATGTGTTGTGGGGATCTACTGTCATTGAGATTTATGACTATCTCAAGATTAATTGTCCAAAAACTGGTTTCAATGCTTCCATTTATTTTGACTATGGAAAAGACAATTACTTGAGTGGATATATTTATGATGCGGATGGTTACAAGAAACATTGGATTGAAGGAAAGGTGAATCAATCGGTTGAAATTCAAGACTTATCAACAAAGGAAAAGAAACTCTTGTACTCAGTAGAAACCTTAACTCGTCCACCAAAAACGATTAGACCTGTTCATGAACAAGAGCCAAGAGAATCCAGAAGAAATTGGCATAAGGCTATTTATGCATTGAAGAAGGAAGACTTTGAGGAGGCTCAACTTCAAAAACACCTGGTTGAGGAGAGAGAAAGAGCGATCAGAAAAGAAAGAGCTGAAGCTGGTATTACATGGACTCCAAAATACTTTGTATTGGAAGGTGAAAAACGATGGGTTCTCAAGAGTTTGGATTGTTTGAAATAAGCATTAATTACAAGTATTGTAATACATTCACACTAAAATCAGGATAGATTAAAGATATCAACTAATTTACATGTATTATTGACATTTTAAATTGGGTAATTATTTGATGGAAGCAAGTTGATCTCTAATCTTTGAAAGACCTTTCAACATGGTAGAGAGAGTTTCCTTGTCCATTTCAAAATTAATTTGCTCCGTTTTTGGCATGACGCCAGTCGATACTGCTGGGTTTTGCACGTTGAGTTGAATAACCACACTTGGCGCTGCCATCTTTTGAATAAGATTTGATGCAGTACTCAAATCCACCCTCCATTTCATATCCACTAATTTGGGTAATCCAATTTGTGTGTTCAATGCTTGCTCTTTCCAAACGCTATGGAATTTTAACACTGTTCCAGCAACAAGTTGTTTCAATTTATCATGCGATGTAAAAGCAGGATCATTATCCGTAAATAGTTCCGATGACAGTATTTGTTCGGGAGTATTCAGTTGATGATATACACAATACTGAATCACAAATAAAACAGCCGATAATAATTGTTCAATCGCCACTTGGTAATTAGGTTGTTGATTTTGTTGCAATTGCTCCGCCACTGATTCAACAAAATCTCTATTGAAACCGTCAAATCTAGTTTGATATACTCTCACAAACACTTGTTCCACAAACACCTTCGAAGGGGCTTGCAACAATAAAAGAAGAGGAGAAAGTGAGAAGGTTCTCGTGTTGTTGAAATGTTTCATTTTTTGTAATGATGATAAAAGATATTTTGATGAATATGGAAAACTCTCATCCTTCTTATTTGAATGCTTCTTTGAACATTTTGTGAAACAAAAAGAAGAGAGCTCTTGAAAATTCAATTCATTGTATTTCAACCATGGATTTATGTTGTTTGACATGGAATGATTCATTTAATAATTATTTAAAAAATGAAACGAACCTTTGGTGAAGATCAAGCCACCACTCCCTCGGATCCATCCGAATCTTTCAATAATCCAATGGCAAGCATGGAAGATGATCAATCATCGATTGCTTCCGATCAATCATCACCATCAATAGGAGGTGGATACAATCGAGGCGGTGGTAGAGGAGGTTATCGTGGTGGAGGAAATTATAGAGGAGGCCGAGGTGGTAATCGAGGTGGTAGTGGTGGTGAAAATTATTCTTCTAACACTCCGAAAAAGCCAAGACAGTACAAACATGCTGTTGAAAAATTATTTGATGAGTATGCAACTGAATTAGATTACTCAAACAATAAGAAGGAAAGAATTTACAAAGCTGCCAGAGATGTAACAATAGAAGCAAAAAGAATTGTGTTTTTACTTCATAGATATGATCCAAAATTGAATAACAAGGAGGATGTACTAAAGGAAGCAAAAGAAAAAATTGATTTTATTTCTACTGAATACCTTTCTCCAATTTTAAAGGAACTCGAAGAGAAATTTAATGAATACTTTTGGAAGTATGCACGTTCATATTCTTTTGGATTGCAAGAATTCATAGAAGGGATCAGTTTTTATTATTATATCAAAGATGGCACGCTTGCAACCTGTGGAAATATAGAACAGGAGATGAGATTTCCCGTTAGTAAGCTTGATTATTTATTGGGTATTGCCGATCTTACAGGAGAACTGATGCGATTTGCGACCAATCATTTCATGATCGAAGAAATTCCAACAACTGTCATGAATTTTATGAGTGAGATGCATGCTCATTTCATGCATATTCTAACGTCATGCAAAGGCCTTTCTCCTTTTGAGGAAAAGGATTTACGACATAAGGTATGTTTTGTCATTTCAAGTTTGCGAAACAACAATTTAATCTTGCTTACGCCACAAGGTCGAAATAATGGAAGCATCGCTCACAAAAGTTGAGAAACTTTGTTACAACCTTGCGCTCAACAAAAATGACAAATACACCAATAAATTGCAACAATAATTTATTTGAAATTGAACAATTTGCCAGTAATTTCACTAATGCTTTTCAAACGAGGTTCTAATTGTTGTAATAAGGTTGAAGATGATGCTTCAGATGGTGATGCGCTGTTGGCTTCAAGCAAATCATTGAGGGCTTTTTGTACCTCTGCAACTTGGTCAACAATACTAACTGTTTGGATAGTCTTAATATTTGGTTTCACTTTTTGGAGTGATGTCGTGTAGGCCATTGTTTGTCTTTTTCTTGACATGGCTTGTTTTGATTTCTCATTCTGTACATCAAGTGAGCATTGTTCAGATAAGATTGAGCTTCCTTTGATCTGTTCTTGATCAATTAATGATCGAATGTTTTCCACGACAGATTTCACATCTGGGCGTAAGGACGTCAGTATAGAGTCTGCTGTCAGAGGATTGGTTAAAATAAAGTTGATTATGGCATGTATCAATAGGACTTGAGAAATGCTTTCAGACGATGACAGTGCCACTCCAAAAAATGTTTGCAAACATGTCAGCAGTCCTGCGACAACAGTACCATGACACTTGTCAGAAACGGAATCAATTAGGAAGGAAACACACATTCTGATCCTTTCAGATTTTGGCCAATATTGTCTCAAACAATCAATAATTGCTATTAATTGATCCACATGAGAAGGATTATTTTCAAACTTGCGAAGAATATGTACTACTGCAAGAATTGCCTCTTCAATGTATCTATCCGACAAGGCTACATCTGAGAGATTTTTCTGTGAAAGTAAAAGTACGGAAATTAAATTATTGCCTTGCTCAAAAGGAACAGTCCTGAATGTCAAGAAACTCCTCAGCAGTGCGGCATATGCCACAGTAATAGGCTGAAATGAAAGCTTAATCTTGCGAGCACAATGGGATAAAATTTTTCCTCCTTTTCCAAATAGAGTATCAAAGTGTTGGCTTAATATGTTAATAGGCAAAAGTGCTGCTTGGCTAATTCTTTCATCTGACAGACAGTCATGTGACAAGTCAATAAGGCTTCCAATATCTCTAATGTCTAATTTGTGAATAAAAGGCCTCAATACTTTTTCTACGATCAACCATTCAAACTCGACGTCGTCTTGATTAGAGGTATCTGTTATCCTTAGCTCTGGAGGGCTCAAAAATAAATTGGATGACAAAGTTTGAACGAGCTCTCGTAACAGCTCTAGATAATACTGCTGAAATCCAAAGTTATTATTAAATAGAAAGGCTAGAATATCCATACATAAATCTCGTGTTATATCTGGATTTGATATATCAAAAAGTTCTCTCCATAGTACGAGCTGTACCTCTGAAAACATATTGGATTGCTTATTTTTCATTAAAACCTCACTGATGGACATAAATATTTGATGATACAGAGGCATTCCATCCACTGTATCATTCAAGAGCACTGAATCGCAAAATTTGACTTGCTTGATTAGGAATTCCATAAATTTGTTCACTACTGGGCTATTTTCTTTACAATTTTTCAAATATACAGTAAGAAGAGTCGTTTTCGAGGTAGCATGTAGCACGTCTGGATCCGTAGTGGTTGATTTGATTATTAGATTGTTCTCCAAAGTATTTTCATCGAAAGGTATCGCTAGAAATAGTTGGTCGCATTTTTCAATTGTTCCCTGTACTGTGTTAAATTTTCTAGGCATGAATAATATTTTGGTTTTTGATACAACAATGGACCTAAGAATTAATTCCTTTTGATCATCCAATAATGGTAAATATGCATCAACTATGTTAACCAATAATTGTATTCCTTTTCTTGTTGTGTTGTTCTTAGTTTGTAGAGAATCACAAATTTCTGCTATGACATCTCTCAAAATGTCCAATTTTATCTCTGCTGACTTTTGCTTCCTTCTTTTTTCTGTGTAATTCTGAATCAGTAAAACTGCTGAGCGCAAATGGACGAATAGATGAATAAATGCACCCATGTATTTGTCGTTGGTTAGTCCTTGTTGAAATAGGCTTTTACACATTAATAGATATTTGAATGTAAAATTATCGTCTGCACTTGCAAACGAGTCTTCCGTAAAAACGGACATTAGAAACTCCGTATAAGCCACAACTGACAATTCAACTTCCTTATAGATATCCATATCCGAGGAAGAGGCTCCATTGCTATTATTACTCTCCATTTCTGCAAAGAAATTCATAACAAGTTGATGGACTTCGTAAATATTTTCCATTGATCGTGCATACTTTCCTTCCTTCGGGATTGTTTGTAGTGTGGTTAAATATGATTTCAATAATTTGATGTACTTGGTGTTTTTTTCTCGGATGCATCCTTCTACACAAATATATAAGCCTTTAGTATTTACAACTTCAAAAAAGTCATCTATAGTTGAAAGATCAGTCTTTTTGAGAGTAGCCAAACAAATCAGTGCAATCATTGAAGCACTATAGCACACTGAAGATTTAGCCTCATCATCAAAAGCATTTTCCAATTTACTTGAATATTCATCCAGGCAATACCTGTATGCCAAAGCCACTTTTTCTTTATCAGCTTTCACAAATGAATGTAAATTCTTTCTCTCGTGTACACCGGAAGGGTTTGCGAAGAGAGAGTCAATAGCGGAGTAGATTTGGTGATGTTCAGACATTTTTTCCAATTATTTTTTGACTTTGTAATCCTTTTTCGTCATATATCATTCCCAAACGGATCTCAATGAACGGCGTAAGATCATGAGTGGGTGCCTTTCATCATAAGATATCTCCCAAATAATGTAAAAGCAAAATGGGCATCCGTGATTTGTGGTTGAAACTTGAAAATGGGTAAACAGCAGAGTGCTTCCATCGTCATTTAAAAAGTTTTTTCCCACAAAAAAATTTCCTTAAACCATGCTGCAGAGAGGCACAACCTCAACTTCCTCTCCTCACAACAACATCCACCACAGCAGCGTTCTGTCTTCAGATCATCCACCGCATTTGATGGATGCACCTGTATTATCGGCTAGTCCAATAAGGAGCTCTAAAACTACACCCCTCAACACGAACAGCTTCAATGGAGGAACACAGCAAGGTAACCCTAATTCATCCCGAAACACGTTTGTAACTTCCTCCACATTATTAAGAGATGTTTCTTCTTCTTTGAATGTTAGCACTTCTCTGAATTTTGAAATGAATCAACATGATTTGGTGTTCAAACAAATGGAAAGGCAAAGATCGGAATTGTACCAAAGAATGCAAGATAGAATCCAAAGGGCCAAACAACTGGGCCATATTTGCAAAGACCAGATTGGATATCTGAAAACTAAAATTATGGATCTCGAAGAGAAAATTAATGAGGCCAACAACGAGCACTTCAGTAAGCATATTCTTCAAATTGATCCAAAGACTGCTCTCTCCACACTCTCCGAAGTTCTTTCTGATGATAGCGATAGCGTGAGTGATCTCTATCGAGAAGACAACGAGAGTGTTCAATTAGCTAATCAGCTTTTGTTAGATCAAGTCCAACATTCACGTTCTCAAGCTTCTAAGGGGAAAAGTATTCTCTCAATGAGTCAAATTGAAGAAGGTGATGAAATTACAAACTCCTCACCAGTGATAAAACTTTCACCCAATCAATTGATCAACATGTATTCTCTGGGCTCTCCTTCAATGTCTGCACAAAGAGAATATGCTGAGTATCAAAACATTTCTCCATTACGAGCTGGTGAGAACAAGCTTTGAAAAAATGGTAAAATTTGATGAAGAGGAGCATAGCGGTGACATTAGCAATACATCAAATCATACTGAATTAAATCATAATTTGCAAAACCCCCTTTCCTCTGTATTAGAAGATGCGCTAAGCATGAACGATCGCAAAGAATCACAGCATCCTATTCAACCCATGTACAATCGGAAATTAGAAGCAAAATTCACAAAACAAGATTATGTGGTGCTGGGGTGTATTTTCTGTATTCTGTCAATTGTCGGAGTTGCTTCGTTCTATCCGCTCCAAAAACTTATTCATCACCCTCTTCACTTACATAATTTCATCTCTAAATATATTGCTCCATACACGAGGCGTTATACTGCATTATTCTTTGCTCTGCTAGGTGCAGTTCTTCTGTCATGAATTTGTATATATTTTGTCTGTTATAATGTCATGATTACAGATGTAAATATTTTGTCTGCCATGATTACAGATGATATCATTTTGTAATATTAATAATAATTTCATAAAAGTTCCACAAATCATCCAATCATCACCTCTTCATTATTGATTCAAATAAAAATGTCAGACTTGTACTTTAACTTGCGGATGGCCAGCAAACAATTTGAAAGACAAAGGTAAGCCAATCAAAAGAATGCTCGGATCATCATCATCACATTCTCCAGTAAAAAGAGTGAGAAGGAACAAGCAAAACAACGTTTAAAAAGTCAAACAAGCTCTTGAAAAGGGCAATGTTGAAGCCGCTCGTATTCATGCTTCCAATGCAATTCGATTAGGAAATGAAGCAAATAATTTTCTTCGTTTATCATCACGTCTAGATGCTGCAGCAAGTAGGTCCGTATCATGTGCTTTCAAATTGCTCTCCGAATTTCATCATTGGTGATGATGGATTTGTAAAATTTTGTACCTTGAAATATTATTATTGATTTTAAATTCAATGGATTTTAAATATTATTTTAAATATATTTATGATGAATGTAGAGTGAAACAAGCGGAAATGATGAATACAGTTGCTAAAACATTAGGGAGTGTTGTGAAAGGTCTCGACAAGGCACTTGAAACTTTGGACACTGAAAAAATTGGAGTGATAATGGATAAATTTGAACAACAAGTTGGAGACATGGATGTGACTGTTCAACACATGGAATCAAGTATAAATACAGTGACAAGTACAATCACTCCAGAGGATGAAGTCAATTGTAAGTCAACACAGTGATTTTAATCATAGTTGTGAATTTATGGAGAATGAATGCAAATCCAAATCCAATTTCACACTTTTTGAAATTTCAACTTTTCGACTCTATTTTAAAACAATTGAATAATAGCCCTCATGGCACAAGTCATTGATGAAAATAATATGGATCTCGATCAAACACTTTCACTTGCTAAGGTTGGAAAGGACGCCATCAGTGAAATTCAAGCAGAATCTCTCAAAAAAGAAGTTGAAAAGCAAAGAGAGAAAAAGAAAGCTGTGCTTTTATAATTTCACCTACATATGCATGCTCGTGTCTTACTCATTGTAAAGAATTTCCATTAAGCAAATCTTGTTTCGAAAAAGTAATAAAAGTCATCATCAAAAAAATATTATTTTTTAAACAATATTTTAGCATCTCATGACATCTCTGAATAGAGCGGAGGACAAAAGTAGCGATACAACATTGGATCATTTTGTGGTCATGATTCTGCCAGGAAATGGTTGTGAAGATATTTTGGATTCGAATTGGTATAGTGATTGCAAAGATAAAATTGAACAGCTGTTCGAGAATGATATTTCTCGGAAAGTTACTGGTATGTGTTCGGGAGTGATGAACCAGCGAGTGATGAATTGAAATTATTCATAATTATTATCTTTGTGACAATGCAATCAGTGATTTGTAAGGATATGCCTGATCCCTATGTGGCAAGAGAATCTATGTGGATTCCATTTGTGGAACAGCAATTAAAGCCCTATGAAGGTAAAGAACACTGCAAATTGGTGTTGATAGGACATAGCTCGGGAGGTAGGTCTAAAAATTATAATTGACTTATGCATAAGAGTGACACTCTCGAAAACCCCATTCAAGCGGAGTGTGCAATGAGATATATCGAGAAACACCCTCTCCATGCATGTATATTAGTGTCTGCTTGTGTCACAGACATGGGAGATGAAAATGAAAGGAGGAGTGGCTATTACAACAGAGAATGGAATTGGAAATCAATGAAAGAGAATTGCCCAACCATTATCCAATTTGGATCTAAGGATGATCATTTGGTGGACTTTGAAACCGAGCAAGTGGTAGTGAACCACAATTTGAAACCCATCACTTACTTTTATGAGGACAAAAATCATTTCCTTAGTTACACAGTGGATCCTGAGATCATCAAAAGCTTCAACAATGACATTATTAAAAAGACGAACTAGTCTGGTTCTTACGTAGACTCGACTTTTGAATTAAATTTAATTATTTATTGGTGGAGATTTATTCGCTCTTTTGGCTCTTGAGCTTCTTTCTGGTCATTCTACCTGGCTTTCCTCCTTGGACCAAAGCAGAGAAAGGTGACATGTTGATGTGCTTCTCAGAATCGACTCTGACAATGAATGAAGGAACGTTAACAGTTTGCTTACCAACACGGATGTGTCTTTGGAAAATAAGTTGACGAGCATGGTGGATGGACTTTGACAAACCCAACTTTTGAACGACGGTTTGCAATCTTCTTTCCAACAAGTCCTCTGTCTTCAAGGACAAGATGTAATCGAGTTGTTGCTTGCTTTCATCCAAAAGACCCAATCTGGTCATTCTTCTCAACAAAGCAGCACCTTCGAATTGTCTCTTCATATCATCTTCTGGCAAAGTGAGCAAGTGTCTAGCAGTCTTACGAGCACGAGCAAGATAGTATTGGAGTCTCCAGATTTCTTGCTTGTTCTTCAAACCATATTTACCGCACATCTTCAATTCTCTATCCATACGTTCCTTTTCGAATGGACGTCTTGGTGGCAAGGAGACCTTGCTGTGGACTCTATAACATCTGTTTTGGACCATCTATTCGGTTTAGGAGTTGTTGATGATGTAAAGGAATGTTTGAAAGAAGAAATTTGTTCAGAACAATTACACGCTGCACGATGGGCGAGTGATACAAACCTTTTTGGCGTATTTTTTTTCAACAAACGATTTTCAAAATCTATTGGTCAACCATCTTTTGTTTTTTACAATGCCTGGAAGGAGTGTATTTGGGTTCAGTGCACAACACGACTGAACAAGCATTTAGAATTGAACGCGTTCTTGTGGTTGTATTGAAGGCTCTTCATATATATTCGCATCACTACACCTGCACGTCGATAAAGTGAGATGATGTTGGTTTCACCCACTCCTCTCCAAGAATCAACACCTCATCTCAAAAAATGTCAAACCATCATCAAGAAGAAGAGAACAAAAGTAAAGCTGAAATTCAGCATTCGGATTCAAGTCTCGTTACCAATACGAGTACAACAAAGAGGAAAGAGAAGAGAAAAAACTCGGATCAAAACACTCAATCTCAAATGACAGTTTCATCATCATCCATATCAAAACATGAAGAAAGATTGCCCTTTCCAAGATTCGGAGAGAAACTCGATCAAAAATCTACTCTTCCACAAGAACAAATCAACCAAATGATAAATGAAAGAAAGAATATTTTGTTTCAATTGTTAAAGGTAGATCGACAAAGAAGAGAGTAGGTACATAATCACGATACATCAATATTTCAAAATAACGAACGAATTGGTACAATTTGAATGGGCCACATCATATTTCATTGATTATTATTCAATTGCACAATAATGAACGTAATGGCCACTCAAATTATTACTATTGGAAAAATTGCTAGAAAAGATATTTCAATTGGAGAATTTATTCCCGAGGAAAATGCAGTGAAAACTATTCAAATGAAAGGTAAAATTGGCTCTGATATGGGATTTACTATCCGAAAAGAAAATCTTTGCGAGCGAATACGAAAGAATCCAACTGTTTATGTTGAGGGTCTCGATGAAAAACTGATCATTAGACAAGATTCAGAAAATGCTTTTCGTTTCTTGCATATTGAAGAAGCCCTCTATTTAATAGATGTTGGATCTCTTATTTTAATTGTTGAGAAAGAACCCTATCAATTGTGCCATTTGGAAATTCAGGAAAAAAAAGTTATTGAGGCTCGTGTTGGATATTTGGTTGCCTCTGTTCAGGAAGCATTTGCTTTATTTATTAGACATTCATCAATTTCAAAACATTTTTTTAGGAATCCTGAGGATTTGATCAATTCATTTCTAGCATATTCCTATCTCAAGAAATTAGGATTTTCCATTCAACGACATGATAAAGATAGGGAGGAAAAAAAGAAAAAGAAACAGCTTGAAAGACAAATCAAGTATAAAAAACAAAAAGAAGAATTGAAGAATAATATTATTGATACAACGCATGAAGAAGACATCTCTGGAGAGGATCAGTTGCTGCCACCACAAACATCCAACACAGAGAATGAAAAAAAGAAACGAAAAATAGACAATACGGAAAATTTGGAGAAACCTCAACTGCAATCCTTTGATACTCCAAAGGTAATCACTTCAAAGCAACAAAACAAAGCTAATTCTCGAGTATTGTGGAGTACGTTTGAATGGTTTTCACAGCAAACAGCGAACGACGAGTTTCATGATGCTATTTCACCTCTCATTTACAATCTTGAATTGAAGGATGAACAATTATTGGAACAACAACAATTATTTAACACTCTGAATATTATCAAGTGTGGATTATGCAGTTATTCTTCTCCTATGCGCGATGTGATGAACACAACAACATCAGCAGACTCCTCTTCATCAACCGATATGATGGATTTTTCAACACACAGCACTGAGGGCACTATAAAAGCATTTGAACCAATCATGTTCGACGTATGGAAACCTGGTGTCAGCCTTAATGACTCTCCTTCCATGATTATTATTGTAACTTCTTTTTCCAACAGCACTGTTCCTACCATTAATGATATTTTCAAAGTGAGCGAACAAGGTGCACGCTTCAACCAAATTCCAATTTTCCATTGTGTGATTGGTGAAAGTGGCTCTGTGATGTTTATGAATTTATGTCCATGCGAAATTGAGAATTTGTTACTGACACCTCTAATGCCCTCTCAAGCAACAAGTGACACCACTACGACGATGACGACAATGTTACCCAGTGATCACACGGACCAATATAATCGAGAATGAAAATGGGGATGATCATGATAATGTAATGACAAACCCCACTCAAAACAATAAGCCTTGATTTTTCACAAGACGAACTTGCGAAAAGTAAATCCTATTAATAACCTAACAAAGAGAGCTCAAAAAAATTGCGTTCATTCAACAACAATCATGCATCCCCGATATGCCTTGTATTTCATTGTTTTGTTGGCGTTGTTTTCCTCTCTAACGCTCATTCTCTATATTAAATATTATTCAAGCAAGACACAAATGATTATTGCGAACGCGAATACAAGTGGACAACATCATCACGGTATTTTACATCCACCTCCGAATAATCAAAAGAATACCGAAAGAATTTATGATGCAACACAAAAAGATGTTGAAAAACAATCGGATCATGCCTCATCAAATAATAATGAGGAAGAGAAGCCCTCTATTCAAAAGCAAACATCGTTGGGTGATTCACAACAATCTGAGACAAACAAAACACAGAACGTTCAACAAGTTGATTCACGAAAATTTAATCACAAAACCGATATTATTGACGGATTTTATGATGAGAAAATTGAATTAACTGTTGGGGATGTTGTAAAGGGCGTGATGAATTCAAAAATTGATGAGCAAGTAACAGAGGAAGAGGCAGTAAATTTCCAATTCACAAGAGATCCTTCAAAACATATCAAATGCAGAAACACTGTCCAAGGAGCTGATTATATTACCGACTCTAGAGGATATATTTGCAGTATCATGCATGTTGATCCAAAGACCCACTGTTGCAGAACAGACATCAACCCAGAACAAGCCAAAAAGGATGGTCTTCCTCCCGTGGAGAGATATTCTTGTTCAACCTGTAATACTAACAATCAATGTTGCTCTTCGTATGAACATTGCGTCAGTTGCTGTATGGATATTGACAAGAGAGATGATTTGCGAAAAATGTTCCAGCAGAGAAAGGACGACAAGTTATTTAAGGGTGTAAAGACGGTTTTTGAACTTTGTTTGTTGAGGTGCAGGACTACATCAAGAAGCGTACAAAACGAAAATAGATTTAAAGATCCAACCTACAGATACTGCTATGGATCCATCAACTAGATGCAAGCTAGCATGATTCAATCCTAGCGAATAGTCTCTTACAACAATTTATTGGAGAGTCTTGGAGATGATTTAGGCGAAGCCATATTTCTGGAAATTAGATTGATAGCGGCACTGGAAGAAGTACCTGAAAGTGGTCTTAATTGTACCGGAGATCTCGACTGACCTTTGATGTTGGTTGGGAGTGGAGCCGAGAAGGAATGGAGTGACCCTCGAGCTGGACTGGTAAATCCCAAGCTGTATTGCTTATCAATGTTGTCACAACCGCTATTACCGAACATGGAAACAAAACCTTTTGGTGACATCATTTTGGTCTTTTCTGATGATCTAAGCTTCTGTTGTACCAGAGCTGGATTCGAACTTTCATATGCAAGTCCATTATTGATGAACAGAGGAAGAGATTTGTCTCTAGTGAATTCCTCTACTTTTCCTACTGAAGTTATAAAATCCTTACCGGTGACCCACTTTGATTTGTCTGAGGGTCTGAAAAAATTTTCTTTTGGATCTGAATAAGGGCAAGCAGTGGTGATATAAAGGCCTTCGATATCTGCGACAGTATAGCCCGGAGTTTGTAGAGCTGAATTCATGTTGGCTTTCTGAACCTCTGACAAGCCCTCTATTGCTGAAGGGCTTATGTCAGCTCCAGAAAGAATATAGGAGGTATTGTACAACAGTTGTGGTGATGAGTAAATTTTGAGGAATGGGTTGCCATCTGAGGCAAGTCTTCCCTTACCCTTTGCAAAAACGGATATCTTGATTTGCCCGCACTTGAAGAAGAAGAAGAAAATGAATCAGCAGAGCGTGCAAGGTCTCCAATGGAGAGCATTGAGGATGATCTAGATCTGTTTGGAGCTTGAAAACGAGGACTGCTTGATCTTGGCCTCTCTTGCATATTTCTCCTTATCTTCAATTTGGCGAATTCTTCTTCATTCATTTCAATCTCCAAACGTAGACTTCTGCTCAGAGTTGGAGAGAGAGGTGCATGAACGGAATACTTGCTTTCCTTTGTTTTTCCGAACCTTCTTGGAGAGCTATCTCGTTTTGGTGAAACTTGTCTGGCCAGTTGCTCCTCCATAAACTTTCCGACTTTGCTCATTTGTTCGCTGAAGGAGCTTTGATCCATCTGATGAGGTAGTTCGATCGAAGAAGATTCCATCTTTTTGCTGCTGGTTGAAGCTTGTGCTCCTTTCTCCCATGAATAAATGGGTTTCACCTTCTTTGGTTTGTTCTTTTCTGAGGACTGTTTGGTTTGCTTCGAAGGATCTTCTTGTTTTAAGGCTTTTTTCTCCTCAGAGGCAGTGGCACGTCCTGAGGTCGCATTACTTTTGTGGACGCAGAGAACGGGTTGTTTTCCTCTGTTATTTCCTCACAAGATTCCACCGGATTCTGTTGTTGCACCGAGAACAAAGCATTCTTTAATTCATCAATCTTGGAGATGGTTTTGATGGGATAGTTCTCCAATAATTGTTCAAAGGAAGACCGAATTTCAAGGATTTTGTTGGAAAACTCTTCAGGAACAAAGGTTGGTTTGATTAGAAACTGATAATACATACCTTGAGGAGTATCTGTAGATCGTAGCTGATCAATCTCCTTAATTCTTTCTTGCAGCGCCTTTCCAAGCTTTGTAATGACTCCCATCTTATCAATGCTTGATTTAACGGAATTGGGAGCAACAGACAACTCCTTTTGACTTCGCAGCAGCCCATGAATTTCTTGTTGTTTCTCAAGTTTTAATTGAAGAAAGAGGACACGATACAGCTCGGCAATCTCGTTTGCCTGCTTCTCTATTTCTTCAGACTTATTGATGGAGAGTGGTACCCATTTCATGGTGATGGTGTTAGCATTAATATTTTTTTTATGATAATTTTTTCTTTAACAGCTCCACGAAGCAACGAACCTTACTCAAAATAAACAAATTTGAAAGGAAAGCGTCTCTCAAATAATTTGGTGTGGTGTACAACCAATCACCGTTGTGATCCAGATTAATCAGGGCCTGCCAATTAATTTTTGCAATCTAAGCTACTGTATCTGACAAGCAGAGAAGGTTTATCCCAAAAAGCCAAAGCTTGGTTCAAAGATAAAAAGAATTTGCATTAGCCGGGAGTCGAACCCGGGTCACCAGCTTGGAAGGCTGGTATGATACCGTTACACTACTAATGCTCGATTGATAAATATGGATATCAATTCTCAGTCAAACTATATCATTGAAATATTTTTGTTTATCAGTGTTCAATACCTCTTCTTAGCTTAATGAAGTAGGCATCTTTTTTCATTTCCTCCTTGAATGGGACATCGTCTGTTCCATATTCTACCAATTGACACTTATTCTTGTAGAATTGAACCAATGCAGTGGAAACATTAAACACTACACATGTGACAGTTTCACACTTCCCTAACTTTCCAATATATGCAACCATCTCAATCATTAATTGTCCAAAAGATATATTCTGCAAACCGCCAAAAGAAAATGTTGAACCGGCTTGTATTTTCTTTTCCCCTTTTGCTAGCATTCCAAAATAAATTGTTTGTGGATCTTTCTTAAATTGGATAAAGATTGATCCTAACACATCGTTATTTTCTGCATTTAAAAGACACACAATTCCATGGGGTGTTGTTAAGCTATCTTCAATGAGGCGTTTGACTTCATTATCGTTTGTTCGTTTTCGATCTTCACCTAATTTAAAAACGTGACCTTCTTTTCGATATGCACAATTGACCATCTCTAAAATATTGAATTAGAATCCAATGAGACAAAAATCAAAGGTTGATGATTCGGAATTTAAAATTAATGCAAAAACAATTTACTACACACCTCTGATTTCTTCCGCTTGTTCGGGAAGTGCAAGTCGGATCGAAAGCTGCACATGCGACGTCGAAGATGCCTTCATTGAAGGATGACATTCTTGTTCTATCAATTCACTGACATGATTTTGGTCCCAGAAAGTCTTGAGAGCTGTCATCGTTTTCATTGTCATCATTTTTTGTGTGATCAAACATATGAAATAGTACGTACGTATTTCGGATGCTGCCATTTTTTTCGTTTTTGAAGTGACAATGCAAAATTCTAACTCGGAGTTTATTGGGAGTTAAACTCCGTTTTGTGGAACTTGATACCATAAATTACAAATGTTTTTGGCTCGCTCAAAGGCAGTACTGAGCATGTACTGGCTGTAATAGCCCAATGATTGATGCTTTTGTTCTATTTTCTCAAAAATGTACTGAATGTGGTTGATGTAATTCAATTGTACCTGCTTGTCGTCCTTTAAAGCTTTGATTATTTTCTCGAGTTGTGACAACTCTCCAAGACTTGTCCCACTCAAATTCACATCTCTTCTTCTTATATATGAAGCAAAAGCCATTTGTTTTCTAATTTCATTTGGACATGCAATACTCAGTATTCGAGAGGCAGTTGGCAAAGGTAGAAATCGAAAATTTCTTCCAATAGAACAGCCTAATCAACAGTTAAACAAATTCAGAATGATATTTCTGGTAACAACAATTATTAACGTACCTAATTCAAAATAGCTGTAATTGGGATTTTTAACTAAATGGAGAGAAAATTAATTATTGAGAAGCGTCGAAATAAAATACAAACCCATATCTTCCCGTAGTTGCATGACAGAACAAGCTTGAATGCGAGTACTTTAAAAATTAAACTCACCTATTTTGTTAATAACGAAATATAATTTTTCATAAATGGAACTACCAAAATAGAAATCTTGAGTGTCTTTAGACTTTGAGCTACTTCCTCCATACACATTCGAGAGAACACTTTTGAAATTGGATTCCAAAGCAGAGTAGCATCCCATTAAAAGAGTGTCCAAAATAGTTTTTCCAACAGTGGAAACTATGCCACCTCCACTCGACGATGGTTGCATATTCGATTGTTCTTCTTGTGGTGTCGAGCTATTCAATTGAAGTTGATTATATACAATTTTGTACAATTTTTCTCGAGTATCGTGGTCAATAATAGTAAGTTGTAACATGTAGAGAGAATTACCAATACTCAATAGATGGTTAGGACTTAATAAAAATAAAACAAGCGCTATAATTGTTAAAGTAGTGAGAGGAACATTAGTAGTTGCATTCTTCCTTAGAAATACTCAATTCAGGATAATAGAATGGGTACCTACATGATTGTTTGTAAAAAAATTCCAACACTTCAATGTTGGCACGAAACTTTTCAATATCACAATTCATAGATCCTGCAATGACCTACAGTAAAGTGCCGCTTGAACAGATCTTCTGCACTTACCATTGAATCCAGGTGTGTCAATAAAAATTAAATTCTCGACAAGCCAGTCATTTTCATCATGCTGGTTGGTGGAAAACATTTTTGGATCTACTACTTGCCAGTCTTCAGTTTCATCTTTTTTCGTATTCTTTTTAGTTTCAAAATACAAATTATCTATAAAATCGTGAATTTCTTGTTCTTTCTTTTTTTGAAGTTTGTCTTCGATGGAATGTTTCTCACGCGTTTTGCTTCTTTTTCTATTGGCTGATTCGAGTTGTTCCAATTCAGTTCCATCAATGAAATGTGCATTTACAATAAACGCTTTCACTAACTCATGGTGCTTGATCAACACTGATTTCATATTGGATTCATAAAATTGCTTGTATCTATTCATTTTGTCGGTGTGGGACAGCTCATGATAGATTAGATCTTCTCTATCATCTGTGTGTTGTCTCTCCATCGGATTTGTTTTCCATTCATAAAGATCAAAATTTTGATCATGTTTCATTCTTCTGTTCAGCTCACTCA